ACACTGATTTTACGCTTTTTTAAGAAATCGTGTCATATTGAGCGCTGACTAAAAAATTTTGTAAAATGAAGAGCGCTTGTTTTCTCGCCGTTTCAAGGGCTTTCGAATGGTTTAAACATCATCTGGATCTGATCTTTCTCCGGACCGCTTCAGGGTTCGATATTTTTGGGGCATCCGGTAATGTATACGAATCGTCCGACCTGAGCGCGTTGCATGACTTCACGAAAACCGCCGTTTAGCACATTTATTCAAAGCTTAATCAAGCGGCACAACACGCCATCAACGGCTTGGCGGCGAGGCCAGCTATAACTTTGTGCTTGCTCAAACCCAAAAACCACGTTTCCTACCCCGTCCTTCAAGCACTTTTCGATATCGTCAGGAAAGCAACGACTCGCGCACTTCAGCTCCACACATTTTTCGACAAAAAGTAACTGCGTGTCGGTGAGCCCTGGCGCGGCCTAAAGCTTGGAATAGCTTCAAGGTGCAAAAATGAGGTTACTTTTTTGAAAACAGCAAGTTTCGCCTCGCGGGTCATTTCCGCGCCCACAAGTAAGAAAGCAGAAACCAAGAGAAGCAATATTACGGTGCGCATGGTCCGGAAATCCCTGACCCTTTGCTTGGCAAATTTCAGCGGCTTTTGAGAGGGTCTATTGACCTTTGATCAGGAACAATGTATTCGACTTTTGGCCAAACTTCGCTTTAGCGGAAGCCGCGAAAGGCCTGCCGCGACAAAAGCTGCAAAATGTTTGGGATGACCTTGTTGAAAGATCAAACGAGTCCAACGGTAAAAAAATCTGTCCGAGAAACCAATTAAAATTTACAAACTACAGAGTGTCCCAAACAGTCGACGCTAGCGGCCGGAGAACGGTCGGATCGGGATGATTTTTGCGCCGTTTGAAAGCCATCGCAACGGCGAGAAAACAAGCTCTTTTCGTTTCACAAATTTTTAGCCCACGCTCAATATCAAACGATTTCCTAAAAGACGTTAAATCAGCTCCGTCGTGTTAGTTTGGGCAAGAAATTTAAGTGCGGATTTTGCCTCTCTTCAAAAAACTAAAAGTGCTTTTTTTCTCGCCTTTCCGAGAGCTTTCGATAGACGCCCAAACCGTAAAAATTGAACGCGTCTGCGGCCCACTAGAGGGATCGATTTTTTTGGGGACTCCCTGTAGACTAGCTAATCGACGTTCTAACGCGGAGCTCTCTATTTCGAGACGTGCCTTTTTGTTATCCGATACTTTGATCAACCGGGGGAATAACTAATATTGCAATGTGTTTTTCGACGTTTTTAAAATATTCTGCAAATCATTTATTCGACGAAATCTCATCCTGTTTCAGCCTAGCAGAAAAGCCGCCTTGATGATTTCGACCTTGTGCTAAAAATGGCATTTATTGAAACGAAGGGCCACGAGCCTCCCAAAGCAACTGGATCCTCTCTCCAATAGCGCCGAGCCCAAAGCCGGTGCTGAACTTTAGCTGCCTTGATTGGGAGGCTAACTAGAATTTTGTATTTTGCGAAAAACTAGGGATAACGCTTTCCTTACCGCATCTTTCAAGCAGCCCTCAACCAGGCTAACGTGACAAGCATCTGAACATTTCTTTTCCAAGCAGTCAGCAAGAAAGAGCAATTGCGGATCGGTGATGCCGGGGGCGATCTGATGCGCTTGAAATCTCTGGCGACAAGAATGTGAGTTACTTTTTTCAACGCGGCTAGTTTTTGCTCCATGGTCAAGTCAGCCTTGGCAAGCCGGAACACATGAAGCACCAGAAATAATATTAGTACTAGCATGGCCTAGGTGTGCCGCTATAAAATTTTGAGCCTTTTTTGAGACGCTCTGCCGATCTATGACTCGAAACGATGTATTCCGTTTTCGGAAGCGTTTTTCTTTATTGGAAGCCGCCAAAGGTATGCCGCTCGGGAGGCGTGTAAGATGTCGTGGCGCGAGAATTCCTGCAGTTGAAGGAAAAGCGCAAGCGAAACCAGGTGACACGCCAGAAAAATCATCATCATCAGTAAAATCAAGTAATTTACAATTTTTATACACGATCACATTACAGTAGAAAGTTAAAGGGGTTAGGAAGCTCCCGGAAAAATTAACATAAAACGACTTTAGCTCTAAAATGCACATAAATCTTCTCTGCTCCCTCATGCCTCGCCCCCACTCTGCTCATTTTTTGCATTGGCATTTCCGGTTGGCTCGTTTCCAATTATAGATAAACCCTCAACTACCGGGCTTTCCTTATCCATTTATGCGTCAAATTCGAGCAAATCCGTACTTTCATAGCATTTATTCCCTGCGATTAGTTTTAGTCCCAGTACACGCCGAGGAACCTCATCAGCCGGTTCCACCCATCACTTTTAGCTGCGGCCTTTATTCGAGCCATCCCGGGATCGGTCTGAAATTAACGTTGTATCCATAGCACTCAGTATCCTCGTCACCTTGATGGTTGCCAGTACACAATGCCGGAAACGGGATTCTCCGCAGGAGACGGCACACTTTGCGTTTTAGGCAGATCAGTATGGCTTTGATCTGCTCATCGGTCAGGATTGGGATGGCCTAAAGACAGCGGAACATTGTCAGAAAAACGGAGCTTGACCTCCTTGAAGACTTCGATCAGCTTGCCCTCCTCCATCTCCGTCCATGTCCCGAGTTGTAGGAGTAGGACGGCAGGAAATAGTAGGAGGATTATGACGAACCGCATTTGGAGACCGCTTCGATGAATGATTCTCTTTAGAGCTGTCTGACCTTTGAAGCTTGAAGAAGGATTTGGGGCCGGTGATATTTTTGATTTTTGGGCTCGAGCTATGATTTCGAATGCTTCAGAAGAAGCCGCAAAAGACGTGCGAGAAATTGGTTGGTATCGAATTTCGGATGAGATACGAGGAACCAAAATTCAAGTATCTCTGGCAGTAGAATACCTCCAGAAAAATATAAAAACTGACAAACAAAACTCTTTATTCGGACTCAAGTTATGATAGTTTGAACAGCGGCCGCGATGACTGAAGCGATGGCAATTATCTCTTTCTGATGCTGAAATTAACTAGTACTAAAAAAAATCGTTGTGCAGATCCGATACTTTTGCAATGAAAGTGAAGGTTTTCACTATGCCGCCCAGGAACGACCATTTAAGATGACGGACCGGAACGTTGTTGGATAACTAAATTTGGAGTTATTACCGGGAGAGAGAGAGAGTGAGAGAGAGAGAGAGAGAGCGAGAGCACCGCTAATAACTTGCCGCTTCTTTCAAACAGCCCTCCAGCTTTTCGGGCTCACATTCATCTTGGCACATCAGGCTCAAATACTTGTCGAAGTGGGCCAACTGATCGTCAGTAATCCCTGACACCGCCTAAAGTAGAAATTTTAAAGCTAATTCTAAGATCACTTTCTTCAGGGCTGTTATCGCCTCATTATCCGATTTTTGCTCCTGGGCCTGCAGGAATACAGGAAAGATCAGAAATATTACTTCGAGCCGCATGAAGGATCTATGCTGTTGGGCACTACGAACTTTTGCGCGATTCTTCAGCTTCTCCTGCTGATTGATTCAACGATTTCCAAAAAGCGCCGCCTCGCTTTTTTTCTTCCGACAAAGACAGACCGCCAATCTGTTCTTGCAGTCTCCTCGACCTCAAAAAGGCTCAAAAAGAAAGATTTTAGGACGGGGACACATTTTAAACCAAGTCGTAAACACAAACTTCCGGTTAAACTTAAAGAAGCGTCTCTCAAGGCACCCAAAAAATGCCAGTTGGGTTGTCGGGGCAAGTAATTTCTTTCAGCAGAAGTCAAAGGCCACCCTGCAAATTATATGCAAAGTAGATACTGCTTCAAAAGTGGTGGGACAAATTGAAGGGTGTAGAACAGAGCAATGCGTTGCGCCTTCCTGCTGCTCGTGCTCGCCACCGGAAGCTGGGCGGCCGTCTGTCGACACGACGGTGATTGCGATAAACGTCTGGTTAGTCGTAGAGTCGTTTTGTATCGTGCGAGCTGAAATTTCCATTCAAATTTATGTTGTTTAGAAACGTGACATCTTCAAAAAGCGCACAGATGAACCGATTCTTGCAAATCGTTTTCTCCTTGCTTTCAGTGTTTCTTCATTGTCTTCCTTTTTCATCTGGCAGTAATTGACTACGTTATAGAAACGCCAAGGTCGCCAGGTTGAGCAGGATTCAGAGCTGATTCGCAATCTCAAGCGAGTAGGTGGCTTCTAAAAATGTTTTGCGGGCTGGCGTGTATACTATCATTGAAACATTAATCCTGAATTTTTTAGCCCGGCTGGTGCCAGTACGATTCGGATTGTGGCTTCGACTGGAAGTGCATCAAGAAGCGTTGCCATTATATGCCACCGAAGGGGAAATAATCATGGGAATAAATTATGGCACGCCGCGTGATCGAAAGCCATGTAAAAAGATTACGCTTTTAAAGGCCTCAAAAACGATGGTTGGCGGAAAAAATAAAACGCTTCCACCGGGCGGGGGTCGAACCAGCACCGTTCCACCCGCGGCCCAGCGCGCTACCCACTATACAACGCCCACCAAGGGGGACGAGACGACCTGCCCGAACACCCCCTTTCCCAACGCGGCGCGCCTATGTACGCCACCGGGGCGTCCAGCGTCCTTTAAACGGCTGAATATTGGTAGACGGTTCATACACCTTCTATGGGTCGGTTCCTAGCTTTCCACATAACTCTAGGAAGCTCCTCAAAAAGTCGGCCTTTTCCGAATTTTTTTCTACTTTGAAAAAAGCCGACAAAGGGGCGCCGCTATAATTTTGAAGGGGCTCAAAGCTAATAGATTTTAAGTGAAATAAAGTTTATTGAAACTACTCCCTGCACCGAAACTTCGGGTGCAAAGTTCGGAATTTATTCCGATCAAAAAGGCGATGGTTTATACAGCTCGGTCGACCGACCTTGGCCAAATCCAGAAAGTCCAAAGCCCAAACTGCAAATTCATGCAAAGCGGCTGCTCCTTGAAAAGCGACAACACCTCGAGAGAATTCAGACCAACAATGCGGTTCCTCCTGTTGCTGGCCGTGTTGGCCACCGTAGGCTTGGCGGCAGTCTGCCGCGGCGGCGACTGCGACAAGCGGCTGGTAGGTGGTTAAAGCTTTAGAGTCAAAGTTGGCTTCCCAATTTATTTCCTTCCAGAAACGCAACATCTTCAAGAAGAACACGGAGGATCACGGCGATGGAACGGTTTCGGTAAGTTCGGTTGGTTGATGGGTTCTGTACTGTTAGCGGAAGGGCGGGGGGAAAACACATTTTGTTTTTTCACCTGTTGAGGATATATCATGTATATTTTTGGCGTTTTTTATGGTTTTTGATTGCTAGAAAGTTACAAAAAGTAATTCTGAAAATCTTTACAATTTGGAAACTCGAAAATTGTGACTTTTCTGGTCATTTTTCGCACATGCTCGACCATAAATTAAAAAAAAAACTTCGAGATTTTGATTATTTTGATAGTGGTTTTATATATAAAAAGTATGTACATAAAATTCTATAAAATGTTTTATTTTTATAGGGTTGTAGAGAATGCAAAAGAAAAATTTTGTTTCACCGCCATTGACAACCAAATAGTCCACTATTTTTCTCCGTTTTAGAAACACCAGGGTCGCAGGAAGCGCTCTCACGATGGCGAAGTTCTAACGACATTCCCAGTAAGTGATTATTCCCTTTTTGCAGAGACCATTATTGCTTTTGTACTGGTTTTTGGTCTGAAAACCGCGCGTTGTTACACCGGATGTTGCAGGAACATCAAGGTCGCAAGAAGCGCTTCGAGGATGCTGTCAGAGATGTCACAGTCCTGGTAAGTGATTATACCTCCTATCTCCCGGCCCCAATTTAAATACATTTTGATGCTTGCTGTTTGCTTGTTTGATGCTTTTGATGATTTAAATGCTTGATACGCAAATCAGGCCAACCTTTTTTTTCGTTTCTAGGAACACCAGGGGCGCAAGAAGCGAGACCTTACGGTTCTGGTAAGTGATTGTACCTTCTAGCTCCCGGCTCCCATTTAAATACATTTTGGAGAAATGCTTGATTCCAAAACTCAGCTCAACCATTTTTTCGTTTCTAGGAACACCAGGGGCGCAAGAAGCGCTCCGGCCAGATTCTAAGCACATTTGTAAGTGGTTATTTTCTGCTTTTATGGACGAATATTGTGTTCGCATTCCCTTTTGTGCTGAAAGAATTTGTTTAACTGACTCCATTACAGGAACATCAAGGTCGCAAGAAGCGCTTCGAGGATGCGGTCAGGGACGACACGGTCCGGGTACGCGATTAGATCGCTAATTCTCTGAAAGACTGTTTCTTTTCTTACCTGGTCTGGTGGAAGTAGCTGGAAAACAGAAATTTCTGAATCTGTACATTAAATATTGCATTCGGGCTCGGGGCGTTAAATAAATCTTTCAGGCCCATCAAGGTCGCAAGAAGCGCTCCGAGAATGATGTCTTGATAAACAAGGTTCTGTTTCTACCTTCATAGTTTTTGCAACAGCCGCGGCTTCGCCTCACTTCTACAATTTTAGCCGACCCGCCGCCCAGCTCCTCGATCTCGGAAGGACGATGAACGCAAGAAGCGCGACGAACAGGAGATTTTGGTAAGTAATAATCGCTATAATAAATCTACACTATGATCAATCGATTTAGTGTCTTCCTGTTGATGGGCACGAGACACGCAAGAAGCGCTCGACCGATGCCGACAACCTGATGGTTTTGGTACGTGATCTCATAATTTTAAAGAGTTAGCCATACCCTTATTATTGTAATCAATTTATTTAGCTCCAACTGTGTAACTGTAACTCCAAAATTATATAAGGTAGGATTTATTTAGTGCATTCCCATCGAAGGGCATCAAGGACGAAAGAAGCGCGCCGTGGAGACTTCTCAAAGCAAGAGGGGCTCCGGCTCCTGGGGCAAGGACGATGGGATCCAGGTGGGGGATTATCGTTTCTTTTGACCCGAATTCATGATTTTTTCATTGCATCTTGTTGTAGCATCATCAGGGTCGCAAGAAGCGCTCAGATGAGACGGACGATGAAATCCTGGTAGGGACTATGTTGCTTCAAAGCCGGGCGATTACGGGCTTTCTTTTTTATCGTACCTTTTTCTTCCAGGGCCACCAAGGACGTAAGAAGCGCTCCGAAGAGACCGACGAGGGAATCCTGGTATATTAACGCTTCACCTTAACCTACGCTTGCTAGTCTAAATTCCTGATTTTTGACTTGTTTCCAACATGTTTTTTTTCTTTAGAACCACCAAGGACGCAAGAAGCGCCAGGATCATGATATCGATCGAGTACGTGACTGATATTTCTATACCGTCTACGAGTTTCGGATATAATTTGTGAATTTACAGGCTCATCAAGGACGCAAGAAGCGCCAGGCGGTCCGTGGAGGGCGCAAATAAAAGGGCTCGTTTAATTCGATGAATAAAGGATATTATTACTATATACGGGTAACTGGCACAAAATATATAAACGCGCATAGGTGGACAAAATAGCCAGAGAAAAAGCTCAAAACTGGCCCCCGCAAGAGCACGATTTTTAGTTTTACCCTGCAATGGAATCGTTAGTTGCCAATCTGTACGCGAACGCGATATTCTGACCCGATGAGCACGACTAATTTGCCGGACGCAGCAGCGAAGGTCTGCAAACCCGATCCCCATCCATTTCAGATCGTGGATGAAAAAGCCGAAAGTTTTGAAAACAATAGGCCTCCTTTAAAGCGTAATTTCATAGTTTTAGAAAACCCAGTTCCCCTTACATGCCCAATTTAATTTTCAATGAGGTTCGAAGCAGGCGACATTGTTTAAAATTTGGTATTTTCACGTGAAAAAGATCAAAGTTCAAAGGTCCAAGTCGGAAAATGCAAAAAAGGTTTAGGAAAATTCACAATTCCTAAAGATCGTCTAAGGATCTTCGTCCAAAGATCAGGCGGCTATGCAAATGGGCCGCCAGCTTTAAAGCAGTTTTTTTTGCGAGCCTGAGAAAAGCAAGAGATGCGTTTCCTCGTCGTTCTCTTCCTTTTGGCGACCGTAGTCTGGGCCTTTGAGGTGAGTTCTCTCAAGCTCAGCAGAAGATCCAGCTTTTTCGCAGGACCTCGTAGAGGACAAAAAACCTCAAGAGGGGCCAGGCGGTGCGGTAACCCGAAAACTGAAAGGGGTACGATTTTGGCATGAGTAGTTTATATTTTCAAACGTATTGTTAGAATTTAATTTGACACTTTCAGGCCTTTAACCCCGGCCCTTGCGTCTACAACAGCGACTGTGGATTTGAGGGCAAATGCAAGAAGTGGCGGTGCGTGTGGGTGGGCGAGAAGCCGGATAAGCCGAAAGGGGGCAAGGGGAAAGGGAAAGGATGCTTCGGCTGTGGATAAAGAGCTTTTCTAGCATTTTAAACGTATTAATCGAAAGGCAAAAAAATCTGAAAGCTGACAAATCTGCCCAGTAGAAGCCCGAAAACCGGCGTGCATCACCGGTGTTACTCATTGTCCGGCTTGCTTATTTGGGCGTGTGCATCTCTGACACACGAAGTCGTCAATATGTTACAATTTGTGGTATGTTACGTTACAAGGCCTTTTTTTCGAGAAACCCGATGAGCTACAATTATTTTTTGGTACTGTGCGTTCGACCGCATCTGTCCGTTCGATGTCAAGGTATCTGAAAATACGCAGAATTTTTGCGTTTGTTTGGGCCGAAAATGGACAGTGATTGTGGTGACGGGGTTCATCGTCGTTTTCTGTGTTCTAAAATCAGCATTGCCCGATGCTCGTTATAATCGGTAAGTCTTGCATGCCTTTGATTTTGGAACCTAAAAGGAACTAAAAACTAAACTAGATTTTGCCTGGGCCCCTTGAACGAGTCTCCAATACGCAAATTTAAGTGCGGTAAATCCGAGATCCATATAAATAATTGTATTAACGGCGCCTGCTGCTCAACAATGCTGGTGCTCGATTGACTTTTCGTTACAGGAGCAGCGACCCGCAATTGGTCAATTACATCCGCGTCTCTCCCGCAGCAAAGACGTTACCGCGCGCTGGGAGTCTTTTCTGCTGGGCGATGACTTCGACGAAATATCATGACGATCGGGTAGTGTTTTTAAGAACGGCCCAAAGTTGCTGGGATTAAAGGTTGCCAATCTGAGGTAATCCGAGGGCACTTATTAATGACGGTATGCGTACTTTTTCCTTCAGGTCATTGCCGTTAATCAAACATGGCTTCCTCGATGTGATCATGGACAATTCTTCACCAATGATGTCATAGACCCAAAATTAAATGTGAGAATTTTTGCATCGGGTTTGCCTAACGGATCCAAGAGCATTTCAAGGGAAATGGTTCTAACTTCGACCTGATATACCTCCGACTCCCCTGTATTTTCAGATTTCCTATTCAACTGTGTTTGCGGGAATTCCTGACTGCTATACAAATCTCTTCTTCAAAACCCGATATGCCCTCCGGTACATATACTGCGAGATCTCTAGCAATTTTGATTGGTATTTGAAGGTATGCCGGTATTTTGCTATCAGGACTTGGATAATAGATCTGCATTCAACTAGGAAATAATTTTCTTAGGCTGATGACGACACTTACGTGATCCTAGAGAACCTACGCGCCTACCTGGCCGAGCTAGACCCTAGCATTCCGTATTATCTTGGATATCGATTACGCCCGTTTCTTGTAAGTATCTTTAGGCTTATTTATTCTCGATTGCATAAGCTACAAATTCCTGGAATCTCAAGACATTACAACCGTCAAGAATCAATTTTCGGAACACGGCTACAACGCTGGGGGAGCGGGGTATGTTTTGTCTCGCGCTGCCATGAAGCTATTCGCTGAAAAGTTGTACGGAAATGAGACGCTCTGTCCGGATGACAAAGATGAGGACGTCGGGCTAGCGAGGTAAAAATCCGGGAGATTTCAGGAGAATGGTAGTCGCGGAATAGGTTGTATAAGCTGTATTAACAGTATGCGAAATGCCACCTCGTTGCTCAGGTGCTTCGCCGATATCCAAATATATCCACACGACACCAGGAATGAGCGTGGGCAGCAAAGGTATGTCTTCAAGGATTACTTCCAAAATTCACTTTTTCTACGCTAATAACCAGTTACCAAGTGTTTCACTAATTAACAGGTATTAAGTTAACAATTAACAATTAACCAAGTATTACAGGTTCAACGCGCTCCGCCCAAATGAAATGTTTAAGGGCACGGGTCTCGACGCGCTTTACTGGAATTATTATGGCGAACTAGAGGTAATTGATCAATCTGTGTTAGTGTTAGTTATTAGGCAATATTCCAAATTGACTGTCAAATTGTAGGGCATAGTACTTAAGGATTTTTATACTATAGCTCTGAGACAGCCACACCTTACGTCGGGTTCCAACGATTCCTATCCTTTTTTCAGGGGTTTGAGGCGTTCGGCGACGACCTGATTTCCTTTCATCATCTGACTCCTGATGAGATACGCCTAATCGATGTGCTACTCTACCGGGTGCGGAAACCGCCAGGAGACGGAACAAAAATTGTTCCTGCAAAGCGGAAATAAACTGTCGTTGCGTGCCGCGAGTGATAAGAACAGACGCTCGCTTCCAAATGATAAAACGTCGATGCCCTCTTTGCCATACAAACAACAATTCCTTTTCCTGATGGTTTTTTTTAATCCTATGTTATTTGTCTTACAATTTTCCAGTTGATTTGTATTTATTTTTCATAAGCTTTCTCGAAAGTGAGGTAAATTTAGGATGCTAGTTTTTCTAGCCTCGGCTTTGTTGATACATTTCGTGATTGCGGAAGCAGATCCGATAACTACCACGAGTTATGGAAAACTACGAGGATTTGATTATAAACGTAGTGTAGGTTTTCAACAGAGTTTTTCATGAATTTTCAGGATGGCGGCTTCTCAGAAGTTTTTCTCGGCATACCATTTGCTAAACCTCCAATTGGAACGCTGAGGTTCGAGGTGGATTTTTATAGCATTTTCATCGTTAAAATTGTTTTAGAAACCAAAGCCTCCAGAAAGCTGGGAGGACGTACTTGATGCTACGAAATACGGCCCAGCTTGCTATCCACATAACAAAACCGAAATTCGCGAACCAACAAGCGAGGACTGCTTACATTTGGGCGTAATTAGGCCGAAGGAGGCGGTAGGTGCAATAACATGCGTTTTTCCATGCTAAATTTTTTTAGAAGACTTCTGAAAAGTTGCCTGTCCTCGTCTGGATCCATCCGGGTGGTTATTCCGTGAGCTCGGCCTCCAATTACCATTATTCGGTATAAGATTTTCAATACTTTCATTTTATTGTTTTTAAAATCTTCCCGTCTTAAAATTGCCATTTTCAGGGACTTGCCAACATCTACAACCCGCATGGCATCATTGTCGTTGTGATCCAGTATCGCCTCGGATTTTTTGGCTTTTTTAGCGATGGAAATGACTTACCCGGAAATTTGGGACTCTGGGATCAGGTTTATCGATTTTTTCGCTTAATATGCACATTTTTCAGGTCCAAGCGCTTCAATTTATCCAGGAAACCATTGAGGACTTTGGCGGAGACAAGAACAAGGTAAGCGACAGCTCGCATCGATTATTTATTTTTAGGCAACAATTTGGGGAATGTCAGCCGGAGGAGCATCCGCTTCTCAACTAGCTCTTTCTCCACACGCAGAAGGTACTAACAAAATTTATGCATTTACGATACATTTGCCATAATTTAGACCTCTTCCACCGTCAAATTGCCATGTCGGGAGGGGCACTGATGAACTGGGCTTTTGGAGAGAACGTGATTTTGCATTCTGAAGCAATGGTTTTCGAATTGGGGTATGAAAATTTTATGTCTTTCAAAAACAAAATGTATATTTGTAGCTGCTCCTTAAACGTCCCTTTGAAGGAATGTCTTCAAGAATTACCTGTGGAAAGGTTTTACGATGCTGTGGAAGTTTTGGTAAGTGAAAAAGGCAAGAAAATCGATATCCAGAGTTTAGGGAAGTTCCCAATACAGTATGGATCTCCTTAAATGGCACCCTAGGGTTGATGGTGATTTATTTCCTGCCGAGCCAGAGATTTTAATAACGGTATTATAGACAAACGAAATTCCAAACTGCTCTTTTAGAAAGCCCTAAAACGACCACAATTAATGGGAGTAGCCAAGAAGGAGAGCTTGTTCTTTGGTAATTTTTCGGCGAGCTATTTATATTTTGACTCGATTTTTAGTGATCCTAAATGAAGGAAAATCGATGCAAACCCTTGAGGTGGACCCAAGCGAATTCCAAAACTTTGACCGCGACGAGCTGGAAAAACGGATAAAGTTAAGATTTCAGGTTTTTCGAAGTATCTACCAGTTTTAGGACCTGATAGCAATATCGGAATATTTTGGCCAGAAGCATGAAAATGTCTTTGAAGAAATAATGAGAGAATACACAAGCGGGGAGCAGGATAATAATCGTTCTGGCTTCTATTTGGAGATGTACGCCAAGGTTAGATATATGTACAATCCATAAGAAAGATTTTTAAAAGAATTTATCTACTTTTGAGCGACCTTCGAACAAGTTCGAACATGTTTTCAGCTACTCTCTGATCTCAATTTTAACGTCGGAATGATACGCGAGGCCAAGCTTCGGGCTCAAAATGGACTCCCAACTTTTGTATATCTCACGGAACACTTTAACAAGGCCATCTATCCGGAGGGTTATGAGGTGACAGGTAAGCCATTTTATTAATATTCTATGACTTGGTATACTTTGCATATACTTACATTCTATGACAAAAATGTTAACCTAGGTGCCACACACGTCTCCGAGCTCCCATATATTTTCGAAATATTTCCTAGTGGGAAATTTGCTATTAATGGTACAGGTTTTTGCCGCGAAATAAATTAATATTTAGGCGATACCGTGGAAGAAAGTGTCAACAAAATTTTCCAACAAACGATGATCAACTTCGTAAAAACTGGGTAGGCCCGACTGGAAAAAAAAGAATTTTTAGGCTACCGACAAATGATATCTCACCATGGGAGGCGCTGACTTCAGAAACTCTGGATGACCTACCGTACCTACGAATCTCGGCGACACCAACTATGGAAAAAGGGCTATTCGCTCGAGAGTTAGAATTTTGGGATCGGATATCGAGAGATTATGGTTATGACTTGGTCTCGTTGGAGAAGAAGCCAAAAATCAGAGGCGAAAAATTTGAATTGTGATACCATTAATGCATTGCCGTGATAAGCTTGGGTTTTGGTGGGAACGATTTTCGAATTTTCCTTCTTGAATAAATAGTGTAGACGCTGCCGCGTCGTTGCAAAACATGACAAAATCTTTGCAACCGCAACCACCGGAGCCGTGGATATTCGTAAGTACGTGCGCTCCAGCGCACACGTGTCCAACTACAATAAATCCACGGCAAACACCAGCCCCCAAATCCCCGCTCCAACCGCCGCTTCTTCCCCATTGACGTTCAAAAATTAAAGTCACCCCCAAAATCCGGCAACGACCCCGCGCTGCCCCCCGCCCCGCGGCCGCTGAACTAACAAAGTTGCCCGACCCGGCCAGGGGGAGGGCCCCCCTCGAAAAACCTGCGAAAAAAATTGGCCAGCCCATTTAAGCGGTGGAGGCGATGTGTGTCTCATATTATAGCAATGGTTAGGCGACTATTGGCACTGCTGTCCGTCACCCTTGTCCACGTTGCGTTTGCAAGTAGGCCGGTCGTTTCGGAGTTAAAATTTTTTGAATTTTCAGCTGACGACTGCCCGCAGAGTGGGTTTCGTGTGCATCTTTGATTTTGATTTTCTACCTGCTTTTAAAAATTATTCTGATGGGATTAAGTGGGTGAGAAAACGGAAAAAGTGGTCGAGGATGCAAATATCTGTTTAATTTAGCGGAATTTTTCACGATAACTTTTCGATATCATTTGGAGTTTACCTACGTTGGAATTTTTCTCGTTTTTGTTTTCAACTTGTTTTGATTTCAAGAATTCGAAAACTACAACAATAAGTGATTTTCAGCGTACCCCTCCGGCTGCAGCTTTGGACGTAAGTTTTTCCGAAGGAATTCCGACTCAAGGAAGACGATCACGAGATTATCATTATCATGAATTCTGAACGCCTTAAACTACGTAGATATTCAAGTAATTTTTTTTGAGCGGCCGGCGGAGACAACGGTGACACGTGTGACACGAATCAGTGCAAGACGCTAGACTCGGTGCGGAAAATTAAAATTAAAGCTCAATTCCGCCTGTTTTAGGGCGGCTTCTTGTACGAATGCTTCTGCACGACCTGTGACACTTCCACCAGCACTTGCGCTGCGCCAACGACCGTAATTAGAAAGAGTAAAAAACGATAGATTGTTATTACTTCCAGGCTGCCGTCGTGACCACCCAGGCCGCAGCTGTCACTACAGCTGCTGCAGGTACCACCACCAAGGCCGCTGCCGCTACCACTGCTACCACTGCTAAGGTATCACGACGTTACATTGCATCGTCACTGCCTTAAGTTATATCAGCCATCCACTACGTACCTTACTTTTAGGTCACCGCCGCCCCCGTTGCTACCACCAAGGCCGGTGCCAGCTGTGGCGTTGACAACTCGAAGTAGTTCCTCACTAAATGCGATGTATTTTCCGCTTTCAGTTGCGCCACCTGGGTCAGCAACGGCTTCTGCACGTCCACCTCCTACACGGCCGCCCAAAAGCTGCAGTACTGCCCCAACTATTGCAACCAGTGTGGCGCTACTACCACCAAAGCCACAACGGTGAAGACAACAGTCAAGACCACGGCGAAAGTGACGGTTAAGGCCACGACCGCCAAGTTGTGCCCGGCTGACACGAATGCCAAGTGAGTTTTCAATGGTATCTAATCTTTAATGAGACCTAAAAGTCAGGAGCCAGCCAGTTTGAACCATCTGTTGAGGTTCACGTCCCATTCTATCGTATTTGCTTTAGCTGCGCGACGTGGGCCGCCAACGGCTTCTGCACAAACCCCGGCTACACGGCCGCCCAGATTGCCTCCTACTGCTCGCGCACCTGCAAAACCTGCTAATCTGGTGCCGATCTGCCCGGGATGCCTAATAATAAATCGAGTTTTCGGGGGATCTGGCTCTGTGATTCTGGATCTGTGATTCGCCATAGCGAGTCACATTATTACGAAAACTTTTTGGAATTTTGGAAGCTACAAAAATTTGTGGAACTGCACGAATATATAGCTACGCATCAAAAATTTGTAGTTTAGATGGGCTATAAGGTAGCATGTTTGCTACTTCACACGTCCTTACACACGTGCAGAATTCCTAAACGTACTAAACAAATTGACGCAGCTCCCTAGAAATTCAATATCTCAAAATTAATATCCGGTGCGCAGACTTGACTCTCAAGGTCACATGTTCTTATTACAAACAATAAATCAACACAGTATCCAATCACACACATAAAATATTATGCAAAACTTCTCATAACGCGCTAAAACCAGCGTTGCTCCTGGAATTCAGGTGCGGTCGTCGGCGAGCTTGTGGGCTCAGTGGTTGTGGTAGAGCCGGCACTCGTTGTAGGGTCGGTGGCCGTTGAAGGCCCCGTCGTGGTAGACAGCGACGTCGTAGTAGGCCCGGTGGCCGGCGTAGGCCCGGTCCAGGTTGTATCAGCCGGAAGCTGAGCTGCATTGATAAACGCCATAAGCTGCGACAGTGAATTTGTATCGTCCGGGTTGTACATGTAGTACTCGTTCCGGATGACGTCTAAAAAGGGCTCCGATATTGTGGCTAGAATGCGGCGAATGTCACTATCATTCTCCTACCCTTACCATAGGCTTTCAGATTGTAATCGACCATGTCGAGTAGGATATTTGCTACTACTGCGCTCCCATACATATTCATCCCGAATACATTCGCGTCATGCCGTAACGCGCTCATCAAGCTTCCTGACGGTAAGTCGTCGGTGAGCAGTCTGAAGTGAGTTTCTTAACCTGTGGTTTCACCGGGTTGAGAAAGTGTCACTTTCGAGACGCGATTTGAGGCCCTTCCCGGGTATAAAACGCCCTAATTCTGAGTCACTAGGAGGAATCGACCCTTAACTTACCGCTGGTGTCCCCTCAGAAGTTCGATAAAATACAAGTTTACAAAGCCAAGGCCGTTTTTATTCCTTTTTGCAGTCCGGGAGCGCCAATTTGTTTAATGTGAAAAATAGAAATCCCCTCATTCTTGCCTACTGCACGCGAGAGTGTGGCTGGTGTGAGGAGCGGGCCCGAAGCACTTGAGCTATGGGGCACTCGAGCTATGGAAAAGACAAATCTTATATGCAAAACGCGGATTTCAGCGCCGCTGGCTTGTTTGATAATCAAGTTTTATAAGAGCATATCTAATTGTCACTCCTTAGCCCCCGCTAAATATCCTACCTCTGCGTTTCCAGCATCACCAGGATGACCGTGGGCTTGTCCGCTCGCCCCCAAGCCGCCATATTGTTTTGCACATAGGTCAAGGTGTCTTTTAGATTCGTCCTCGCATTGACCACAGCCCCGTATGGGATCGTAGTGTTCTGAGCGGACTAAATTTTGATCAGTTGAGGCTCACCGCCAGGAACGCTTTCAGCTCGTCGTAGTTCTGCGCGTCTCGCGGTAGCCATCCAAGAACGGGTTGGCTGGCGGCAAAGACGGTCCCAACCAACGAGCCAGTGAGCGAGATGTTCATATTTCCGGTTAGGGCGCCCAAATAGCTCCATACCTATTAAAGGGGTAGGTCGACTCGATCGGTTCATAGAGGCCATTTCAGCCAACGATTTGATAAATTTTTCGCGCCTCCCACGCGCCTCACGCGCGACACGCTTCGATTAATTTTGATGCGTTGCGTCTTGCGTTTTTGCGTTTTGTCTTTTTTTCAAAAAAAAAACCAACTGCCGTCAAATATTCTGGCTTTGTATCATCGTTCACGTCCACCACAACGATCAAATCAACGCCTTGGGTGTTCGGCTGAACCGGCGCGGCATGCAGCTCCAAGTAATATTCATAGTTGGCTGTAATATTGACAGGATTGCCTGAAAAACGACTCCGAACCTCGCGCCAATATCATTTGGACGGTCTCGTCGAGTTGCGCGACATCATTGCTTTCCAGAATCTGGGCCATTGCCTCCCGGGACGTCGCACAGTCTCCCCAGAGCGTCCCGTTCGGCCAATAGTAGAAAACACCGGTTTGGTAGTAGAACGTGACGTTGCAGGGCTGGCTGAAAAAGAACATTAAGTTGACTTTCGGAGGCATACACTGCTGGTAGACCATTTCCGGCCGCCAGGACGATAAACGAGTACGCCCCGCCGCGGTAGCCGGCTGCGGGTTTGATCAAGTGGTCGTAGGCATAGAGTCGGGCACTGAAGTCAAATACCGATCTCAGGTTTGTTCATAAAGGGAAACGCACCTGAACGCGTCGAATGGCATCGCCAGGTCCTGGTTGTACGTGAGCCCGTCAAGCCATGCGCTTTTGTCTTCAAGGTTAAAGTCGGCCGTCCAGTTGTTCGCCAGGTTAGGGTAATAGATCGCAAAGTTCAGCGACGATCCGCCATACGTTTGAATGAATTGAAGCGTCAGATCCTTTTGCTAGATATCTAACATCACAAAAAGCGTATGACACAAACCAAGTAAAATATCTCCGCAGTAGCATCCGCGCTGGCTTCGATGATCAATACGATGTCTTGTGGATTGCCCCTCAGCTCCTTCGTGAACAGACCTTGCATGTAGTCTGCAATTTTATCGACCTGGCAAAGCGTGAAAAAAATACCATTCGTAATCGCCTCCGAGGCCCATTTGGCCACCTCGTCAGTTTGTCCAGTTATCCACTGCTTCAAGTAGTTTGGAGCGCTAATCATAGGCTTTCTTAATAATTCCGTGATCGATGATACCTAACAATGTCCTGCAAGTACGCCTCCGCTGCTCCAGCGCCGAGAAAATCGACCGCAAAGACATTTCCCGGGCCCTTTAGTGACTTTTTGAAATCAGGAGTAGATCCGTCTACTCTGAAGATCCTAAAATTCACGAAAAGAAATGGAAAACTACATTGGACTAGCGGCCAGGAAGACCGAGGTTGTAGTCGGGCCGAGGTGTGTTTTCGGGAGTGGCTCGCAAGTTTTGCCATCACCGCAGCTGAATGCTGAATCGCTCGGTAATGCGAAAACGATACCTGAGACGGATGCTTTCGGTCCCGTGGTTTAACTGCAGATCTGTGATCGTCTTCGTGTCGTAGACATCGATGCACTAAACTTTGTCTCCTGCAACCCTTAAAGAGGCTCCGAAATGCCAAAAATTGAATTACGGCCCAAGGGGGACCCTGAACGCCGAAGGCCTTTGCACACCCCAGGGGGCGGGAAGCGCGCGAACTTGAAATTTCCCGTTGTCACCTCCAAATCCCGTTCTCGGCTGTTTCTGGGCCAAATTCGACGATTAGAAGACCAAAATGATTTAAAATAGCGTGAGGAATTCAGAAATGAACTCATAATTTGCGATTATAGTGTTTTTATCCCAAAAGGACTGATAATTGGTATTTCGCGCCGCTTTAACGCGGTCTGCAATTTAACCTGAGCCATATTGTTCGCCGTCCGTCCCATTTTTTGTTTTTGAGCGACAGTTCAATCTGTAGCACCCTGTAGCACCGGTTTACCTGGTTAACGACGTTCGTGAGCGGGCATAAGCTAAACCGAGGCTCATTGTAGATCTTCGGCAACGCCTTCCAGAGCACCAAGATGAAATCTTTCATCTAGAGAACACGCTTATAAAACAACGCTTAACCAACGGAAGCAAAAATAGCGTCCGTAACAAAGGTGGACTGGTCGTAGTAGATGACGACACTTTGGTAGGCGGCCGAAATGTCGATCGGTGGTCTTGGTTGGTATGTTTGAACGATGCCCAGCCAATCTAAAAAGTTGAATTGAAAAGTAAGGCTTGGGACTTTACTAAAGGTGACCCATAAATACCTTGGGCATCCTTGCGCAGTAGCGTCTGATGCAGGTCCAAATCGACGGCCGCATCATCCAATTTTGACGAAGATCCGACAATACACTCCAGAGAATTTTTCGCAGCCCCAGTGATGTCCAATCCTCTCACAAAATCGGATTGAGAGGGCGTGATGACTTGCTGGTTGCAGTCGTCGTTGCTGAATTAAAATATAAGGTGAAGCCCAATTCTAAACCCACGAAGACATGCCCATGATGAAGTAAAAGAACGTCGGGATACGCCCCTGATACTTCTTTAATTCCGTCGCAACGTTATCGATATTCCATCCGGGTTCAACGTCGGTTTTCTAAAAACTTTGTAGTTTGGCTTTGGCAGTTTGTCCCACCAAGTTTGACAATCTTGTCTTTACACTGGCAAAATCGATGGCTTCTCCTTGTATGAATGAAGACGCTGATGAATTTGCACCCCCTTGAACAAGGACGCCGATCCTCGCGTGTCCCGGCAAAATCGTCAACTGCTGCGCCATGCTTGTCATGAAATTGATTGCCTGGAGAGTAAAACAATAATATTAGTTTTGGTGGTGTACCGTAGTCAATTCCGAGGCCATTGAGTTGCTATAGACTTGGATGACGAAGACCCAGTCGGCGTCAACGCGGGTCGTTGGGAAAATCGGTTGCTTTGGGGCAAGGGCGGCCGAGAAGCTGCCCATCGCTGGATCCAAAGTCTGGAATGTCGAGGTAATTTTTATTGCCTTCTTTCTTTCTCTCTCTCTCTCTCTCTCTCTCTCTCTCTCTCTCTCTTTCTCTCTATTTAGCTGTCCCTGTCACGCTGTCTCTCTGTCTCTCAGTATATTTGTCTCTCAGGCTCTTTGTCTCTCTGTCGCTCACCCTCTCACTCTCAATAGTTCTCTCACACCCGCTCTCTAGCGCTTTCTCACTCTCTCGCGCTCTCCCTCTCTCCCTTTTCCTTACCGTGCTATACGCATCCGTCGCAACCGTATCAGCCATGATCAGCGGCTGGAAGGTGCTGAACACCTGCGCGCCAAGCCGTACAAATTCAGCCATATGCGCCGGGTTCTGTTGCAAGCTGATCCCGAACACAGAGCAGTGAGCCTTTAGCAGATCGACAAATTCATCGGGAATCTGGGTGAATCTGAAAGATACGGTGCTTAGAATTATGATTTATGTACTTTGGTGATGCCATGATGAAGATAACCATTTGGGCCCGCGGATACATTGGAGCTTGTTGTTGGATCAAGTCCGAGACGTAGCCAAATGCTCTAAACGCAGAACTTTCTTGACTTATACATGTGATACTTACTTCACCATATCAAAATCCATCCGATTCGTCACGCCATTCCCATAGTAGGCATTCCTGAATTGGGCTTCCGTAGCAAACATGGCCCCTCCGGCTTCCGTAAAAATCCCGGCGTTCGTGGTCTCATATCCGGTCCAGAAGTTGGGCACGAAATAGTCAAACACCTGCATTAATTTTTACCTTGACGTTTTTCCAGCGTAACGCTTACAACTTTGTCCAAATCGTATGCAAAGTAAGAGCGGTCGACGACGATGTACACATCTTTCGCCTTCGCGTTTGCTAACGGATTCTTGGGCACCGGTTCACGCTTGTTGATTTGAATTTTGGATGCTAAAAACCAAATTAGAGCGATTTTTGGATCCAAACCGGTAGCCAGTGCGTTTTGCAGCATTGCCTGGGCCAATCCCGGTCCTTGAACTGCCTGTCCTGCCATGGTATTCAAATTTCCTGGCAAAACGGTGAAATTCCCGCTTCCGGAAGCCGCACATAGGAGCCAGTCGAGACTCTGTAAAAGCCAACGTTAGCGATACACGACTGCCTTTTTGAACTCATCAAAGTCCGAACCTGCGCCTTTGTCGAGACAGCAAAAAACACGGCTTGTTCTGGTAGCATGCTCAGATCCCCACAGTTTGCATTACTAGAATTATTTTTAGAAGTTGATGATTACTCATAGCAATTACGCTTGTGTTGAAGAACCAATCGTCACAACAACCAGGGCTCCGTCCCGGAAACCAGAGGAGGTGAGGTTGTTGGCCGCGTAGAAAAAGGCACTAAATTGACGTGCTTTTCCGGTTTAGCTATGAACATACTATTCCAGGTCCAATTTATCGCCACGGTCAGGGTCTAGTGTCGTGATCAACGCCTTTTTGAGTTGGTTCGCCGTACGGTACTTATTGAAGGGTATTTCCTCTTGGACCTCGGAGTCGACGTAAAGTAAACCGAATTTGGTCAGCTCAAAATCGTAGGTGTCGATCATATTTGTGATCAATTGATTCACCTAAAGCTCTGTTGGCTGTGGGCTTATGGGTTACCGGCTGAAGGTCCGTGAGCGCTGTGGTGTAGTCAATAATGAAAAGGACATCTGCGGTAACTGTTGAAGAAGGCAAGGGCAGTGTTGAGATTCCATTTAGATACGCTTAACGAACTAAAATGTTGCCTTTTAACAATTCCAACCCCTCGACAAGAATGCCTGAAGGCGTGTCCTCAGATTGGCGACCAAATTATAGTTCCCTTCCGGTACTCGCACCACATTTTCCGGTTCAGCCAGATACGAGATCCATTTAATAGCATCTATTACGATATATCAAGTTTCGAAAAAGACCCTACTCGAAGCTCCAACGTCCATCGCAAAAGTAGGAAATTGCGTTCGATACTGGTTGACGATTGGGTCCATGGCGTAATCGCCTCTGCTCCCAAAAACCACGACCGCCACCGGTTTGTAAATTGGGTGACCAAGGGTTTCATCGAGGGTCAACTCGGCCAGAGCGGTAATTAAGCTTAAATCGAATAATTTAAAGGCGTGATGAAGTGTACTTTTTGAAATTCAGCGTTCCGCCCGCGTCTCCATTGTATTGGAGTCCGGCAATGGCATTGGCGAGATCGTTGGCATCTTGGCTCCTGTAAACAAATGCAAAAACCTCGGTAAGTACTGGCGCTTACCGCAAGAACGAAAACGAATCCTGGGCGATGCCTGCTCCATAACTCGCCACGGCAAACTGGGTCCCGCCGCGATCTGCCGACAGGGTGTACGATTGCACAAAATTGCTGATGAAGGTCTTGGTCTAGAAAATGAAATTTTGCGCACTCTTTCTCTCTCCCTCCCTCTCACTCTCTCTCTCTCTCTCTCTCTCTCTCGTTGTGTGCCTAGGCTCAGATCCTTGATCCCGCCAAACCTACATTCTGGAAAGTTGCTGAGCTCATTTCGCCAGTGTCAATCACGAATATAACATCAAGCTTCACATCAGCAGCTGCTACCGGTGTCGTCGTGTCAATATTACTTTGCAATTGGAGTTCGTATTCTAAAATTATTTGTAGCGTTTTTTCCCCGCCCGATTACCCCTGGAAGCGTCCACGGCCAACGAAGTCGTCGTCGAGTCTGAGGAATTCACCTTCCAGTTCCAAGTATTTTCCGTGAAGCACCCCAAGATCTCCGATTGCGCATCGCCGAGCGTCGAGATGCTGATTTTCTAACAATCGATAACACTAGAGAGTCGTGGCAAAAAATACCTTAACATCTGACGGTAGACTAGCGGTGGCTGTTTTGACTTGACTACATGAGTCTAGGATCCTGAAATGAATTAGAAGCGATTTGGTTTGCTTGCATCAATCGCGCTCAAAGCCAATTACCCACGTGGTGTTGCCGGAGAAAAGGACCAAAAACGTCGTTGCGCCCGGTCGCCATCCGTTTTGAGCGTTGAGCATCCGCGCCGCTTGGTTTATCGCGGAAACCGGGGAAAATGATGTGCTCGGCATGAGCAAATTTTGCGTCCAAGATAGTATTTTCTGTTTTAGTGCATCGAGGTCTGCAAATTTTTATTGAAAGTCCGAAAATTAAAATTGCCGTTTTAAGCTGAAATAAAAATATTTCAACGAACGTACCCGTGATCCCGTTGAATTGGAAGCCATTGTGGCTCACGTCCCAGGTAATTCCGTCCCACCATGTAGCAGCCCACTGCGAGGCCAGATCGTGCGATATCAAAAATTCGCTGGCAAATAGCGAAAGTTCGGATATCTACAATTTTTGAGGGCGGAGTAAGGTAGCACGCGAAACCTTACGAGTTGTGTGTTATTGCCGAGGGATGCGTCAAAGACGAAAAGCACGTCAGTTTTAATGCGATCTAGTGGTATGACGCTCTTGAATTGATCAGAAGGAGGTATCGTGGTTGTAGGTATGGTGGTAGTGGCTAAAGATTAATTATAAAGTTGATGATTAGGTTTCTTACAGGCGGTCGAATAATTGGGCCGCAACGTCGTGACTGGGGTTGGCTGGAATTGGTAAGAGGACCATACTAAAAAGTGTATGAGATTATGATTTTCTTGCAAATCTCGTCTCTCCGTCTCTCTCTCTCTCTCTCTCTCTCTAACAACCTACCGTTCAAGAGATAGTTGATATATCCATTTCCTCCAGCGATCACGCTAGCATCAGGCGCCAAAGTTTTTGTACGCACGATTTGCGTAGCAGCCATGATTGTTGGGATTACCTATAGCAGAACATCTCAGCAGCTATTATCAGCTACTAACCGCCCTTAAATTGTTATACACGTCATCCAACGGGTCCTGTGTCCGGTCAGCCAAGTCAAAACCGTAGAAGCTCAGGTACAAACGGCTTTGCAGGCTCGTGATGATGTCTGCGTAGTTGTCGAGAGTCTTGGTAAGCCTGAAATTTGGAAATAGGAACTTTAGCACTCTCAAAAATCGAGTTTACCTCGGGTTCAGGCTGAAGAACGTGGCAAAGCTCTGGTTGCCCCGGTACCCGCTCGTAATGTTGAATATCTCGTTGTCCAATGTAACCAAAGCTTGCCCAAGATGGGTGTTGGTGTTGTTAGTAGCTCTTGGTTGTTGTAGGGCATCGATGGCTGTCGTAAGAGCGCTGGCGCTGTGGTAGGTGTTGAAATAGAAGCGATCCTGGACGCCATCACCATTGTAGATGATCACGGCGACCTAGGGACGTAAGGATGCTATTTTGGCCCGTTCATTAATGTGCAAATTAATGCTACCAAGTGTGTGGGTAATAAAAAGCTCACTCTTGCCAAATCCCGATCAATCGATAATCCAGACACCAAGAATTTGAGAAGTATTTTCACCTAAAGCGGATTCACCTTAATTTTCAGCTTCCCAATGCCTGGTCCAAGACTCCATCGATCGAAACGTCAACCACAAACGCCAAATCGGCAATGATTTCGTTTAATTGGACCGGCGCCGGATAACGATAGGCTTTGTAGTCTAAAAGCCGAATATCATAGCGTAATTTTTAAAAATCAATCAGATTTTTTTACAATTTTTGTACCTGTCGTAACCTTCGCCACAATGTTCTGATCAACAGTCGAATCGTTGGTCAGCACCACCGGGCTCGCGCTTTCATAAAAATCAAAAAGGTTCTTGTACGCATCCGCAAGGGAGCCGTTCGACAGGTCGACGTAGGTGGTCACGGCATCTTTCTGTTGGAGGGTCGCCCGGACTTGTCTCATCGTTTCGAGATTCCAGGAGCTTCTAGAAAAGTATTTTTTGATGGGGGACAATTCTCTTTCGCTCTTTCGGCCGTGTCACATATGCTATGTAAATTAATCTGCTCCGTCTAGATCCCTTTAAAGCGCACGTTCAGGGAGGGGCCGTGTACTCGTCCCAACGTGTACACCCTATGGACGTAGGGACCGCGCGCACTGCCTGCCCGTGGCGTGGCAGGCGATTTCTCTCTCTCCTTTGCGGCGTGGGGCGCCCCTCATCCCCTAGCCAGGTTGTAGCTGTGGCTGACTGGTATGCATCCGCGCCTCCCGAGCGGAGGGCCCGGGTTCGACCCCCGGTCGCGGCAAAAATCTTTGCTTTTTTCCAAAAAAACCTCCCTGAAACGCTTTAAGGCTTTACTTACTTATCCTGCGCGGAGAACACCATCAAATAGCTCTTCGATTGACGCCAACCATCCGAAATGGTGAGCTGCTTTTGAGCCACGTAATCAAGTACCCTAGACGATCGGTACTGCAACGGTAGATGAACATTACGTTGTCAATAGGCTCGAGTTCGATCCGTTTTGGAGTGTCCAGTTTCCGATCTTGCCCTTAATACAGTCCTTCGTATTGCAGTCTTTGAAAGGGAATTCGTAGAGGATCTCCTGGCCGAAAGCGACGCCAGAAATTTGGACATCAAAGACACCGATCGAGAACTTTTCGATGAAGGACATGAGGTAGTTGGTGACCTGGAAAGTATACTTTAAACGGTTTTGGTGGCACTAAGTCCACAGTTCAAAACTCGTATTAGAAATTCGTGAAATTCCATAGTTACAGCCTTACCAAATCAAAAGAATTATCATCCATGTTCGCAAAGTCGAAGACAAGCGTGAAATCTGCATCCATGTCCTGGGTAGTGACGTTGCCGGCACGGATTTGATTCAGATTTGCTAAACCGCGGGTGAATTTCCAGATACACGACCAAAAAACGCGCCAAAATATACCTTACCAAGTTGGAAATCCGAGAAAAACGTGACGATCGGCGTCTGCTCGCCATTGACCGGGATATTCCAGTCCAAAAGCTGCTCGCCGACGTGGTAGGCGAATCGATCCTGAAATTGTACGGTATCACTATCTACCATTGCTATCTACCATCTATCATTGCAATATAACCAATTCTACGTGTTTAAAAAATATGACAAACCTCTGTCGCTAGAGTTTTGGTGAAATTGGGAAGCGTGGTATTGTCCAGTCCAAGCACCATAACCGTGTAGACGTCCTGGTTAAAGTACGTCAAGTTCGTCGAGCCGATTGGAATGACGTAGTTGCTAAAGTTGTTATACTATGCGAAAATGCTTAGAAAAGAAGTATATGCTCCTAGTCCTACTATATATAAAAAAATAATGTTTGTGTGTGTGCCACTTTGCATCCACTTCCGTTTGTCTGTCCGGAGGATATCTCAAGAAGGGACGTGTATTAGGCTACGTATGATACGTCATTAGATGCGTAATGGTCTAGGGATGACTGCACACATCAGATTGTTAAAAATTAGCCATTTTCGCAATTAAATTCAGGTTTTTGTAAAAACCTTTGTTAGGAATAATTAGCATAGACCGGAAGTGGGCGGTCGCCTATATAAAGAGGCAAACACGGTTGTTTTTCATTTTTTTTTGTTTTCTGAATGGAGGACAATTATGCAAAGAGCAGAATAGTACGGGGTCCGAGACCGGCCAGGGTTGAAAAGTCGCGAAGCGGCTTTTCAACCCTGGTTGCTCTAAAATGAGGTTGAAACGGGCGCCAGTAGCCTCGAAAATCCTAAAAAGTGGACATATCTTACCAGTCATTATTTGCTGTTAGGAAAATCGTAAAACTCGGCGCAGTATTGCGTTTTCCATTCGCCTGGTCGCTAATGGTGGCGTTGATATAGGCAATGGCACTAAGGCAAGGGTTTTTAGATTTGTATTTTGGTTTCGTCTTACTCGTCATACTTCGCCGTCTTCAACGCTCGGTTCACCGGTTGAATCTTGTTAATGTTGTCGACGAGGACCTAAATTATGGCAAAACCGTGTTAAATTAAAATATTGTATGTCATAAGGTTTGTCCTCGTTTTTCCTTACCGCCTTGTCGAACTGATCGTTCATCACTTTTGATTGTGGCAAGACCCCAGTCGAATCGAAAACGACGAGGCCAAATCGAGAAAAGTCTTTGCCGATTGCAAAGAACTAAAAATCGTGGGTAATCGATAAAATAATATGCAAAAATACAAACCTGCGTGAACCTTCGTAAAAATTCCTGGACGTTAGTCAGTTGTTGGGGATCCATTTCTGCGTCGATGGCCAAGACGATGTCGGCTTTCATGCTTGGAATAGGAGGCGGTGGTTGGTCTGAAGGTTGAGATTTGAATTTTGGATTAGAGAGAGGGAGAGAGAGAGAGAGAGGGAGGGAGAGGGAGAGAGAGGGAGAGAGAGGGAGGGAGAATGAGAGAGGGAGAGAGAGACAGGGAAAAACTTACGCTGCCCGGTCACTTTCTGGTATAACATAGGCCCAATCAGGTCCAGCGGCGTCGCCATCCCATAGGTCGGATCGGAAAACTCCTCTACCGCCCGGTATCCGGTAGACATTGTTGCTAGGAACGTGTCGTTCACAGCACCCAGACCAATCGTGAAGATGTTCACACCACCCTGGGCCAGCGTCAGCAGTGTATTCTTGTACTGCCCGTTGTTGGTATGCAAATTTTGCCTGAAGGCAGGTAAAGAAGTCAAAAAAATTGCTTACTCTCCGGTGGTAAAAATCCACAAATAGTTTGGCTTGCCAGTTTGGTAGCCGGCCAGGGGTTGGTAGATGTGGTCGGAGAGCATTTGGATGGCTCTGGAATTATAATAATTTTGTCTGTCTCTCTCACTCTCCTTCTCGATCTCTCTCTCGCTCTCTCTATCGCGCCCTCTCTCACTCCCTCTCTCTCTCACTCTCTCTCTTGCTCTCTCTCTCTCTCGCTCTGTCGCTGAAGGCTTTCTGTATAAAGGCTTGTCGATCAGAATCTCGAATTACAAAATCTCGAATGACAAAATCTCGAATGATTAGAATCTCGAATGATCAGAATCTCGAACGATCAGCATCTCGAATGAACAGAATCTCGAATGATTAGAATCAATAGCTGTAGCAACACTATCTAAAAGTTTAAGTCTTCAAGAATTTGAGCCCTTTGCGTCGAAAAAAACGAATTTTTCGACTTAACGCTAATGTTCTTCATTATCATTTTGTAAAGTATGATGTTCAAAAAGGACCATCCCTCGGCAGGGCATACTCACAGCCTACTAGCTTCTATCTAAGGCAAAAAATCTATGCTGGATCGAGCCAGACGAAACTAGATTAGGATATCAGTGGGAATCCTGGCATTCGAGATTTGTTCATTCGAGATTTTGACCATTCGAGATTTTGTCATTCGAGATTCTGTCATTCGAGATTTTGTAAATTCGAGATTCTGATCGTTCGAGATTCTAATCATTCGAGATTCTGTTCATTCGAGATTCTAATCGTTCGAGATTCTGATCATTCGAGATTCTGATCATTCGAGATTTTGTCATTCGAGATTCTGATCATTCGAGATTTTGTAATTCGAGATTCTGTCAATTTACCGTATAAAGATATATTTAAAACGCACTGATCGATATCCTTCGTCGGCACATGATTATCCGAAGGTCCGTATTGCAGATTTATCGTCAACGCCTCGTAAATCGATTCCCAGCTCGAGTGGGCGGTGAAGTTGAACAGGGTCTGGAAAATGTTACTTAATAGTTGTTTAAATTCTGCTCATCTTACCGTAGCCGTTCCATCAAAAGTCAACAGGGCCACGTGCGTCATCGCCGGCCCAGCGTCAAATTTGAAGTTTCGAAGCGTGTTTAGCAGGAAAAGACGTAGCTAAAAAATAAATGGTGGAATTTTATAGCCCGTAAAATAATTAAATAGTTATACCAACCACTTCAAAGCCCTTGTCGTTAAGCGCAGAATTTTCTGCGTCGGCACCGGCGATGCCGAAGAGTTTGTGAAGGCCCGGATCGGTAGAGGTATCTGAAAAAGGTAGAAAGTAAGGCCGTCAAGGGTGTAAAACATGCTTATTAATGACGCAATCTAAAAAACATGGCGAAAATTTAAAAGTTTATTGAATATGTGATTAACGATACATAACAGAGGCTAACGAGACGAAGAACTTCAAGCTTTCTACCTATTACGATCGCCAGGTCCGGCCAATTTTGCTCGGGGGGGATGCCCTGCGGTAGGAATCCTGGCTGGGTAGTTGGACCGTTTGGTGTCGTCGTTGGGGGAAGCGTCGATTTTCCTAGAAAGGACTTAGTTGAACATAAGAAGATATGCGTTTAAAGGGCCAATCAATGTAGAACTACTTGTTTTTCGTATTCACCGTACATACATGTTACGCTTTAGACTCCATAAAGTAAGAATCATTCACGACCAAACCCTGCTCGTCCTCCCAACTTACCTTCACCCGGATAATGGTCACAAACAAAATCCCGAAGCTGATTTGCTGTATAAACAGCTGGCACTCCATCGGGTCCCATTAAATCCTCCTCACCGATTAGCTACGAATGGTTTTTTTTTCAAAAACACTATATCAGTTTACCGTATACTTGTTCCAAATATTTTCCATGCCCCAGAAATATGACGCATTCTCGCTGGTACCAAGCCCAAAGTTGTAGATACCCGCCTCGACCATTGGGCCCGTAATGTTGAGCGCTGCTTCCTCGTCGAATTCGCTAAATTAACATCTAATTTAACCAGTTACCTTGACTAGATGCCTTAAAGGCTGCTAGAACTCTTGAACGCACACTGTCACCCCGAGGGTGCGCCCCCCAAGAAAGCGCAGAGAGCGGCGTCATTAGTGGCGCCCCGTACTGGGCAAAGGCCCTCTGGGGTTTGGGGCGCCTCTGACTCCTTTCCCTACTCGGACCTGTGGTATAGTGGTTAGCGCGTCGGACTGTGGAGCGGACCATCGCGGGTTCGACCCCCGCCCGGTGCGTAACTTCTTGGTTTTAGCGAAATTTTGATCGTTCTGACGGTCTTTAACGATATGCCTTAACTATCAATTCTATTAAAAATTTAAACCTACTCCAACATTTCAGTAATGGCAATTGTCGACCAAGAAGCGTAGGATTTACCAGACGTGTTGAATTGTTTCCAGGCCTCTTCGTAAGCCCTAAAAATTAATGAAAAAAGATAGCAAGCGTCAATTTTTGAGGCAACCCTCAAAAGCCTTAACCTACAGGCTCAAATTGCTGAATTCCGCGTCGTTGTTCACAAATTCAATCTTTTCCACGGCCATTATGACGGTAGTTAGGTTGTAGCTGGCGCGAAGACCTTGAACCACCGTTACGGTATCGCCATAATAGGTGAGGATGGCCATTCTTGTGAGCTAAACGTCATTTTGTATAGATGGTCCTTATTGCTCTCTCTCTCTCTCTCTCTCTCTCTCTCTCTCTCTCTCTCTCTCTCTTTCTCGCTCTTTCTCTCCATACCTTATCCGTTCCACCGTAATCCATTCCCTTGAAAGCCTCAAGCAACGTGGCAATCGTATAATTTTTCACGGCATAAAACAGTTCCTCCTGCCCGGTCGGGGGAATATGAATTATCAGCACTATATCCGACTTTTCTTGGCAGAAATTCTCTTAAAATATGCGTAAAAAGGTTGTTTTTGTCGATTTGCTCACTCAATTCCGGCTGCATACAGTTCCCCTGTTCGACGGCTTGTTGCCTAAACTCAAGCAACTGGTCGACCAGCAGCGCTCCGATTTGTTCAGCATCGCTGCGGGTGAATCCAGGGACCTGGGTACGGTAAGGCACTTTCAGAGTGAAATGCTGAATACTTCAAAATTTGGTTGTCCCGTGATCATCGACATAATTGTTTCGTTTTTGCCGGTTCCGATGACGGCAGCTGGAAAACGAGAACTCAATAATTTTAATGACGTTTTTGCGTCTTTTGATAGAAGTTTTATTAATAAGTATAATGGCGTTGGTGGCTCATTTCAATTAGGTGTTACGCATCTTAAACAATTTTTTTATTGGAAACTCAATAAATTTTTGGACATGCGAAAAAACCCCATCAATCATCTAGTTTTTGGGTCAAGAAACCTGCTAAAAACGACCAGGCAAAACTTTCGCCACGTGAATTTCGGTACGTTGATTTTTCTACCTTTCATCAATACACCACTCTCCAAAAGTGTAGACGAGATATTAAACGGATCGTCGCAGCAGTCCTGCCCGGGTTGCGTAAAGCTAAAGGTTTCAGCATTAGCAGAATTCGGATTTTTCCTTACGTTCCTCTGCCAAAAATGAAGATCACTTGGGCGTTGCTCGTTGGGGAGGTTCCGAAGATCTTTTCGGCAAATTCAAGGCCACTAAAACAATGTGTTAAATCGTGCGATCTTAGAAATTTTAGTTATCCAATTTTTATCAAAGTTCTATACTAATTTTATTGAACCTTTTCCTTAAAGGGGCTACGAAATGCCAGGAATTGAGCGACGGCCCGAAAATCGGAACCCTGTACGTCGGAGGCAGGGGCGTAGCCAGAAAAAAATTTCGGGGGGGGGGGCCCCCAAAAAATTTTTCCAAAAACCTCAAAACATTAACGAGAAAACAGCGCCGCAGGCAAAAAATTTTGAAAAAAGGTTACATAGCTCTACAAATAGCCGTAAAAACGTGAAAAAATAGCGCCGCAGGCAGCAAAATTTTCGAGAAAATGAAAATCATAAGGGTCCCCCCTTATGAAATTTTCGGGCCCCGGCCGATTTCGGGGCCCGGGCCCCCGGGGCCGGTATTACGCTACGTCCCTGGTCGGAGGCCTCTGTACGCCCAGGGGCCCGGGAAGCTCGCAAATTTGAAATTGCCTGTTGTCATCTCGAAATCACGTTCTCGGCTGTTTCTGGGCCAAATTTGATGATCAAAACACCAAAACTATTGAAAATTGAGTGAGGATTTCAAAAATGGGCTCAGAATGCGCCAATTATAGTGTTTTCACAAAGAAACCGGGCAAAAACAACTTCGTGCAAAAATCGAAAGGGTGAGGGCTCTTGCCCCGCAGCGCCCGCTGGCAATTTGCAAGAAATCAAAGAGCCCTCCCAAAAGGGCTTTGATTTGGCAGTTGGGAGCCCCTTGAATAAACTCACAGTGCAATGTCACTGTAGACGCCCCACGGATCCTCGGGAATTGTGTATTTGACGAGGGCAGCAGCCGCGTCTGGGTCAAAAGACCTTGGGTCATCCAAATACAAAGCAATCCCGGAACGATCGTGCTCGGTGTGGGGCCGATCTGAAACTTTTTTTGCTAACCTTCTAGACGTACTATCCGGATTCGAGTAGTAGCCCAGGCCCATCCGATCCCCAAAGCGTCCCATTGATTTCCTAGTGGCCTCGATGTAGGCCAAAATGGCACCGCGGGCCTGAAATATAGCATTATACCTCGAATTCATTTTCATAATGACGATGTTTTTAATTCCAATATAAGCAATATCAAAATTTGACAATACGGAAATTTAATAATGTCGACTTTCTTAAATCCCGAAATTTTATGTCGAATTCCTACGTAAATTTTGAGATAAGTTTCGATAATATGATTTTCGACTTTGCGACATGTCATTGTGTCGTGTTGTAACAAAAAAAACCATATAACGCCCGGGACCCTGCTTAAAACCTACGTATTCTTGCCCCTTGACGTTGACAACAACCTCCGAATCTTCGACCAGCCAAACCACATCGACTGCGCATTTTTTGCTCGCGTCACCTGAATTTTCGGCTTTAAACAGACCTGAGTCATTATAACATTTTCTTAAAGGAATCCAGACGGCAAACGACAATCGATTACGCGAGTAAATTGTCTATGTAATCCAATCGATCACTCACGTCGACAAGCCAAGGCTCGTGCAACCTGGAAGGCCATCGGCACCAACGTGTCGTAGTTTGTAGTCTGGATGACTTTTGCACTAAAAATTTGTGTTAGTACGAAACTCAACATTTGTTAAACGCACCTATTGGTGTCGGCCGGGCTCCCGTATTGCAGAATTTGATTGAGGACCACCACTTTGTCGGCGGTAGGATACGTCAGGGTGGTAATGAACTAAAAACAAGTTTATATCAAGTCATAGCTGTGAGGATAATCATATTTATTTGATAAAGAAATTTAAGACTAAACAACGCTAGAAACAAAGGCTTACTTGAACACCTCCATCTCGCATATCTTGAACGATTTTTCCCATTTTTGCGATATTTGCCGCGCTGATGTCAATCGCACTAAAAACTACCGTATTTTTGAAACCGTTGCTTTATAATTTGAGAAGATATTTTATATAGCTTCCTGAAGTTCACGTCTATGGATCTTACTTTTCAGAAGTCACAAATACCACAACTCGGCTGGCATTCGGATTGAAAAATTGGCTGAACGAGCTCATCGCATCAAAGCCGCTAAAATTCAAATTCAGTGCAAATTTTGGGTGGTGTTAAGCCTACACAGTATAATATGTATTTCCATTGATGTATTTCGTCGAATTCAAATACACCAAGAAATCATCGGGATCCCGGAGCGTGCCAGAATTGTCGTGGATGACTTGGTTGAACGAAATATAGCCGAATTTTGTATGGTTAGCGCGTTCCGTTTGGGCCATGAAGGATTGGATGAAAGTGATGATGTTCTAAAATTTTTTATAAAAGTTAACATTACAAACTAATTTCCTGAAATAGCCATACCTTATTTTATCTGAATAACTTAGCTCTTATAATATGAATTTTACCTGATAATTTATGCGTAAAATTTCTTAAAAATAACAAAATCATACCCCGAATTTGTCATCAATACTCTGCGACATGTCGATGAGGAAAAGCACTTGAAGCCCATCGCAAGCTTCCGCTAAAAATGTGGGGGTTTCACATCCCATTAACGGGATCCTTACGTAAATCTGGAGGTCCCGGTGGGGTGGGGGGTACTGTGGGCCGGTGATGTGGCGTCGTCAGTACGGTGATCGGGTTCTCTGTCAGCGGAATGAGGGTTGGTGGTGGTGTGGTCAGAGGAAGAGCTGAAGTACTGTCATCTTATAATTATTACAAAGTTACAAAGTATTTTACTACCATAGCATCGACTTTTTCGTTAGAACGGCTTTTAAAAGTTTTGAAACTCGGCCTTTGGACGGACAATACCGGAGTTTTTTTCCTTTTTCTTTTCTTTCTTCTTTTTTCTTCAATTTTTCGCGCAATTTCTACGGTTTTGCCCTGAATTAATGCTTGAAAACCACCCTTCTGAAAACGGTCGACTACTAGGGATTTTCTGAACCCGGCGGCTAATGCACAAGCTATGAAAATGCACTTTCCATTGATTTTATGACATTTTCAAGCCAAGCTTCGGTTCGTAAACTGTCAAACCAAACCGACTTACACAAGCATATCCACCACAAACTCCTCGTCCTGATATCGTCCATCCCCAACTGGTACCAATAGTCAATGTTGATAAACTTGTAACCAGATGGTAAAATCGAGGTAAATACGGATCGGATGTCGCGCGAGTTACTACAATTCAAATCTTCAAAAGCTTAGGTTTTTCAAACCTGACGAGCACCGTTGACGTATAGAAGGTTTGGGCAACGACCTCGGCAAGTACTCGACTCCGATTTTCCCCAAATCCATTGTCGTATTCACTGAAAAAAACACATAGAAAATCCGTAACGGACCCACAATCCATCGGCCAGTATGATCAGCGATCTCGCGGTTCCGACTTTGAGTTGTAGGTTGGGGTTGGAAAACTCATCGCGAACAAATTCGAAAGCTCTGGAGATTTGTTATACCGAAGTGTACTAAAGTTACCTAGTGACGTTGTGGCTTTCCGAGGTCTCATTCAGCATTACTTGGGCGATGGCTGCATCCCATTCTGCCTAACAAAAATTACTTTTTTCGAATTTTTCAAATTTTGAAGGTACTTAAAGGACTCTCACTCCCTCCAAATGTTTTATGTGTGCTAACGATATGCAAAATAATGAATAGAAATGGCTAAAATCTGGGTCGGCAATTTAATAATCCAGGCACGGCCCTGATGATAATTATCAGAAGAACGCCGATGCCACTTACCTGGCTATTACTTCGCCAATTATTCAACAAGTACGCGTTGCTGCCCTCATAGACGCCGATGCCCATCTCTAGCGCTTCCCAATCCGTGCCAGCCGGTGGGGAAAGTGATTTCAGGTAGGATTGGACCTAAAAATGCGAATTTAGCCCCAGGACTGTGGTATTTGGCATAATTTGGCTATTTCGTTGTTGTTACCTTTCAAAACTGGAGTTTTTTTTTGCTCCATTTTTCGGAGTTTTACGCTAGATTTTTCCTCAAATTTAATATAACCTACCGCTGTCAGTTTATCTTTACTCGAAACCGTCGGATCCATCGGTGTGGCGACATCCACCATTACGATAACCGTTCGTGAGGGTGAGCGCGGATCGCAGGGGTAGTCTTAAAGGAATCGCTGTATATAAGTAAATTTTGCCTTCTTCAAGCCTTGTACCCCTTTCTTTTGTTGCACTTTTTGCTCTTCAAAATTGTGCGTGCAGATCTACCCGGGGGGAGTTTCATGAAAAGCTTATCAGCCAGGGGCCTCGCGTGGAGTGCCCACTTATCAGCCTTCAATAAAGTGAGTTTTTTCGAGCTAGCGCGAGAAATGTGCGGGTTTACAACCCTTGAAAAGCAAAGCAGCAAAATTTCTGGACATAAGCAAAACAAAAAAACGGCTCGGCGGAGATGATAACGAAGCAAAAAGGGTCTTATGGTTTCGAGCTTTAGCGCCAGCTACGATTAGAAAAAGGGTGATCCAAAATCATTAATTAGAGCATGAAATATAAAATCAAGTAATTAATACAGCATATTAATCTTATTAGCAAACAGCAACTCTAAGTTCGGTAACTATCTGATTAAATTACTTACCTCCCAAAGGCGGCGGCACTGGAGTCGGCTGGTCGATCAGAGCTTGGCAATAAACATGAGATGATTCTAAAATTTAGTATTTTACAAAATTACCATATTAATGCATTACCTGCTACGGTAGCGGTGGTATACTTTGTCCTCAAGGCCGCCTGTACATCTTCAGCGCTGACTTTTGACGAAAAAACGAGGGTCCCGTAGAATTGGGTGTCGTGCTGCAGGTTTCTAAAGGTAAAAAATAGCTTACGCTGCTTGCCTGTGGAAAATAATAGATATTAGTGTCGTTTTCACATTTTTTTCAGCCTACCTCCGGTATTTTAAAAATCAATAAAATGTATAAAAGTACGTACGGAACCAAATAATCCGGTGACACGGCCAAAATTCTTGAATTCAGTGCCAAAGTCGAGAATTGCAGAATAATCCGAAATTCTTGGATCGCAAAAGAATTCGATCCCAGCATCGAGGATATCTTAAATCGATTTTTATACGTTGGACACAATTTTTAGGATTAAAATCTGATTATAATAGCTCATACATTCTGCTGAAACTCCGAAATCACGGCCACCGTAGCCGGGTCATCGGGTTTACTGTACGAGTCATTCCACGGTACGCCCGGGTCGATGGAAAAGTGCAGAACGCTGCCGACAGTATGGATGGTTGCATTCGCGCACTCCTTCTTACACTCGTCGTAGTTTTCTTTGTCTAAAAAGTGGCACAACTGTAAGAAATACGTTTCCTTACTCTGCTTCGCCTTGTGGATGCCGATTCCGAGCATAATGGCTGCGGCGATTAGCAGCAGAATACATATTGTGATTACCACTAACGTCTTCTAGAAATGGCCTTTGAAAATGGTCCTTGAAAAACGTTTAAGGCAAGAGGATTTTGGGATTTAAAAAAAGCAGTGACAAATTTATTTTGTTTTTAAACGAAAAAGAAAAATGACGAAAAAATCATAAATGAAATTTCTTACCTTCCGCCATGGATCCATGATGGACCCGACAATAGGGCGAAGCTGTAAATAAAAAGATTATGCGCGTAGGTAAAATCTGAAAACCAAAGAAATTACATGAAATGTAGTATACATAGCAAATAGGCTATGTCCAGGGTAGAAAAAATCTGAGGAAGTATTTTCAACTAGATCGCTTGAAAGGCGTGGTGACAGTGAAGAACGGGTTGGGGATGCCTTTTTTTAGTGCGCGCTTCTGGCCTTTTTTTACAAACACGTTCGGAAGAAATCGGCAATCCTAGAAATACTTTTTGCGGCTCCTCGCTCAACGGACGTCCGCCTCGATCATGATATTTCAAAATTCAGAATCAGCCAAACGACCGATAGTACGTCCCCCTAGATGTGTCATATCCTTTTTCAAAGTCCTCCCAAAAGTCGCCGGTTTTTCGTCAACGACACACGAGGAGAGTGGAGGGTGATACGGATTGGAATTTACGTGACGCCGGGTCCTTGATACAAAGTGGAGAGGCTCCATTTTTACGCGCTGCGGGCCTTATTTGCAGGCTATCAAAGGCGGCAAGTCATGGTTTATGGGCTCGTAGAGACTTCACAGGGGATATTTTAGAAGAGGTCGGTGATCGGAATGGAAAATTCTGGAGCGAGGGCCGGGGATAGATAGGTCAGAAGAAACTGTAAATTCAAAAATTAGAACAAGTTAGTTTCATTGAAACATAGAGGGAGAGAGTGAGAAATGGCGAGAGAGAGAGAGCGATACAGAGCGAGAGATACAGTGAGAATGAGAGAGCGAAAGAGCGAGTGATAGTGAGAGAGAAATCAACAGAATGCGAAAAAATAAAACTATAAAACAAGTATTGGCAGACTCAGAGGACTTCATGACGAAGAACTGTAGTTTTTGAATAGAGATCACCATCGTACAACCGGATTATAACCGGTGGCTACCTAAAGTAGCCACCCGTACCTTGGTCTACTTGACCCCCCGAAAAACCTGCGAATTCGGAAGCAAGCAACGGCTGTTGGCGCGGGATAAGCCCTAGACCAAGGGATGGAAAAGCCGCTTAGACCTTTCAACTGATAACGCGCGGCTTTTCCGGCCATTTACGAGCGATTATTTATGTGAACAAATAGGGACTGGCTCGTTAGGTTTGACTAGAGATTTAGGAAAGCGCTTTTAAGAAGCCAGAAATTTAGAGATGCGTGAAAAACGAGGCTATGTGGTCATTGCATGATTGGAAAAGCAATTTACAAGGATCTGACGTTAGACAAGAGTCGCTATTTGTGTCACGTTTGCAGAAAAGAGTCGCTATTTGTGTCACGTTTGCACTATCAGGCTGCATTTGCAGTTCGAATATAACAATTAACATTTCCGGGATCCTATCCCAAAAATTAACGGGAAAAGCGGAATATCTCAACCCGCCTCGCACCCCCGATTCGTTTGCTTTGACAATGGAGGTTGGGATATGCAAATTTGACCTCAAATTCAAATCACTTGCAGGAGCTACAGAGCCTGCTGCCGTCGTCGTGCAACGGCGCGATGGAGCTGTTCTTCTACCTGTTCATCGCCCACAATATTTGCGTCATCTACCTCATCGGACGGCTTTAGTGCGTTTTCTGATTTTCGCACCCCGCGATACGGACCTTAACTTTCCGCTGCGTAACCGATTCAGACCGCGTTTTACGTGCTGAGCAGGCGGTCGCGTCGCGTATCGGCGTAGAATTGAGACGAATGCCTTTCACAACGCTTTTAAATCCACCTTTTTGCAGCGGTCAAGTCGCCGAGCTGAAGGCCGAGCTGAACGGCTCCACGACGTCGAGCCAGCGCCGCGTCGAGCGGAACGCATCCCCATTGGGCACCTACACCAAGACCTACCCCACCAGCGACTGTATGCAAATTTTTGGTTTCTGAGTAACCGGCAGGCCTCACTTCCGATTTTGGTATTATCTCGGATTTGGTATTATCTCGAGTTTTGGTATTTTTAATTCAATCAAATAAATATGATATAACAAAGTAAATAATTGTTGATTTTTAATTATATTTATTAATTTAAAAATTAATATAATAGAATTTTTATTAATCTACTTTTTTCAGCGACCAGCCACCGCAACGGCATCCTGCTGTGAGGCTTCCGAGCATCAAAAATCAACCACCGAATTCAACGTCACGTCTCCAAGAAACTGTCCTCAAAACCGAATCCGCCACATAAATCCGTCTCCGCCATGCTGTTAACGTTTTTTTTTCGGATTCTTTGGCTGTCTTTTTCTGAATAAATTATTTATTCCGAGTGGTTTTCGAAGTGACCAAATGTACGGTTTTTAATGAGGTATCTTTTGGGTTGAAACCTTTCGATTGCTGAGCCCGCGTAGGAAGAGGATATAGCCGAAAATACCTGGAAACCTTGGGGGTTTTCGAAGAATTCTAGAAGCCTACCGGCAATCAGCATACTCGCAGACAGCAGGATCATCTGATGCATATTAAACATGGCGCCGAGGTAGAGGCAGGTTGTTTGGCCGATTGCCTAAAAAATGATCAGTTAAAGCGCAGGTTCAGGGAGGGGCCGTGAACTCCTCCCAACGTGTACACCCTATGGACGTTGGGACCGCGCGCGCTGCCTGTCCGTGGCGTGGCAGGCAATTTCTCTCCTTTGCGGCGTGGTGCGCCCTTCATCCCCCTGGTAGTAGCTGTGGCTGACTGGTATCCATCCGCGCCTCCCGAGCGGGGGGCCCGGGTTCGACCCCCGGCCGCGGCAAAAAGCTTTTTTTTTCGAAAACGTGTCTGAACGTGCCCTTTAAAGGAGTTGGCAAAGTATTGCTACCGAGTTTTTAGTTACCGTCCCACGCGACGCGTCTAATTTTTTCGCAATGCGTGTTCAATCCTGATACGCAAGAGGAAGAAATAAAAAACAAAACTACCTGATAAAACTTTGAAACACTGAAGCCAATAGCTGGGTCAGCTGGCAAGGATTTTGCCGCCGAAACCATACGGCAATTATTTGCCGCCCCATCCAGGGCTCCGCATAAAATTCCGAGGATGATGGCGACCGTTGCGCTAAAATCGATTTTTATTAATCCTCGAACTATTCCCTGGCTCTTCCGTCTTAAAGCTGAAGTTCCTTCTTTACACGTTATTAGGTCTTATTTTGATTTTCGTTTTTTATTCCATCGGATTCGCAATATTTTTTTCATGCCAAACACCTTAATTTCCGCCAAGTTACGAAAAACGGTCAGATCTGGAGAAATACTTGCATTGGTCAAAAATTGACCGTAGATTCGGAATCCGATCAAAAAACTGGTCTAGATGAACTTTAACCCTGGTGGTCGGTAAGAACCCGAAAAGACAAGAAGCCTATTAACCCCGCTTACCTTGGCTCAAAAAGTGAGATCTCCTTGGTTGGTGCCAATGACGATAGAGCTGGTGTAAACGCTATCATTAATGCGGCAACCGTGGCCGTCAATGCAGTCGTTATTGACAGCGCTGGCACCATGCCAAAATCCTTGACACGCTTGTTCAACGTTGTGATGATCAGACCGACTGAAAAATAGGATTTTTGGTTTTCAAATGATGAAACAATCAAAGAAGTACGAAAGCATACCGATCACTTCCCCAATCGTTACCGCGATACAGTAATAAGCCACAGTGTTCTTCTCCCCGGCGAGAGAATCGGTGAACGCGAGTGTGGTCGGGTATAGCGTCAGGAATATGCTGATTACGAGACCAGTATATAGGTAAAAGGGCGCAAGTAGTAGCGATTCGTACTGGACCACAGCGCGCGCTACTTTTCCTAGTTTTAGGGTTAGAATGGCAAACTTGTCAAGACAAACCAATCTGCTCTCCAAAGCTAATTCCCGTTTTTACACGTTGTTGGAGGCAGTTTGGTATTTGGCGTTTGGGCAGTGATAATCCAATGAGTAAAGCTCCAGACGCCAACAATGTCATTCCGGTGGATAAGATACGGATTTCCAAATCCGAGAAATCACGATAAGCAGCCTGGTTCTAAAACGGCGTTGAAATTAAGCCGTTGAAGCTGCCAAGCTTGCCGTGAAGTTCTTACGCACCCTCATCTTACCTCATATGCCAGCGTAGTGATATTCTCATCCGGAATCTCGTCAAGCACCGTATTAGTGACAATTTGAAAAATACCGCTTAGTAGGGTACTAAAACAAAAGTTTATCAAATCATTGTGACGTTTACGACTTACGTGACACTTCCCACCATCCAGGTGATTGACTGGTTCCTGGAAAGCGTACGATCCGTGGAGTGACGCAGTGCATAGGAACCACCGCCAGCGTAAAAAACTGGATTTTTATTATCTGCCATGACCGTTTAAATCCTACAACTTACATGCAAAGCCCCAGCCGCCCAGGACACAGGCCGGAAAATAGAAATAGTTTCGCAAATACAAAAAATTTGCTGCGTAAGAAGCAAAGCACAGGGCTGACAGGGTCAGGCAGCCTTGGGACCCGAAAATCGGCAAAAGACAGGGGGCAATCAGGTTTCCGATGGTGTAGGAGAAGCATAGGATAGCTACTCTAAAATTAAAGGTTTAAGATACAGAAAGCGTTCAGGTACCCATAATATCCGGCATATTCGATTATGCAATCTGGACACCGCTCCCGGACTGAATGGCAGACGGGTTCTACGAGAAAAGCCATCATGTCGAAGCCGTAAAATCCGAGCAACTGGACGATACCTGAAATAACAACTAACTAATTAGGGTATAATACTTATTTAAGGCACTTGTTGGTGCTCAAAAATGTTTTATATTTTAAATTCTTTGGGAAGCAAGAAAATCTTATCTTTTTCAATGGCTTTAAAGGGATAAGGACGGCATCGATTGCGCGCTGGAAACTGTCTCTGCGGCTCGCCCTTGGGCGCGTTCTCTGCTCTGTTGGCTATACGCCAAAAAGTCGATCAGGGGTCATCGACCTACGCCGTCGGTATCCCTTTAAAGTCCAGATACCGATCAAAAAATTAAGTGAACAGAAGCCGTTTAAAATACGCATAAATGACTATGATGTCTATGCTTAGGGATTTTAAAGGAAAACTTTTTAGTAAAGACAAACCCAGCAAAATTGCCGCCATCGCCATAAACCGATCGTCGTTCATCTTGGCTAGTTTTTAGAACCAAGAATTAAAATTAAAATGATTTTATATCCAAATGTAACGAGTCAATTGACCGGTCCTGCCCCCAGCGGAATTTATAGAAATCGGTGCCCGGTGGTGGTCAACCTTGCACAATCTGCCCCAAAATGATCGACGGGGTTAGGTGGGGCGCGATTTGAATAATTCTGAGGGTTAGGCTGGGTGCGATGGCTCTCGGCAAAGGTACATACATTTTTGTGGTCAGGTTAGCTGAGATGGAGCTGGAGTTTGATCCGTCTCTCTATCTCTCTCTCTCTCTCTCTCGCACTCTCTCTCCCTTTAACTCTCACTTTTACTTTTCCCCCACCTTTTGCGTTGTCTTTCCCCCCCCCCCCCCCTCTCTCTCTCCCTCCCTCTCTCTTTCTTTCTCACCCTCTCTCTCTCTCTCTCTCTCTCTCTCTCTCTCTCTCTCTCTCTCTTTCTCCCTCTCTTTCTCTCTCTCTCTCTCTCTCTCTCTCTCTCTTTTTCTCTCTCTCTCTCTCTCTCTCTCCCTCTCTCCCTCTCTGCGTGTCTTTCTCTCTCTTTTTTTCTCTGTCTATCTCTCTAACATCAATTCTGCTAACGAATTAGCGAGGCTTAAATTTTATTAAAATTCCGGTTTATGGGCTGAATCTTCTGTTTTCAACAATATGCCTTTTCGACTTTTCCGGAGCCACCTCAAAAAGAATCCGAAGAAAATGAGGCCTAAAAAGTACCAGTATTCGGTTTTTAGAATTTGCATACCTAGCATCAGAAGCCCAGCTAGCAGCCCCATCAAAATATACACCGTACAGATCGAGCTGGCGTAATAGAAAAACCCAGTCGCGGCGGCCTGATAGAATTTCGAGACGCAAAAAGCGATGGCTGGATCTTCAGGATAGGCAAAAGCCGATGATACGATTCTAACGTTATTCATACTCCCATCCACCAGGCCGCAGATTAACCCGATTAGCAGGCAGACGAGCTTTCTAATCCAAGTAGACTTTAAGGTCATTCTATACCTTGGTGAAAACGCCGAAATATCCCCAGTAGGATGCATCGTTGCTTCTGGAGGTGTAAAAAGGACCACCATAGTGCCATAAACAGTAAAAGCTATGCAAGTGAGTATCATGGCTGGCAGGAGACCAAAGTCCTTGACTTTTCGATTAAGGTATCCCATCGCAAGACCGACTAAAAGGGTCATTATTTTTTTTGCGATTAATATAAAGGGAAGTACAACACATTACATTTTGTTCGTGTGCCGTAGTTATCAAATTGTTACGTCGTTTTTGATACTAGACCCTAGGGAAATAGACTCACCCGACAACTCTCCAATCGACATGCTCATGCAGACAAAAGCGACCAGATCCCTGTCGTCGGCGAAGGATTCGGTGAATGAGACCGTCGTCGTGTAGATTGAGTTCATAAAACAGGTAAAGGTTCCGCAGAAGATGTAGAGAGGAATGAGACGTAGTAGACCGGGGTTGCGCATGGCTCGGAGGACCATTTCTGGAAAAATGGTGTTGCGGTGACCGCCACCCAAAGTTTTGTGCCCTGTTGCTCACTCTCTTTCTCGCTCGCTCTCTCTCTCTCACTCTCTCTCCGAAAACGACTCACTAAATTGATCCCCAGCTGTCTTTGTCTTGTCTCGTTGATAAATCGCCCCTTTGATTTTCCGACTCGGTAATAATGAGCACAAAATTAGCGCCAATACCGACACAAAAATCATCCCGATCCGGAAGACGTGGATCTCCGCGTCTGAGAATTTTCGGTATAAGGTGTGGTTCTGCAAAAAATTAGGTGATGATTAGTTTTGGATACCGTCGAGTCGCTTAACTGATCCGTACTTGGACTCTTCGCAATAGCCGAGGTAAGGATCATGAAACTCCCACTGAGCAGCATGCTAAAAATCGCTAACAATTAAATTTTAAGATCTTTATTTTTATAGTATATTACTAGAGTAATTATCGTAATTTTTACCTGCTTCCGGTTAGCATAAAAGAGAAAGATTGGGTTCTAGATAAGGTTCGAGCCGTCGAGTGTTTTGCCGTGTAGGCGCCGAAACCGCAGAAAAAGACTAAAAATCATAGATTTTTTTAGCTTCCTTTCTTCCTTAAAAAGCTTGTTAAACGACAGGCATCATCATTTTTATGTTTTCTGTCTTTTTATTCTTACCGAATAGCTAAAAGTGATGCTAAAAACTCACTAAAACGAGCTTATAACCTCAAAAAACTCACACGCCAACCCCACCCCCGCAAACGCACAGCACGGAAAGTACACATAATTCCGGATCAATAGAAAATTCGAGGAATATATGACGAAGCAGATGATAGAGGTGAGCAACGTCTTTTTGGTCCCAAATTTATGCAGAAAAACGGGGGCGGCAAGGTTGGCGAAGGTGAAGAAGGTATACAAGACGCATTGTCTAAAAATGGCATTAGTAGTTTAATACCGTATCGTACCCGTAATACCCCGCAAAATCGATAATGCACTCCGGACATCGATCTCTTACGGAATGGAATATCGTCTCGACCAAGAATATCATAATGTCAAGGGGTGCAAAGGATAGTATCCCCAGGATACCTAGTAACAAGGATGCTAGAATACAAAATGTATCGTCCTTCATGACTTTCTAAAGCCTTTTAAGCTATGTTTAAGGTATTTTTGGCTTTGGCAATAGTAGCTCAGCGTAGTATGATCCTAAAGCGGTAGCGGGCGGTAATCTCAGCTAGCAGAGCAGGTGCAGACTTGATTTATGCCCATTTATAAAGGTGACGAAAGCTCGCGATAAGCCGGAGGAGACGTGATCCCGAATTGCGGGGATCCGTGCAATAGTTCGCCCGACAAATCTGGGAATCGAGTTTGGTTACCAAGTACCAGAGGTGTATTCTGGTGAGGAATTATAACGGCGAATATCTGGAATCTGGAATCGGCAATCTGAAAAATCTGAAAATCCCCATCTTAAAAAAACCGTGAAGCCTTTCCGGTTTGTCCCAGACCATAATAAAATTTTCTCGTTTTTTCTCAGTTCATGTTTCTCAACAAAAAAAAATACATTAAAGAATTACCGATTAGCTAACTTGTTATGACTGTTATATCGTTTTTAGTTTTTCGGAACACACTATTTTTGCCCTCCTTTTGCTTGATGTTTTGGTTTGCCATACCAAAAAATCAACATTGCGAACGGGGGCTCGCGATGTGCTGTGTAAAAGGAGAGGACCCGAAGGCTTTTCCTGGCTTTTTCTTTTTTCCCAACCAGGAACATGGGCTGGGGTCACTCGAACAGGGTCAATGTGAGGAAGTTGTTTTTCGTACCCTGTTTTCCATTGGTTTTCAATTTACGATAACCCAAGTACTTTTATTTTCTACAAAGTCCTCGATTTTTGATTTTCCAGACATATCAGACCAAAAATAGTTGATGGATCTTCAAAGAGTTGCCATTTCTCTACATGTTTTTATTTGCCCCTCTGAATCACATCTGTTGTTCCACAACTCCAGAGTGCCAAAGATGCTTCCGTTTCGACGAAATATTGATCAACATTGGGATTAGCCGCGATAACACCACTCGAACCAGCCACTGCGTCCATATCTCCATTCTGTTTCTCGCCCTCCTTTCCGCCTAATTCACCGCTGACGTTTTATCACATGCTGATCCCAGATTTTTCACACTCTTGCACAACGGGCCGGTATATAACGGAGTGATCTCGCTTGACCTTGCTCCGAGCGGATAGTCTCTAGTCTCATATCTCTAGTTAAGTTCCCAGCTCATTATTGCAAAGTTAGGATTGTTTTTGGGTTTTAGGCTTCTTAACACAAATTTATATTAAAAGTCTTGACCATTTAGATGAAGGATGACACGTTTTGCGTCATGGTGTCGATCATGGTCGGCGTTGTCGGCATATTTGCCTATTTTGGCTTCGATATTATGGTTTTTCTGGCGGAGACCATTATGCATTCCGTGAAGGACAGATGCCCGGATTGTATTATCGATTTTGCCGGTTATTACGCGTGAGTTTAATAGAAGCGTATTGTATTGAAATTTAGACATTAAATTTTTGCGAAAAATTTCTCGACAAAAATATGTTCATAAAATGACCATGACCATTCTAAGCTTTGAAAAAATGAAAATAACCCATAAAATACCCCAGAAACAGCCAAATTTTCTAGATGCGTTTTTGGCCTTTCCAGAAAACCCTAAAATCGATCATATCTTAAAAAGATGATTTTTTTATTTTTAGCCAATGCCTCCTTTACGCTTGCTTCACCGTGGCCAATCTCGTGGCGCCAGTCTTCCTGGCCCGTTTTGGAAGCAAGAAAACGATCCTCGCCGCAATTTGTTGTTTCACAATATATTCATCGAATTTTCTGTTGATCAGAAATTATATATTCTTTCCATGCTCGGCCATTGCGGGTATAGGGGCTGCATGTGGGTCTTGCCGCGAATTCAAAGCTCATTTTTTTAGTGTTTTACTGTGGTACTGGTGCTTATGCAGCCAAGCATTCGACGGAAGCAACCTTGGCTCGAACTCAAGCTCTATCTTTTATGCTCATGATGAGTAGGTACGGAACGATAGGTCAAGTTTTAGTTTTTTAGTATGCTGGTCAGCGGGAATTACATGATAGTATCTTCTGCGCTTACGAAAGATTCTGGAAAGCGGAATTCTTCGCATAACGAGGTCAGTATCGTCTTGATTTTAACCCTGTTATAAGGCCACAACAAGGCTTATTGAAAAGCTAAAACCCCTTAAGAACGATGCCTCTTACCGTGAATTTTCTGATGCCGAAATTAATACCTTAAAAATTGGCATGATGGCATCGTCGGTACTGGCTATAATTTTATGCCTATTATTGCCAAGCCGTCGAATTAAAGGATCACTATATGTCAAAGCAACTAATATCACGATAAGAGCTCAATTAGGTGCGTATTTCTACCGTAGTACGTAGTACCTTAACGTTAAATTTCTGAGCATGTCTCATCGTCGTATTGGTATCTAAAAATTTCAGGTCTCGTCTACAAGGCCCTGAAAAACCCGGGGCTCACCAAGCTTATCCCGCACTATATTTTCTGTGGTGCTTTCACGTGCTTTATGAATTCCATCTATACCACGTCCGTGTCTTTCACGCATATATTTGCCCATGAAGACAATTTGGTGGCTTTTGTATGTATGAGCATGTCGGTGGGCGAGTTGTTAAGTAAGTTTTCATCATTACCTAGCGTATCGCCAACGCAAACCATCAGCACCATTTTAGTCGGCGTCGCGATGGGGCTAATCAGTCGGCGGATCAAGGGTTTTGGCCTGATGCCAGCTATGATCATGACGCTGGTATGGTTTACGATGTGGGCTACGCTGGTGATGCTATTTACACCCCCTGAAGCCTCGATGAGACCGACGAAAGAGGTGTCGATACTGGCGCCGAGGTAAAGCGGGGTTTTCGAAGTTACCAGATCTTGATAATGGTTGGAACCCTGTTAATGCGCATTAATGATATCCAATCGATACTTTTGGCCCATCAAGCTGCATTGGTGCGTAAATATCGTAAAAGAGTGGGGTAAGACTTGACTGTACTCCCCCCCCCAAAGCGGAAGGGTCTCAAAGTTTTCGGTATTTTCGCTTATTTTGTCGGGATTTGAACACCATTCTATAGCGCATCGAAAAATATGCCATGAGCTAAAATCTGAGGCTAGAATAATGTAAAATAAAAAAGTCATAGCCAAAAACTTCCGGCTGGCGGGGGGTAAAGTAAAGTGTAGCCAAGAGTTGTGTTGGCCAAGCATCACCCAAGTTTCTCAAATCCTTTTAAAAATCTATTAACAAATGTTCAGATATCTTATGATCATTACAGACTCTACATGTGCATAATTATCGGTGTCCTCTGCGGATTCGTAGATGGCAGCATGAATAACGTCCGCATCATCGCTTCCGCGACCGCATACCCGGAAGAACCAGCCATCGCCTTTTGCGTCTCAAAATTCTATCAAGCTGCGGCGACCGGCGTTTTCTACTATGTCAGCTCAAAGTGTACCATCGACGTCTTATTAGCTATTTTGGCGGGGTTGTTGCTTATCGGTATAAAACTTTTTAATCTAAGAAGAACACATTTTAGGCTTCACCTTCTTCGTCTGGTTCCTCCGAGTCCTCAGAAGAAAGGAAACCGCCAGAATTATACCGATTCAATTAACCAATGAGGAAACTGATAATAAAATTGCACTTTGATACAAAACATGCCTAAAATTGACTACACGGTAGCGTAATACTTACTAGTAGGAAATAACTTACTATACTACAATTTATGCAGCTGCTGAAAGGGAATGCAGGTTAAAAATATCACTTGTTTGCGTTATTTACGTAGGGTACGTGTGTATTCAAATGATTTTTGAGCAAGTTGTTATGAGGTTTGCACGCGTTGGTACGTACGCTCACAAATTAGAAATATTATTAAAATTTCCAGCATCATCAACGCTCTGAGAATTATTAAAGGTAGTTTTCACATTCGGTGTTGTTTGAGAGGCGTCAGAAGATGTCTAGGTTTTCGAGACGCACTGGGTTTTGGCAGACGACTGCTAAACTACTAAAAACCCGTGACCTTCTCTGAGCAAGCAGTTGGTTTAAAAAAACGGCTCTGAAAGCACACCATAATTAGCGTTTTTTGAGAAAAATTTCTACCCTCGCTAATTGCCACTTTTGCCAGACTCACCAACCGTATTGGAGAATGCTACCTGCAGTCTTTTTGCCGCCCATTGCTGCTTTACGGGCGAATGGGTTTCGCTGAGTTATTGTTTTTAATATGGTTGTGTGTTCTTGGTAGTACGGTCAATTTCACAGAAATCAAGTAAGTTTATTGGACGTGGCGGTCGATGGATGGGCTCACGTTGATTCACTCATCATTTTTAGTGGATTTCAATACGTTGACTCCTCACAGTACTGCTACGTATTCACCAGCCAACTTTACGGAAACCCGAAAAATCAGTCCAATTTCTGGTTTCAATGGAAAGACGTAACATGGATGGTGGGGCTTTCGTTTGCCGTTGCCAGCGCTCACGTATCTTCAGATGGGTGGTCAAAAGTATATGCGCTATGGGTGTGCGACTACACGGACCACCTACTCTGGCTGGTTGATGTGTGTGGTCGGGTAAGCGAAAAGGTCTATCTAGAACTCTGGCGTTGAGTCCCGAAGAATGCAACCCGGACGTGGGGTATGATAGCCAACTGACGCTGGAACCAAATTCGGACGACGCAGCCAAGTTGACGACCATTCTGTACCAGAACCGGACCGTGCTACCGGTGTACGTCAGTCTGCCCACATTCACGTGCCGTCGTTTTACGGTTAGTTTTGGATTGATGATTGGATGATTTCACGAACGGCCGCGAGTTTGTTTGTGGGTTGGTAGCGCCCGAATTTACGCACACCACACGGAACGCACGGTGGTCGTAACTCAAATAATGCAATAGCCCGTATCCTGTTACGCTTTCGAATAGAGATGTTATTATTCAAATCAAACCCGAAATCAAATCTGGATTTGATTTTGCCGGAAAATCACATCAAACCTGATTTTGATTTGAGAAACTTGCAAATCCTCAGATTTGATTTGAATAACAACATCTCTACTTTGGAAGTTTGGGGTTGCATTGCATGTCTCGGTTTTCCGATGTTGTGCCTTGAGTGAGTGGTGTTGCGCAGCCGGACGAAACAGTTTCAACACTGTTTATTAGACCAGCATCATGGCGGCAAGACGGAATTGGAAGTAGATTAGAAAGAAAATATGCCCCCGCAGAGCCGGCGGGCCGTGGGGCCGCGTCGCATGCGCGACGCGCCCCGTTACGGTGACAGGGCACTGGATAGGCGAGGTGAACTGGGAGCGAAGGGAACAGGCGGGGGCGCCCAAAAAGAAATGGCGACGGCGCCGTAATAAAAAAATTCCATTTTCAGGCAATTCGTCCTTACCCCTTTTACGAAACCCCGGAAACAGGGATCACCGGGCTCGGCTGGGCCGGCCATTGCCAAACAGTAATCTATCTTATGGTAAGGGCTTACGTAAACAACATCATCTGTGACACGCAGGACATGGGGATGACAGGCAAGTTCACGAACATGCGCATCGAACAAGCCGCCGGCACCTATATGGGCGGACATGACTTTATCAATAATTGGTCGAACATGGTGAAGCCGTAAGGATAGCAAATTTTACCAAACTCGCGCGCGTTTTTGCTAGAAAATATTTCGGTTCCATCGTGACGTGGCAATGGCAAAAGCACTACCGTGAAATGGCTTATACGTGCCGTGGCGTAAGTTCAGGCAGTTCCTTCGGTTCAGCAGTACTCCAGGACCAATGCAACGAAATGATCACCCCGGATATGTACCCACAACCAACCATTGAATGTGCGCTTGGGTCTGGACAAAGTAAGCCATTACATTCATAATTTAAAATAGAACAATTTTCCTCTAGCCGCCTACGACAAGAAATACAACTCGTTGTGCGTAGGCCAGCTTTGTTTCATCAGCTTCTCACAGAGCTGGACCAACGAGTACAATTTTCGCCAGCAAATTGCGCAAAGCTACGCGGTCGCCGAACGGGGATGTTTTATGCAGAACACGATTCGAGGAGAGGGACGCGTGGAGGTATCTTCAGCGCTGTTTTACGCAACGGGCAATAAAGTGCCAAAACAAAGTTTATTTGATTCCGGGCGTATCCCGACAGAAATTCCGGCGGCGCTGCCACACTCTTTCCATTTATGCGCGGAATTGTTTTTGCCGGATTTCGTTTTGAAAACACGACAAGTTGCCGCTGCTGAGCTCAGATCTGAAATATTCACTCAATTTTAAACAGTTTTTTTAAATTTTTTAATTTGGCCCCGAAAAGAACTAAGAACGTGATTCCGGAGGCGACCACGTGGAATTTCAAATTCACACGCTTCGCGCCCTCTGAGCGTGTAAAGGCGTCCGACGTACGGGCCGTGCCTCATTTTCTATAGTATTAGGTTTTGGGTTTTCTTGAATTTTCTTGATTAGAATTTTAACGCGTTTAGCCGTCCTAGCAGGGTCCAGAGATTATGCCACGCCGTTGCGTTGTGACCGGATCTAGTTATTTTCCAAAAATAAACTTAGGTTCAACCACATTTCGTAGCCCCTCTACATAAATTCAGGTCGGCCAAGTCGCTTGGATGTACGCCAATCAACCGTGGGTGACGATATTCTGTGATGAGCCGGCGTGCAACCGGGACCTCACCACAGTCTGGGCGTCGGTGGACCGACACAAGAACCCGCTTCCGCCATTTACGCCGTACTACAGCTTTGAACACAACGATACACCGCCATATGGCCGGGCCCACGATACCGACCCGAATTTGACATTCCTTGACTTTGGTGTGTCATTTTTGAAACGACGTGCCGTGGAGCCGGCAGCATCTGCAAAAACTGCTTTCCGCCCGTTTTTGGGGGTATGGCCGATGCTTGTGTGTGTGCGATTGTATTGCTAAATGGCCGGATAAATGCATATGTTGCTACAATTTATTAAACGTTCAATATCGGATCGTAGTGGTCGTTCGTCGGCTAGACGCCAGTGTTTCAAGCTGGATGGTGGGCGTCGTTTTTGATTTCTCGCTTTTCTGTTTTAGCCTGGTGGCACGCGGACGCAGGAAATGCCATGTGATACAGCTGAAAGATGTTCATGTAACTCTTGGAGCAGGCAGCTAGAGAGCAAATCAAAGAGCCTACCCAGCGACGAGGTTTCCGAAAGTTGGAAAGTACAGACTCGACGCGATGATAAGCCAATTTCCAGTGACTTGGCTACCGAAGGACGATCTAATCAATTTTGCACGGTATTCGTCGCGTGGGTTCTAAGAAGTAGAATAGATCAAGGTGAAATTTCGGGGTGACAAAACTCACCGAAAATGCCGTCTTCAAAATCATGTCAATAGCATTGTCAATAAGGTACAGGTATTCAGCTGTCGCCAAGCAAACCAAGAAGGTGAAAAAGTTGTTGAAAAAGATCTGAATTCAAAATAGATTAGAGGAAAGAGTAATAAAGATGATGTTGAGGAATGATGATGTCACCTGTTGCGCTAGGCGGAAATCTGCTCGACTCTCCTTGGCCCGTACCGATAAGCCGGTGGAATTGCGCTAAACGTAGCCGTTTAAAAAACCAGTAGGTTAAGAAAAAAACTAGCAAAAAAGTGGCCTCTCCTCGCAGCGATGGAGCGCTTAAACTCACTTCCGGAAACTTTTAACGCATTTATTGTGATTTTAACGACGCAAACTTAACAGCTCATGCCGTAGAAAACATACCAAGAGCTTCCGCAGCATCATCAACGTGACGCCATCTGCAGCGAGGGCAACAGCCGCCACAAGTAGCTTCAGGTGACGCATCAACGTCAGCTCATTCCATTCCGCCGCCTTGTTCCAAAGAAGTTTCCCGAGGACGAATCCGATGTTGATGGCCGAGGACATGCTGCCACGGTACAGATTGTGCTCGTACTTGTCGAACACGAGCGACTGGTCTGAAATACTTCAACTGTCACCGAATCATTTCCCACTTACAATATAAGGGTCTGTATAGTTGCTGGAACGGAATGGAGATAAAGAGCATCGCCTGTGCGACAGGATTTTTGGAAGTTAGCTTCAGGTATTTTCCTAACATGATTTTCAAAAATTTTAAACAACCGTACCCCCAGCTACAACGCCGGCCACGCGATTCACCGAAAGTCCAAGTTGCAGGTAATCCACAGCAAATTGACAGACCACAAAATAGAAAGCGCATAATCGATTAAGATCCTGGGCCCAGAATTCTTTTTGATCCGCCATTTCATCGAGGGTCCGCTTCTCATTGACCGGGGATGCGTAGTAAAAGTCCTCATAAGTTTTCGTTAAATCGTAGGCGTATTAACGCAACCGGAAATGTTTTCAAGTATTGCAATTGAGATTAAAAATCAAAAATCGTAGTAGAAAAGGCAGACGCATTTAGTTCGTGCCGGGTGCTGTGGCTACCCGGCAATTTCTTGCAAGCTCTCATTTTTTGAAGGCTACCGCGACGAAGTACCCCAATTGTAACTTGGTCCTTGCGTCAGGATGGGAATACCACTTGTATGAACATTTAATCAGACGGCCCCTTGATAACTCTTCAAAGGGGAAGAGCCAACACCCTAGAAAGCCATTAGTTTTTTGGTTTGTGCTATCGACGAAAAAATCGGTAGAGAAACCCTTTGGCTGGGTTGAGCGCTAACTGGAGAATTTTGAAGGTGCCTGCACGCGACGCGTTTACGTAAGTCCCCTCAGAAGATTTTAGCGTTGAATCCATGTGTGCCAAAAGGCATCTAGTGCGTTTCTCGAAGTTCAAAATCTTGACATCGCGTCGCTCTATCCCTACCAGGGTTGGTCATTTTGGTACCCGGATACTACCCTACCCGTACCCGGGTATGTACCCGTACCCGTACCCTAGAAATTAGCATACGGCGGGTAGGTACGGGTACTACCGGGGTACTACCCGTACCCGTACCCCCCACATTTGCATAAGTTCTGCGGGTACGGGTACATACCCGGGTACTGGTATGTAGAGTGAGGGAGCGGCAGGCCTCCTCAGGCTTTCTTGGGCCGAATTGCATTTCCGCGCCTGCCGACGCCTGGCGGAAGCCTAAGGATTTACGCAGGCTTTTTATGCAATGCGTGAAAACATGTTAATCTGGTTACTGCATCTAAAACGTTCGTATCTTTGACGCAATAAAAAATTACAAGGATGCCGAAGGTGGGAAATATATAGGAAGGATGTCAGGAGAGCCAATTGCATCCCCTGCCCGTTCGAACCGACTCTTGACTTTTGTGTATCCGCGTGCTATTAACGTATCGTGCCGTAAGTTTTGTCAAAAACAGTACCCTAACTTTGTAGAATATTCTTGGACCCAATACAGCTCTTCGACCCCCCCCGGAAGTTTCAAAAAAATCCTTATTTGTTCGGCAAAAATTCGGATATTCTACGACTTTACATAAAATTTCCGGATAAAGCCTGACTAATTAGAGGTCAGGCGTACTTTGCATAGCCCAGGCTCAGCCTAGGCGATGCAAATTAAAAAAGCCTGAGGAAGCCTGGGCAAGCCTAGGCTTTAGCCTAGGCCTCCCTCACTCTACTGGTATGTACCCTGGTACCCAGGGTATTTCCGGTTTTCGATGCAAAGCTGAATTTTGGATGCAAAATAACGAATTCTCAGTTGGCTATCATCTCCCAGCCGTGATTTGCATTTAGAACGGATCATAGGACCCAGGTTTGCATCCAAAATTCAGCTTTGCATCGAAACCGGAAATACCCTGGGTACCAGGGTACATACCCGTACCAGTACCCGGGTATGTACCCGTACCCGCAGAACTTATGCAAATGTGGGGGTACGGGTACGGGTAGTACCCCCGGTAGTACCCGTATCTACCCGCCGTATGCTAATTTCCAGGGTACGGGTACGGGTACAACCCGGGGTACCGAAAACGGGTACGGGTATGGGGTACGGGTATTCAAATGACCAACCCTGATCCCTACCTTATTGTCATTTGATGTACACAGGGTTCCGGTGACTTCAAAACTCATTAAAAACTGGCCTTTGAAGTACCAAGCTTTCTCAGTATCACCTAAAACGCCTCCAATCAGAAAAGCTACTTGAACCCTGGGATTAGAACCATAAGATCACTGGGTTCCCTTTGCGCATTGACCGCCCAAAGCTAGTCATTAGTTGGCCAGACATAATTTGGGGTAGGCTCAAAAGTTCAGCCGCAGCTAACAGCCGTATACGGTGGTCAACCTGGTTTGGATGTATCGGTTTTTTACGCCCCTTGAGACCCAAGAATCTCTGCTAGCTGACTTGCCGAACTTTTTGAAGTCCACGCTGAAGCCTACAAATGGTTGTCGAGCACGCCGGATTATTTTTACAGTCGGATATATAGTTGGGAAACCTAGCTTTATTTTCGCTAGGCCCCAGGGGTTGGCTGGATGTTCGGCCCCCACCTCCTATGTAGGAGGAAACGCAAGAAGGTATGTGCCAAGCTAACAAGCGAGGCACAACCACAAAACCACAACAAGAAGAGGTGTCAAGGCGTGTGGGGAAGCTCAAATGCTCAACGCGTTGTGGGCAAAAGAGTGTTAGAAGTTTATTACATGATAAAACTATGGGGCAAAGACGGAGAATGAGAAGTAGTAGAGGGGAAGGAAAAGTTACGCCGAGGTATCAAACTTTGTCTCATGGAGACGAAAGATTTGAGCTCGACAGACGGGGGGAGAATACACAAGAAAAGAAGAGGGAAAGGGTTAATGAGACGGGGAGGAAATACTAAAAGGCGAAGGCTAAAAACCACAACAACCGAGGTCGAAGTGGGGGAAAACAAAAGGCAAAAAGGCGGGACGGAAGAACACGGAGACCTGGGCCAACGTGTGGGGAAATATAAGGCGAAAGGCGGGGAAAAGCGGGAGAACACGAAAACCTAGGTTAACGTGGGTGAAAAACATAAAAGCAAAAGGCGGGGGAAAACGGAAACGTAAGGCACAAGGGGAATTAATAAAAGAAAAAGGAGAGAGAGAGAAAGAGGGACGGGAGGAAGAGGAAGACAGGAAGGGAAGAAGGGAAACACGAAAAAAGCGAGAGCCGAAAAGAGACGAAAAGCCAGGCTCACTAGAATTTGGTGGGCCGGCGGGTGGAGAGAGGACGGGGTACGGGCGCCACGAGTTGCGCGTCGTACAGGGGCAAGAAAAGGGGGGAAAGGGAAGGGGATTCCAACTATATCCGTAAAAGTCGGGGGGTGTCGATCGTGTGCCGATATTTTGTGATGAGCTGGCGTGCAACTGGGACCTCACCACAGTATGGGCGTTGGTGGACAGACATAAGAAATCTCTTCCGCCGTTGACGCCCTACTACAGCTTTGAACCCAACGATACACCGCCATATGGCCGGGTCCAGGACACTGCCGGGAATTTGACAATGCTTGACTTTGATGGGTCATTTTTTGAAACGACGTGCCGTAGAGCCTCAAGTTTTTGCGATCGGCTTTCTCCTCCGGTTTTTGGGGTATGGATGGTGATTTTCTGTTTGCTACTACGTCAATAAATGGTTCTGGACTCAAATCTGGGGCAACAATTTATTTAACTGGTGCATTATCGTAAAGTGGTGGTCGTCCGCCTTCTAGTGGTCATGGTTTCGACTTGGATAGCGGAGGCCGCATTAGACTTTTCGGTTTTCTGTTTGAGTTTGGTGACACGCGGACGGAGGAAATGCCATGTAATACAGCTGAAAGAGGTTCTTGTAACTTTTGGAGCAGAGAGCTAGAGGGCAAATCAAAGAGCCTACCCAGCGACGAGGTTTCCGAAAGTTGGAAAGTACAGACTCGACGCGATAATTAGCCAATCCCCAGTCACCTTGCTACCGAACGACCACATGATCGTCTTAGCCTCGAAACCGTCGTTTGGGCCCTGGAAAAATGCACGTAAAACAGGTAGCAAAGTAGTTTGGGTAGCATCGAAAGGTATCTTTGAACTTCGGTGACCTACCGAAAATGCCGACTTCATAATCGTGTCAATAGCATTGTCAATAAAGTACAGGTATTCGGCGGTCGCCAAGCAAACCAAGAACGTGAAAAAGTTGTTGAAAAAGATCTGAATTCAAAATGGATGAGGGGAGCGACCTGATGATGCCACCTGTTGTGCCAGACGGAAATCGGCTCGACTTTCCTTGGCCCGTACCGATAAGCCGGTGGAATTGCGCTAAACGTAGCCGTTTAAAAAACCAGTAGGTTAAGAAAAAAAACTAGCAAAAAAGTGGCCTCTCCTCGCAGCGATGGAGCGCTTAAACTCACTTCCGGAAACTTTTAACGCATTTATTGTGATTTTAACGACGCAAACTTAACAGCTCATGCCGTAGAAAACATACCAAGAGCTTCCGCAGCATCATCAACGTGACGCCATCTGCAGCGAGGGCAACAGCCGCCACAAGTAGCTTCAGGTGACGCATCAACGTCAGCTCATTCCATTCCGCCGCCTTGTTCCAAAGAAGTTTCCCGAGGACGAATCCGATGTTGATGGCCGAGGGCATGCTACCGCGGAACAGATTGTGCTCATACTTGTCGAACACGAGCGATTGGTCTGAAATACTTCAGCTGCCACCGAATCATTTGCCCCTTACAATATAACGGTTTGTATAGTTGCTGGAACGGAATGGAGATGAAGAGCATCACTTGTGCGACAGGATTTTTGGAAGTTAGCTTCAGATATTTTCCTAGGATGGTTTTCAAAAATTTGAAAGAACTATACCCCTAGCTACAACGCTTGCCACGCGATTCACCGAAAGTCCAAGTTGCAGGTAATCCACAGCAAATTGACAGACCACAAAATAGAAAGCGCATAATCGATTAAGATCTTTGGCCCAGAACTCTTTTTGATCCGCCATTTCATCTACAGTACGCTTCTCAGTAACCGGGGATGCGTAGTAAAAGTCCTCATAAGTTTTCGTTAAATCGTAGGCGCTAAAAATGAACAAAATCAATCGCTTGTTAAAGGACGGCTTACTCGCCCCGAAACTCATAGCTGACTCCTGTAATATTCGATCGAGGAGCTGGCGCGTCGAAGCGAATAATTGATTGAGCGACAACGTAGTACGCCATGATCGACATGACGATGCGCAGTGTGTGTTCGGCATAGAAATAGGTTTTCACCGTGATGCTCAAACCCGCATTTTGCCATATCGTTTTCCCAGCGACAGCATTCATGCAAAGGGCCAGCGTGCCGACCTGGAACTTCGGGCTCAAATTTCTGATCAGCAACTTACCCCACCCATGATGGCAATCGCCACCCAGTCCTGTGCGGCCATTTGCGCGAAGTAATGCACGCCCATTTTTTAGTAGATCTGTAGGCGACAAAATTAAGCTACATTAAGCATAGTAACAGCTACAAAACATAAAAGTATAAATTTATAGCTGGCTTCTTATTAACAACGCAATTGACATTAAGAATCAAAAATCTTAGTAGAAAACAGGTATATTTAGTCTGTGCTAGGTGCCATGGCTAACCGGCAATTTGTTGCAGGCCCTGATTTTTCGGCGGTGTAGCCGCCGAGGTACCATAGTTGTACCTCCAGAATGGCAATACCAATAATGTCGCATCCGTTTATGACGTGATTTAATGAGAGAAAGCCGACCTCTTTAAAGGGATGCCCAATCTTTTCGGGACTCAAAAAGCAAAAACCATGCCGCGGGCGGGAGTCGAACCCGGGACCCCCGTTTTGTAGGGCTAGATGCTATCCATTAGGCCATAGTGGCAAGCCATTGGGTGGGATGGGAACGCCACAAGAAGGAATGGGGTCCGAATTCTGTGCGGCTTTGGGGCCCATTGCCGCACAAAATTCGCGCCTCATTTGTACTGCCCGGAATACATAACTATATATTTGCCGGCGAAACATTGGGTATTCCTTTAATGCTTCTCGGCTTAGGGTATACTCCATGCATATGAATAAAACAAATATTTAAAATAAAAGATATATTAAACAAAGTGTCAGGGGCGAACACTTATTAATATTATGGTAAGATGGAGGTAAAATCCGGGAGACCCCGAGTTAAGCTAAAATTTTCGCAATCTGCACTTTAGTATTCTAAAGGAGTTTCCAGGGCGTAAACATTAAATATCAAGTATCAAAATACAGGGTGTCCCAAAAAAAACGACCCATCTGGCATTTCGCCATGTTACATCCAATCGGTCCCAAATTTGGACCAGAGGTGTAACAGACCCTAAATAACAACAATCCTGACTTTTAGCCCGGTAGCTACAGTCGTTCTCGAGTTATAGCGAAAACAAACTTTATTTTCTATTTTTCAAAGGGTATTCGTGGAATTAGACCCCCTAAACATTAAGTGAAAATGATCCAGTAGGCCTTCTTTACCGTTAGAAATTTTTTCCAGAGTAAAATTAATTAATTAAGCTTCGATTTAAGCCATTTTTACAAAGCAAAACTACCCCAGTTCTTGAGCGAAATTAGGGATTCGCAGCCGGAAGTCGATGCAAATCGATGCAAAGTCCAAAAAGATAGCCGATAAAACTGTTCAGAATTCCGGGAAAAACAGTATTTTCGCTATAACTTAAAAACTTCTGTAGCTACGGGGCTATAAGTCAGGATTGTTGTTATTTAGGGTCTGATACACCTCCTCTCCAAATATGGGACCGATTGGATGTTACCCGGCGAAATGCCAGATGGGTCGTTTTTTTTTTGGGACACCCTGTACATCAAGTAATACAGTTTAAAATTTGGCGTGCCATGGCTCTGTCTCTACCCTCTCGTCACTTTTTGTACATAGTGTCTTCACGGGGCTTCAAAGCTATTTAAAAACAAGGCGGCTGACATGGCTAGCTCCCTCAGTATCATCTAACATCTTGTAGCAAGTCTCCAATTAGAAAAGTCACTTGAACCCCGGAAATTAGTACCATAAGATAAGTGGGTTCCCTTTCCGCATCGGCACTCCCAAAGCTGGTCATTATCTGGCCAGACATAATTTGGGGTCGCCGCAAAAGTTTAGCCGCAGCTACCAGCCGTATACGGTGGCCAAATTTGCTCTGCCTTTTCTAGCTAGCCTGTCCCAGCTCCACGTTTTATCTTCTCAACTAGGCCCCTCATTTTCTTCGAAAATGGTGGTTGAGTGAGTTTTTTAAAGATTTGGATTTTTGAAACTTGGTAAAATTATTGTTTACCCCCCCCCCACAGCCGAAGGGTCTCAGAGTTTTCGGTATTTTCGCTATTTCTGTCGGGATTTTTGCAACGCCATTCGATAGAGCATCGAAAAATACATTAACAGTTTTAATTTGAGCCTACAACAATGTAAAATAGAAAAGTTATAGCCAAAACTCCGGGTAGGGGGGGGGAGGTAAAGTAAAGTTTAGCCGAAAATTTATACAAAAAAACACCAGCGTTATTTTCAGAGACCGCATTTGGTGGTGGCGCCCGAAATCTAGTGAGCCGGCCAAGCAAAGTGTGCGGGAAGAGCATTACCGATTATTTTCGATTATCCCACCTTTGGTAAGACAAATTTAACGGTATCTAACGAGCATCAATCAGAAGGCGCTGGGCGCGCTAACTTTCCTTGATGTTTTGGTATTTTTATGGTGCGGCCATCGGACGTTGTACGCTTCGGATTTACCCAGGGTTGGTGTTAACCCCACAAGTAACAAAAAATGTCTGAAATTCGCTTTTATAAATTCAAATATGTAAGAAAAAAGCATTTTTTGGGCAATCGACGTCTTCTTGTTTGTTTTTCTTTTTGCGTTGCTATTTATGGCGGTACAAGCCGAGACGCCGTTCTGGTGCCAAGTCTACATTGTTGCATTTGTGAGTTTGTGCGTTCGAGTTGTAACCCATTTGGTCAGATTGTTTTGGTACTCATAGCAGCACTTGGATGCTTCATTCACCTGCGGATTTTATACGCCTGGAATGATGAGTGAGTTTTTGTGTCTTATAGGGGATTTATATTGCCTTATTTGTATTTATATTATTTATTATATGGATTTATATGGATTTATATTGTATAGGGGTATTGCCGTATGTGAGAGAGAGAGAGAGGAGAGAGAGAGAGAGAAAGAGAGAGAGAGAGAGACAAAGAGAGAGAGAGAGAAAGCGTGAGAGCATGCCCGGGAGGGAGAGGGCCAGAAAGAGTAAAATACAGAAAGGGAGAAAGAGAGAGAGAGAGAGCGAGGGCAAAAACTAAGGGACCAAAGAAAAGAGTACGACCACGATCACCTTACGAGTTTTTGCGACCACCTTGAAAATTATCCATTTCCCAGTTTCGAATACTACTTGGATGACTATCGGACTTCCGGGGATCAGTCCGACCCGACGAAGGGCGTTGATCGGGAGGACGAACGTCGCTGGCGGCATCAAGGTACCGTTTTTGGCCTTTTTGTAGCGGGCCCTGCATAGAAGTGCATACTGTAATTGTGTACCCAAATGTTCTCGAGGCCAAACCACGTTGGCTGAAATGGAAAATCTAGGCCAAAACTGAAAATAATGGTTGGCTGTGCTTGGTCTTTCTGGTTGATCTTGGATCTGAAGGAATAGATGACGGCTCATCGGAGATACCTAATGCCAAAAAAATTAAAAGGTTATTTTTTAGAAGAGTGGATGACGCTCGGCTACTTGTTTTTCATGATCATCACCAAGTTACCCGTAATTTACGTCTACTACCAATTTTTACGGTAAGAAAACATTGTAGCTTCTACATTATTTTCCCTTTTTAGCGATCGCCAAATTGTTCAAGATCGGGGCAACCGTGTGGAGAAGATGCCGGTGCAGATGCTGAATTGAGACTAATAATCGCTTTTACATCTTGATTTTGCGGTGATAAATATTTATTAACCTTGTTTCACATTTCCCGTTTACCGGTTCTAAGCTAGCACTAATAACGGTCATCGTTTCTCGGTAATGGCAGCTTTTGCCAGGCAGCTAATGCCATTTCCGCTTAGTCCCGCCCAGTCTGGAAAACTCTCAGTACGTGCAGCTCCGCAAAATACTTCTTCGAACCCAAAAATTAACGGTCGGCAGTCCCCGGCAAAATGAGGGGTATGGTGAAAAAAGTTAGTAAGAAAAGCGGCGGTTAAATTCGTAACGTTTTTAAGGTATTGCAGTGAAAAATTTTGAAAACGGAAAAATTTAAACAGAAAAGAAGAAGAGAATAAAAAAATTCCTAAAAAATGCACTTGAAAACCGGAATTTAAACTAGTGAAACTGAATTTTTTCGGAACTAAAATCATTGCCTTTGCAGACGATTTTCGTAATGAATTCCGATTCCAAAAAAAACAGACAACCTCCACACATCATCAAATTTGCATACCCGTGTTCTCGCGTGCTTTGACCTTGTTGAACCCTCGGGGGGAACGGGGCGGCGGTTGCAGCGACTAACAGAAGAATGTGTGTGTCTGTCTTTGACCTTGAGACAAAGTGGCTAGATGCTACTAGCACATCATCCCAAGGGCATTCTCGGTGTATTGCCATAAAAACAACACTTTGCGCACAATAGACTACAAAAAAATGAGGTGAAAAAGGGGTGGCGGCATCTATGCATAAGAATTTTGCGAAAAAGGTCCCCACGCTTCATACCTTTCCCCAAGGACCTCTGCTAGACTACCTTGCGAGCTTTGCGCCAAAAATTTGTGTTAACTTGCCCTTATTTCTTGAAGAATCTCTGCTAGCTTGCGATTTTTCCACAATTATCTAGGCTAGTTTGCCCTCCTCTCCCAACTCATTGCCATTTTTCCTTGCCTATCCACAAAGCTCTCTGCTAATATGCCCTTTTCCACAAAGCTTTATGCTAGTTTCCCTGCTTTCTTTTCACGTTATATCTAGTTTGGCTTGCTTTTCCTCAAAAATCTCTGCTAGTTTCCCTGATTTTCCACAAAGGTCGCCGCTAGCTTACCCTTTTCCACAAAGATCTACTTCTCGATGATCTGTGCTAGCTTTCCAGCTTCTTCCACGACGATTGCTGCTAGCAGCCTGGGTTTTCCACAAAGATTTCTACTAGCTTGACCTGCTCTCGTCAAAGGATCTCTGCTATTTTGCACCACTTTTCCTCACGCAATACGTCGTGGGTTGTGGTACGTAGCGCGACCGGAAAAATGCAAAGAAAACACGAATAGCCCGAAAAATCGAGATAGAAATCTTGTCACATCCCGTTTAATAGGTATCGATTTCACTTTTTCCAGAAGACACCAAACTCCACCTTTCCCCCGGTCGCAACTCGGGCTAGCGGATATTTTGGTTTAGGGCTAGCCGGGGTGGGAGGAGGTAGTTGAGGGGGTTCGAGGAGGGTATAATGCCCCCCGGTGGATTCATCCTGGAGGGGGAGACTAACCCACTTCTTTTCTACACACATCCACCCGGATGACTGTAAGAAGAAAGTCGTCAATGTCGGTGGCTGAAATTGGGCCGCCCATTTCGAGACCAACTCTCGACAATGCTAATCCACGTCTCGAGGTTTTCACTGGTTCTAGAGGCTACATCGAAGTATTGGTGATGTGCGTGGAAATTAATGTGTAATAAATTTTATGAAAACTGCTCTCTCTCTCTCTCACTATCTCTCTCTTTCTCTCTGTCTCTCTCTTTCTCTCTCTGTCTCTCTCTCCTTTCTCTCTCTCTCTCTCTCTGTCTCTCTCTTTCTCTCTCTTTCTCTCTCTTTCTCTCTCTTTCTCTCGCTCTCGAGGGGCCCGCAGTTGAGTCCGCTTTTTAACATTTAGATATCTATCGAAAGCCATTTTTTTGGGATAGAGATAGCTAGGCAGCTCATTTTTTTGCCACTTGTTCCATTTAAAGTCACACGACATCTCCGATAGCTTTATTAATATAACTTGAACGTAAGCTAGTTTTGCAAAGACCACCGTTTTTCGATCTTCCGCTATCTTCGTTTTCTGTCTGTCCGCCGAGCCAAAACGCTGTCTGGATGATACGGTGGTGTATGCCTATAAGAGCCATCTTCAGATACATCCCGCATTCTATTCAGCACCTCCTGGGCTGTATGCAACGACTCTAGGGGGGAAAGTTCTTTGGCCGCGTCAATGCCATCCGCGGTCGGTTAGTTTTGGTGGGGCGTGAAATAGGGTTGTAGGCAGAACGAGGCGGATGGTTCGTAGTTTATCTATATCCTAGCCATATTTCATAATATCATGAATTTATAATCTTGCCACAAATTTTTATTGATTTGATTTCGTTCTCTCCTTCTCTCTCTCTCTCTCTCTCTCTCTCTCTCTCTAGCTTCGATGGTTTTCTGCTATATAAAATTCCTGTCTTGCACATCTCCAGGCTTATCATGGGAGCTTTCTAATAACGAATTTTTAGAGTTTTTAGGTTTAGTTTTTCTTCCGATTTCCAGCCTGATACTTTGACTAGAATGTAATACCCTTCCCTCTTTCTGCAAATAGAGTTGGTTGTTGCCCTTTAAGGGGCAAGTCTATGCCCTGAGGGCACAGTCCCGTTCCCACCTCGGCCTCCCCCTCCTTGAAGCATCATCGTCACCATCTCGATTTGAGGGCCTCTCCTCCCGCCACAAAACCCGTTGCCCTGCTGATTTCTTGACAGCATTCCATGGTCCGGAATCGATTACGTGGCTGTAGACTTTATTGCAAGTCCACGGCGTTTGACTTGAGATATATCTTATGCCTTTACCTTGCAGGCACCTTTAACGCGTCTTAAAGATTTTTAATGACTTGTTCAATCGGTATCTTGGACAAGAAATGTATTATTAATGCACCCTCTACAGTTTCATTATTTGTTTTCAACCTTCTATTAATGCGCTTACCACATGTACCCCATTTTCAGATGCGATTATTGTTAATTCTGCCCTATCTACTGTTGTTAGAGGCCCGAGAACTAACAAGACCAAATTCTAGTGCAGCGTACGTCGTACTAACCCATTAAAAAAATCAAAATTTTAGGGCCTTGGCACCAGCTACGAATCAAAATCAGTCTTTTGTTGAGAAATGGAGGTATAACCCGAATTCCTAACGGTTCACTTTGTGTTTCAGAGATTTTGACGATGCACTAGCCAAAAGAAGGAGAGAATTGTTTAAAAAGTTGAAGAATGGAACGGCTACCGTAAGAAATTATTGCAGAAAAATTAAAGATTTTTAGGCCGAACCGCCGGGGATCGAACCAGGGCCACCAGCGATACAAAGAGATTCCTATCAACATGTTATTGAGGAAACTGAAGCGGCTTCTTTTGTTTCGGTAATGGCTAAATGAATTTTAGCTTCCTTTATTCTAGGAAGATCTTCCAACGACACCATCTGGGTTAGCTGTTGCAGAGGTATCTATCGATTCAGCTACTTTGCAGCCGACTTCTCTCTAACTCTCGCTCTATCTCTCTCTATCTCTCGCTCTCTCTCTCATTTCTCTCACTCTGCCCGCTCTCTACCTCTCTCTATCTCTCTCACTTTCTCTCACTCTCGCTCTCTCTCTGACGCTCTATCTCTCACTCTCTCTCACTCTCTCTCTCTCTCTATTTCTCTGACGCTCGCTCTCTCTCACCCTCTATTTCTCTCACTCCCTCTCTCTCCCTCTGCGATCTCGCCCCTCCCCTTGTCTCTCTCCTTCCATAAAATAATTTTTAGACTACAACTTCAGCCTCATTGGACGTCTCAATAGGTATTTTTAATTCTATTCTTTATTAATTTATCTTCTTTAGATGTTGACTCCAACGACTCGTCAAAGAAAATTCTTATTTCAGCGACAGGGGCTACCGTAGTAAGCTCAAACTTTAAATTTCCTACCTTTTTGACAGGACGCCAGCTCTACCGAGTTACTAGAACTGAATGCTATGAAAGAAATCGAGGTACCGACCACTCCCGGAAAGCCGGTGGAAGAATTGGAAGGTATACAATAATGGTTGTTTTTCTATAGCCATCCACTGGTCCAGATTGCAGCGAAGATTCCGACGCTACGGAGATCGGGTTTGAAGATGCGGCATTTTCCAAGCGGGCTGTTTTAAAGGTATTACCTAGTAATATAGACGATATGCGACAAGGTATAGTAATTACCTTAAACGCGCGGATACACTTTTTACGATCTAAGTCTTCCTTCAGATTTCCGGTGAGGTCGTGACAAAGAAGCCGTGCCGATTACATGGTGGTTTGAAGGCAGTGCAACCGGTAAATTGCGTAGTTTGTCTTCTCAAATTGCACTTTGTAGCCTAACGACGTATCAATCGAGGCCAGCATTCAAGAAGTGACGTCATCAGGGCCAGGCTTGGAGGCTGAAGGTTCTTCAACAGAAGTGGAGGAGGTCGAATCTTCCTTAGAAACGGATACGAAGAATGGACCCACTACAGAAGTGGCTTTTGATGAAGGTCAGTGCATTAATGGTGTCTGATATTTAGAGTACTATCTTGAGCTCAAAATTAACGATTTTTTTAGCTACTTCCGGCACCAACAACATCTCCGAACCTGCCGACGAATTGGTCGAATTCACGCCGACGACTACCAATACAAATTCCGAATCAATCCCAGCTTCAACCATCCCCATCGAATCCGAAATCGCCAAGGAATTCCTGCAACGAAAAGCCATGGAAAAAGACAGCAGCACCGAAGACCCATTTGCTCTGATCGACGCCGTAAAAGCGGGTGATAAGGAGAAAATTAAGGCGATGACAGAAGAAACGACAGAAGATCCGATTGAAACTGTGACCTTTGAAGATATATCAGAAGATTCCGGGGAGAAACTGGTTACGGAAAGTACCATCGATCCGAGTAGTGTCACGGAAGATCTGGGGGAAATGGGTGAGGTTACGGTGACTACGGAAATGCCGGAAGTTCCTGAAGTCGCGCCTGAGGTGGCCGAAGTTCCGGAAGTTGATGCGAATACGGTAACTGCCGGAAATTCCGTCTTACCGGATACCGTAGAAACATCTGCAACCGGATCTTATGATAGTGTAGCTACAGGGCGGTCCTCCTCTCCGGATGGCGTACCCAGTAATGGAGCGGAAATTCCGGAAACCGCCCCGGCCCTCGAATCAGAAATCCCGGAAATAGCGACGACGTCTGAAATCCCGGAAATTCCGCTCGACTCCACAGTATTGACCGAAATTTGGGAAAAATCGGGAAATACGATAATTCCCATGGAATCCGAAGCGACGGTAATACCTACAGCACCTGTAGAAGAAACAGCAGCACCGGTAGAAAATCGTCCACCCGCTCCTGCAGCTTCTGGTAATTTCTAACGTTATTCTTTTTGAACTCATTTTTAGTCGATTATTGGAGTTAGGTAAATCATAAAGCGTTAAATTTGACGTTACATTACTTTAATGTCGTAAAGTGCCTAGATTTTTGAAAGCATGATTTTCTTAATTTTCAGCCTATGGCGACAACGATGTAGCGGCAATTAATGCAACCCCAGAAAAATCAGCAGAAGCCGCATTCAACACTGATGGCATTTTTGACAATTCTGTTCTCGAAGGCAAGAACTGGACCAAACCGACAAGAGGCGCTGTTATTGGTGAGGAACCCCCGAATTCTACGAGCCTATGCAAATTAGGCTGCCCTCCACCCAGACTCTGCGCTAAGAATTGTTTTGTGATGATCAACGATCAGGGCTGCCAGGATTGCCAATGTTTGTGGATATCGTTGAGTAGGGTTTTTACATGCAAATTAGGTTTAGAGGGCCATGGAAGCCAAAGTCTTTATGGTTAAAACGAATCTTCTTATTTATAGGCTGCGAAACCGACACTGATTGTCCGGAAAACGCGCAACTTTGCGATCTCGGAAAATGTGTGTGCCGACCAAAATGGGAGCAAGACATGGCGAGGCCTGGATTTTGTAAAGTGGCATCACCGAAGTCTTATGGAATACCACCAAATCCTCCAGGTGTTGGGAAAATTCAGATACCCTATCTTTGTCTTTGGCTCTCTCTCCCTCTCTCATCCTCTCGCCCTCTCTCCCCCTCTCTCTCACTCTCTCGTACTCGCTCTCACTCGCTCTCGCTCTCTCCTTTAATTACCGATCAACTTTCCAGCCCGCTTCATGGCCCAGCAGCGAGCCCTCAGAAGCGGCAAATTTCACGTGAAATTCCGTGACCAACCTACGACCACTACGGTAATGCCACCGCCATTTAGCCAAAACGTAATGTTCCTTTTCAGGCGTCGACCACCGCGCCCGATACGAGGAGAAAGGTGGGCAATTATTGTTGGTGTCTACTGCTGCACAGTATAAAGTCCGCAGTCGTTCGAAAAATGCTTGCTGGGGGCCCAAAATTATGCTTCTTTTGAACCCACAAATTTGCTACGGCAGCTACGAAAAACGTTAATAGGCGGTATGATAGTGGCTGGGGCCGAAGGGTGAGCTTTGAGAGTTGTAAAAAGTCGTTATATGCCTTTGAGAAGAAGGGGGCAACAAAAAAAAAACATAGAGAGAGAGTAAGAGAAAAAGAGAGAAAGATAGCGAGAGAGAGAGAAAGTGATAGAGAGAGATAAAGTGATAGAGAGGGAGAGAAAGAGAGAGAGAGAGAGAGAGAGAGAGAGAGAGAGAAAAAAAGAAACACCCTCCTAAACAACCCTATGCTTTTTTTCAGGAACCCACAACAATCCCAGTCAGCATGTACTTTTTCGGAAGAAATGCGACGAGGAGTAAAAGAGGAGTCAAATGGTAACGGCGTATTCTTCGGACTTTTTTAAGCTCTTTTAGGACTCCAAAACCCCGACAAAGCGAGCGGTTGCAATGGCCAGGTAGCACGGGCAGACGGTGATGGAAAGACGCAATTTTTTTTGTTTTTGCATGTACGCTTGCACGTTATATTCATGGGAATAAAATTAATATGGTGGTGGTTGCATGCAAAAAATCACTCAAATTTTTGTAAGATCGTAAAAATAGGTCCTTGTGATGACAACAACCAATGCCCGCGGGATTTGTATTGTATTGAGGTGGGTCAGGATAAATGGAGGGGGATAGTGTGAAGGATAGAAGAGAGAGAGAGAGAGAGAGAGAGAGAGAGAGAGAGAAAGGAAGCGAGAGAGAGCGAGAGAGAGCGAGAGAGAGCGAGAGAGAGATAGAGCGAGAGAGAACGAGAGAGCGATATAGAGACAGAGACACAGAGACAGAGTGAGAGAGAAAGTAAAAATTAGAATTAACAATAAATTAAAGAAATGAGAAAATAAATAGTAAATTAATGATCGAGATTTTAGGGAGATTGCTGGAGTTTACCAGACAAACCATTAAAACCATTTGCCCTTCGTGAAGACAACAATCGAAAACAAGATTTTTCGGGTATTTTTAAGCTATAGTGTCTTAAATTGGTTCTTAGACATCGCTTCCGGTGGCCTGGACCACTTCCAGGATATGCTTGGGTATCTCTACTCTAAAGATCTTGGAAATTATTCTATTTTTAGTGATGCGGACAGCAGTTTTCATGGATCGTTTCCGGTAGATATTAGTCAATCGCTCATTAAAAAACTATTTAGGATCGCCCAACGAAAACCAAGCTGACAGCTATTCAGAAAATTGACCGGAAACCGAGGCCGGAGGTAAGTTTTTGTGAAAATTTGCAATGAACTGGCTTAGCCCTCACCGCCCGGCTTTCAGCCAACCGAGGAAGAAATTATCACGTTGCTACGGCCGGCTTCACAAGTCCGGAATTCTGAGAACCGGAAGAGTTGGAAGCTGCTTGAGAGAAGCAGATCAGATAGAAGGGTAGGTGAAGCTCGAAATGCGCCGTGTTCCAGGCTGGTGCTCCTGAGAAACTCCTTTAAGCTTCCAGCTTCAAGTTTCACAAAAGCATTCAGAGAGCCCCTCCCCAAACCACGCCAAGCCCAAATGATGTCGAAACGTCCAAATCGAGCTCCAAAAATCCGCCCTCTTTCGAGCTAACCGATTCCGGAAATCATGATAATTTCATGGAGAATTTCTGGAAGCAAAAATTGCATATCGAGGCGCCGTAAGCCGCTTTTAAACAGTTTAGTAAATCATAAAAATCTTAGCAATAAATTCCAAGCGCTCGAACAGGAAGAAGCCGGTCTACCTAGTCAAGCTGATATCAGTAAGCTTAGCATCAGTTTAGCATCCTCTTTTCTCTGCAGATGATCAAGAGCCGGGCGTTTGGTACGAGGTGCGACCTGGGGAATTCCCGCGGATCGGGCCACAGTAGGCAATTTTCTACATCAATTTGGAGTCAATTTTAGACCCCGGAAAAATGCGAATGTTCCAAAGAGAAGTGAGAGGATGTTCTACGAATATACAAACTCAAATTTGTTGAACAAACCAATCGTCGTGATGCGCGAGAATGGATGGGGTCAGTGTGGGCGCTAAAAATCACGGCTAACCGGTCCCTAGGGGTATTTAAGAATATTTTTAATGAATGTTTTCGTTTTTCGGTAAGAATTAAATTATTTAAGGTACCGTCTACGACGAATGCCATCGTGATTCCGATTGCAGCCCACGTACGAAGTGCTGCGCCAAGAAGTGGTGTGATAGGTTTGTTTCTCTTTTGCTACCGCTAGCTCTCTCTCTCTCTCCTATCTCGCGCTCTATCGTTTGCTCGCTCTCTCTCTCTCTCTCACCCTCTCTGCTTGTATGTCACTGCGTTTTACGCTAAAGCTACAGTACTCTATCCAGAAACCAAGAATGCGGAAACGCTCATTTCTGTCTCCCCGACTGTACTATGACCAAAACCGTTCACCCGGACGATGGACGCCGCCCGCATATGGACCTGATTTACGATTAATATTATTTATAATGGAAATAATGAGTCCTTAACATTAATAATTGATCGAAAACGATATCGCGTGGTACATAACTTATTTATATATTGATAACAACACCTGTCAAGACAGTCCTGCTCCACAACACCCGATTCAATAATTTTCACTGGAAGCAACACAAAAACATCAATAATAAGTGTTTTCAAACTCATAATTAATCGCGAGCTTTCGATTTCCCCTCGGGTTCGGGCCGCTTTTGAAGAACAAATCAATTTTGCCGGGTACGGTAATGTTGAAGCTTTGGAGCTGTGGGGTGATCGGCATCCTGAAATCCTATCCTATAAGCGAGAAAAGTATGTGTGTTTTCTGTGCAGCCGATTTCTCGGCCGTCAGGCCGAATTTCCGGCTGATTTTTGGCATGGAGGTGGAGACACACGTTTGCCAGAAACGCATCTTTTTGTTTTTCGAAATTCCTCTATTTAACGATTTTACAAACAAAATGGTGAAAATCCTTAACAAAATGGGCTACGAGCCGTGGTGTCCGGGCCATAACTCGAAGCGCTGATGGAATTTCGGTCTGTAATTTGGACCACTTATGTATTCGATAGTGGGGATCACGCGCATCTTATTATTTTTACAAATTTTCGGCGCATTTAGACTAAAAAGCGATTTTTTTAAAGTTACCAGAAGTCCTCCCTCCCGAGTTGGACCCGCCCCCAGGACGCAAGAGGCCTTTCCCGCCGCCCTTTCCCGATGCCTCCTTTGGTATAGTGGCTTGCCGCCCGGTCTACCACGCAGGTAGTCGAGGGTTCGAATCTTCGGTAAATTTACCTTTTTGCTTTTTGATAGCTCAACAACACAACATATTTCGAGGCTCTAGGTATCCGAAATTTAGGCCAGTCCCTCGCTCTAGCGCGGCAGGCCAAAGAAAAAGTCCTTGGCCCGGGCTCTAGCGCCGCAGGCCAAAGAAAAGGTCCTTGGCCCGGGCACTAGCGCCGCAGGCCAGATGCTGGAGAAAAACCAGCAGCTAGCGCCGCAGGCCAGAGAATGGTTTAGAGTCAGGCTCTTGCGCCGCAGGCTTGAAAAAGGAAGGGGAATATATGGTTCCTAGACGGGGGCCAGTGGAAAAGGGCCGCGAAGCGGTCATTTTCCACTGGTACAACGATATGCGCTTATAAAAAAATGCAATAAACTAATCCAACTAAAAAGTTTTGGGTTAATAAACTCACAAATTGATGCCCTTGGCTGATCGCATATATACGGTATCCTCGGGCTCAATATTGCCTTTGAAGGAGAATTTGATCGGTCGATCTTCATATCTTGCCGCAACGATCGACCATCCGCAAGCAACGTTTGCGCACTCCTAAAATACTCCTGATACGTCTGGTTTACGACCTGAGTCTGAGCGGAGGAGTTCGAGCAGTTCAAGCTCATCTACGGCCACAGAATATTAAAAAAATATACCTTTGGCTGCTCATCCTCAAACCAGTAATTCGCGTAATGCAAATAGTTTGGCACCGACTCGTTGTATTTCTCGGCAAAGACGCCACAACGACATCCTAAGAATAATTTACATAAGTTGTAACTTAAGACTTTTTAAGGTATAATTTTATAAAGTTTACAAAAAAGTGTTACCATCTGGCAGTACCACCTCGCTGAACGTGGCCGTGAATTCGGGCGCGGTTTTGTTGTACCTGAAAAAAGAAGTAGGTAAAGTTGGCCAGGGCGGAGCTAAGGTTAGCTTAGGCTTAGCTTAGGCTTAGCTTAGGCTTAGCTTAGGCTTAGCTTAGGCTTAGCTTAGGCTTAGCTTAGGCTTAACTTAAGCTGAGCCTCCCTTTTTAGAAGGATCGCTTACTGAAATAGCAGCCCTCCATCCATCACCACGAATTCCTGGACTCCTGATTTCGATCCAACAACTCTAAAAGATAGTTTTTTTATTAAATAAAAAATTACAACTTACTCTGCCCAATGTCTGTCTTCCCAAAAGATATCATCTACCACAATATCTTTGTACAATTTTCCTGGCACTGCATTAGGAATTTCCACCTTCACCTTGACGGCGCTCAGCTTTTGGCCATCCTTGAAAAATTCCACAAAAAGACTAAGAATCCTTACCCATCCATGTGAGGTCAAGTCATACTGCACGATACCATTCTTTTCTTTCAACAACTTTGCGTCTTTTTTCAGGGTCAGAGGCCCAGGTTTTTCGTTGAAATTGTGGGAAACAAATTTTAAGTATCCTAAATTTAATTAGATTCAAATTTTATTAGACAACTTACGATTTGGTCTATCCGAAATAATGTCGCCGATCAAGAAAGTATCTTGAGCAAGAGCTAGGCTAAGAAAAATAGCTCCAAAAATGAGCATCATCAGGGGATAGTGTCGAAATGGTACCCCGCAAACAGTTGCACTCAAATATAAAGCGTTCCACCCGCGCCTTTGGAATGTTTGCTTCCTGTTTTCGCAGGTTCTGTCGGGAAACGATTGATCAAATCATCTCTCCCTCTCCCTCTCTCGCTTTCGCTCTCTCTCTCTCTCTCTCTCTCTCTCTCAATCTTCTCCCAAATTCCCAATTGCCGTGCATTTTTCGAGGAGAGACGGAGCCTCTATTTTCCTTTTTCATCCAATTATGTTGGGTTGTTTGCTAAAATGTGACTCATCAGTTGGGACTCGATGACGTTCGCAAATTTGAGGATGACTGGTTTATTTCAAATTTGCACGGTGGGATTAAAGTTGTAGCTTGGGGCTTTAGAAGCGGTATTCCATAGCTTCTGAAATTGTGGTATATGGCTTCAAGGGTTGTAGCTTGTAGTTTAATGCGTTGCATCTCGTAGTTTTATCGTACGTAATCATAATTTTTTTGAATTCATTAGAGAAAAAGTATCACCATGTAGTACGGACTGGGACCTTAAATAAAAATTGTAGCTTGTAGCCTACAGTTATAGTTTTAGTCTGTAGTTTTCTATTGCATAGATCAATTTATTAAATCGCTATAATCCAAAATAAATTATTGCAACGGGTTCTGCTTCAAAAAGTCCGGATCCGAGGCGACAATCTTCGCGATGAGGAATGCGTGTAGGTTGTAGACTACGGCCAGCACCTCTTCGCACTCCATATCCTGGTGTTTTATTAATTTTATGTTTAACATCGTATAGGAAATACCTTTGTCTCCAATTTACTTGGGTCCAAACTTCTTGGATCGTTGAAGACGAGTTGTACTAACACTTTCCCATCGTCGGAGGAAGAGTGGAGATCTCGGAATCGGTATTGCCAGGCGTAGCTCTAAGACAATGCCATTAATGCATCGACGACGTTTTTAAATACAATTTAAAAATTTACCTTCGTCGGAATATCATATAAACTGATGCCCTGCTTGATGTCAAACACCAGTCCACTCGGGCGCCCTTCGTAACTGCACGCAAAGGTGCGCGTCTGAAACGGGGTTTTTCAGTTTTCCTCCCTCTCTCTCCCTCTCTCACTATCTCTCTCTGTCTCTCTCTCTCTCTCTCTCTCTCTCTCTCTCTCTCTCTCTATCTATCTACCTGTAAGGCGTTAATTGTAGCATGTACGCAACGGTAGTAAGTCGCCTCGAACTGTTCCAACATTTGTGGGAATTCGAATGCTAGGTAATGCCGGGCGTCGGCCCCTGAAAATATAAAAATATCCAAAATAAAATAATATCCGTCAAAAATACCTGCCAACAGTTAAATTTTATTGTCAGTTTCAACGCTAGCTTGTAAGATACTACTTAAGATAGCTTTTGGAGTCCATCTACTTAATTTTCAAGAAAAAATTAGAGAATAGCTGTCAGACAATTTTCATGGCCTACCCATCGATGTCTCAATCCAAATACAATTGTCCCGTTTGTCCAGCTTGCGCATGTCGTCCGGAATCTGAAAATTTTTAGGGATGGTTGTGCCAAAAATGGGCTCAAAACCTGTTTCACTGCCACATCATAACACTTGTAAAGGTTCAAACATTTTCCAAGGTCGTCAGAATTCAGCTAAACTCAAAAATTTCAGGTATCTTCTCATTGTCATACCGGTGGCGTCTCAAATAAGCAGATATCGCCTCCTTTTAGGATCAGAAACCTGGGTTCCCAGCGTTGTTTCGGGTCTGCGGCGAGGTCTTCGGGGATTCGTTCGTTTACCCAGCCAATGTGGCTGATCTGAAATAGGGTTTCTACGGGATGTCGTAGTCTAACTTCACTCTCTCTCACTCTCGCTCTCGCTCTTCTCTTTATCACTCTCTCTCATTCTCTCTTTCTCTCGCTCTCACTCTCTCTCGCCCGCTCTCTCCCACACTCTCTCGCCCGCTCTCTCTCTCTTTCTCTCCCTCTCTCTCCCTTTCTCTCACTCACTCTCTCTCTCTATCTCCCTCTCGTTACAAACCTGCTCACTCTGATGCAAATACTTGTTGCTCATCTTGATGCTCTTCTGGTTGAGGTGGTTGATGTGATGGTGGATTTTTATTAGCCACTGGTCCAAGGCTTTATTGTCCTGAGCTATCGAATTCTCAAAGAAAATACGTTATCCCTACCTCACAATGAATAATCCCTGAAGATGTGCCATCAACAGCGCGAAGCTCGAAGGCGTTTTGTCTAAAGGAACGTAGGGTAAGAAGGTTCATCATGTACATAAAAACGTTTCAGAAAAAGCGTAAATAAAGTCAATCAATCATCGTAAATTCAGTAACATACCTTAAATTATCGGTTCCCCACAAAAACCTCGTAATGTAAGCCATTGGTAGTGGAATCGTAGAGATAGTACGCCACTTCCCGTCATCACGATCAAGGGTTCTAAAAGAGCTGATCAATTGACGCTGTTTCGTAATCCCATAAAATTTCATTATTATCCATTATTACCAACGCGTAGCCTATATTTTTAACTCTATAAAAAGCTGCATACTGAATACTACTCACCCTAATGATGCGTGATGCGTCGTCTTGCCGTCAGGTTTCTTTTCATACAACCCCAAATCCGAGTGGGCTTTCATCGCTGACTACAAAAACCGTAATCCTGTTTTAAGGGAACTAATAACCTTCCAAGTATTCGGCTCGTATAACTTATCCAAAGCACTTCCGCTTCTCCCGGGCTGCAGGGATACGGCAGGTCTAAAAAAGCATCGACCATGGTTTGGAGGATACTTTAAGTATGGTGCGATACTGGTGTAGTGGCGAACGCCTAGGGTGACCTCGTCGGCGTCGCTTTTGAGCATGTCCACCACCTGAATAACGAGCATAGTACTGTCTAGAAGTACATACCTCATCATGTGATTTTCCATCAACTCCAACACCGTTTACTTCGACGATAGCGTCACCAACGAAAAGCTGCTTGGTTTCTTCGGCTGGAAAGCTAAAAGGTTGAGAAGCGAGCGAGCACGAGAGATGGAGAGAAAGAGAGCGTGAGAGCGACAGAGACAGATGCACAAAGAGAAAGAGCGAGAGAGAGAGAGACAGAGAAAGAGAGAACCATTTTCTAATCTAACCTGGCATATCCGGGAAAATCTTTGAAATCACGATCGGAAAGCTGCTGTTCTGATCGCCTCCCTAAATATGTCAAAATTGATTAAATTTCTATATTTTTAAATATGTGTAGAATTTTAGCAAGTAAAAGCATACCCGAATGCTCAACCCCAATCCTTGCACATCCTTTCGCTTCTTGATAACAACTTGTCGGGTGGCCGTCTCTTCTGGAGCTACTGATGGCTCGTCGACGACGAGGTCAGCCGGGATTTGAATCGATATTTGATCTGGAGATATCATTATTAATTCTCGACCTTGCTAAAAGGAAAAACGTCATAAAAATGTCGTACCTTTCGTCAGCAACAGCCTAGACGGTCTTCCTCGCCCTTTTCCGTCGGAAATAAGGACTAAACCGTGGTGGATCTGGAAGGGTTATATAGCTGCTGTAGGCCAATAGGTATTTATTCATATTAAAGGCTTACAAAAAGGGTTAGAACTCACCACGTCCAAATTTCGGTGTTTGTTCTTCATTTTCAATACTGAGATCGCTTAAAAAATATTAAAAACACCCATGGTTCTTATTAAAATGGCAGCTATTAAAGCGCACGTTCAGGAAGGGGCCGTATACTCGTCCCAACGTATACACCCTATGGACGTAGGGACCGCGCGCACTGCCTGCCCGTGCTGTGACAGGCCATTCCCCTCCTTTGCGACGTGGGGCGCCCCTCGCCCCCTCGCCAGTTTGTAGCTGTGGCTGACTGGTATCCATCCGCGCCTCCCGAGCGGGGGCCCGGGTTCGACCCCCGGCCGCGGCAAAAATCTTTGCTTTTTACCAAAAAACGTCCCTGAACGTGCCCTTTAAAAAGTATCAAAAAAATGTTAGTAAGGTTCTTAAAAAGTGATACGCCTAGAAATAGCCTAAATCTAGCCTTAACTCTGGGTAGAGTTAGTGCTTGTCGTCGGGGGGGCACCCGTTACAGCCTAGCTGGCCCGAGGAGACCCAAGGACCCAATTCCCCCCAGCATTACAACCAGGGCAAAAGGCCAGCGGGAAGAAGGCCCTGAGGGCGCAAAGAGGGGCCCAGCATCAGGAAAGAAAATGATCAGCTGTGAAATAGGAAACAACAACGCAAAGTGAGACGGTAGAAGGCGAGTTTGGATGACCTAAGCAAGTTCCGGGCTTTGGTCAGCTAATTAGAAAAATTCAGTTTTCGCGAGCGTGGAATTTTGCGAAGTAAAATAGAGACATTTCCAGAACGAATTAAGGTTTATTGTTACTTTTTAAAGGTATACCCTAGCCTCAAAAGCGACAGAAACATCGAGGAGGACAAGAATAACGTTAAAAAGTTTCTACAAACCTATTATTTAATTCACAGAGTCGGTAATTATGCTTAAACTGTCTCCACTATCAGCCGCGTTTTAATACAAATTAATGCGACCAATTTAAATAAAGACGATCACAATACAAATATGGCAAAATTCCTACTTCTGAAAGCCAAAAAATTGGCCCTCAATCTTTTCCAAATGGCCCCCAAATAGACACGTTAGCTCCAGGTGTGAAGCGCAATAAATTTTTCCAGGTTTCCGGGACCACTGTCGCTCGATTTCAATGCTGTTAAAGGACTTCGAGCAAACAAAAGAGTTTTAGAAACGTTTCTAGGTAGTACAAGACATTTTTCATCCAATACCTTGCGCCTCCGGGCGGGCAGCGAAAGCTGAATCATCACCCGAAATGTCGGCCCTGAAACTGGTCACCTGGTTTCGATTACAAAGTCGATTTCAATTTCATCCCGCTATAAACTGCATTATTCAATGCTCAGCTAAATGCTCGAAAAGGACGGTGTTTGTATACTTTATTCATCAAAGTACCGCGCTATAGGCAATATAGGCAGAAAAGTGACATTTCGGGGGGGTTGCCATCTAACTAGGAGCCGCAGCAGGCATTCGAAAACCTGCAGAAGCCTTGACGGAAGCCATCTCTTCGACGGCAGCTAGAAAGGCCGCCTCCGGCTTAGAAGATCCATTTAGCTGGTCTAGAAAGATATGGATGAAATTAGCATAAATGTCCTAGGCTTTTCAAGGCATCGAGCATATTTCTGACCTTGCAAGGGGTGTCGTACGACGGGAAGCGATTAGCTTCGAACCGCGTTCTTGACGATATCGGTATCTATCGAAAGAGGGAGCGAGAGAGAGAGAGAGAGAGAGAGAGAGCGAGGGAAAGGAATTCTGTGCGCAAGTGACGCTTTGGCAAAGGACGTCAATTTTTGCCGTTCAAGATCTTATCCGCTGCGCCTGGTTCACATTTTTTTGCGGCATGGACATGAGTTTGGAACGAAAAATGGCTTTTTTGGGCGCAGATTGAAGCGGAAGATGGCAGCGTTATAAGATGGAATCGGCAGGCGCCAGAGCACAGCCTCGAGGGTACCGGAAGTCGTTCTATCATGAAGTGTTCGTTGCTCTTGCTGCTATTCGTGATGGCTTGTGGTAGGTCCTTTGGGTCTTGGCAGTGCGCTATTAGTGCAATTATTTGGCTGTTTATGTAGATTTTAATGTCTTGATTTTCTATATTTTTTTCAGTCGACCTCATCGCGGCCCGCTATCATTGCCCTCGTCAATGCACGGTTAGGTTTTAGGTAGTTTATAGTTTTTACCGAAGAGTTTTTACCCATTTTTTTATTTCTGTTGCGGCACTTATGTTCCATTAAAGTTCAGCGTCGATATTTTATAGAAAAAACGATCCGACGGTTTCAGGACACACCCCTGGTCGACGCATGCTGCCGGGCCCACGGCTTCAAGCATGGCATCTGCATACGCGGATGGACGAGATGCCATAATCGGATAGAATGGAGATAAATACAGCTATATTACTTTTTATTTCAACACGCGCCCAATCAAAAAAGTCGAAAGCGCTTCAAGTTATCGTCAAATTATTGAAAATTGCGGCCAAACATTTCAAAAATAACTGCGGATAGTGTAGCCTTTTTTAACTGGCTTTCAAACGATAAAAACGTGAAATTCAAGAAAAATTTCATACATTTTCTGACAAATCGTGCACTGATGTAAATGAAATTAAACCAAAGATACCTTTAAAGTTGGGATAAACTTGCTTATTTGCTTGACTATGCATAAGATCAAAAAGGTAGCCCTGAAAACTTCGGTTTAAAGATTAATCGGCTGGCAGTATCATTAAATTTACACAAAATAAAAATACGCACGACTGTTGGTATCATTTCAATACTTTTCTCTCTTCAAGGTCATAAATGACAGTGAGATCAGCTCCTACAGCGCGGAGGGACCGCTTGAAAAATGTGGTCCACGGATCTTTTGCTCCCTTTTTAGGCGTTTTGGGCAAAACGGGTTCAACCTCGACAATATCGGTCGAGTTTTACCGGTATATAAGCCCAGAAACTCGGCTCGCAGTAGCAGATTTGACTGACAAATCATGAAATTCTTCCTCGTCTTGCTCCTCATCATCGCCTTCATTGCTGGTATGTCTGATTTCAGCTTATCTTCCAAATTACATAATCTTACCTGAAAAAAAATCAATTTCCTGTTCTAAAGGTACAAGGAAGGCAAAAATACGAAATTTTTATTGTTATTGCAGCGACCTCTGATTCTCCGGTATTTCACGAATTCAATAACTCTTTTTCGCAGACTGCATTTGAAAAACCTTGCCTTTTCAGTCCAAGTCGAAGCTGATCGATACCAGATCTGCGACAATCCATGCAAGGTACGTTTGATCCATCGAAACAAGCACAAAAGGCATCTATCTTCTTGAAAGGGCGGTCCATGTAATTTATTTGCGGTTTTTTTGCAGACCGGCGGAGCGGTGAACACTTGCTGCCGGGTGCACGGCTTCACCGAAGGGATGTGCTACGGGCATTCGGCTTACTGTCGTTAGAGTTTAATAAATCGTCATTTTGCATTCTTCAAAAAAATTTTTGCGATCGAGAACAAGGTTTAGCTATTTTGTGGAATGCGAAATGCTGATTTTCATTATTGTCGAAAACTAGAACGTTGGCCACAATTTTGATTGCCAGCCAACACACCGACAAATTTTCGACGCTAGTTTAAATGTCTTTTCCATTTAGAGACTCCATATTTTGCAGAATTGGATTTTGTTGTCCAAATTTTGGCTATCGCTGTCGGGGTTGTGGCTGTCGGGTTTTATCGCAATCGAATTTGTCGAAATCCAAAGCGACGTCGGCATTTTCGCATCTGTTGTATTTTGCATGTCATGCGATAATTTCCACGTCTCTATAGAAATAGAAAATATAGAAAACTTAGAATACATGGGTTCCAGTTGATTTTTATTCCATGAAAAAAGCACATGCGGAGGCTGGAGGCCAAATTCAGGGCGAGTATTCAGTAGGCGAGCATGGACATTTAGGGGACAGAGAAATTCACATTCTTTAAAGGGACAGGGACACTATTTGCGAAGGGCCGACGAGCGGGGGGCGGTCGAGTACTGGGTGGAGGCGGTTTGTTGTTGGGTCGATGAGGTGCGGCGGAGGGGCTTCGTCGACTTGGTGGACTTGGTCGACGACTTCGAGTTAGACTTCTCCGACTTTTGGGTGTCCATCGTGTTGTTGGTGGTGGTTGAGGTGGCGTTGGGGCGGGATTTCATGGAGGTGCGACGGCTCGAGGATGGTGGTCGCTCCGAGGCCAGCTCCCCGTTGACGACCTTCATGAACGTGTCCTCGAGGCCGCACTGGGTCACGCTGTAGTCGGCAATTTCTGGAATTCAGGGATTGGAAGTTTGAGTAAAGCTTAAGGCTATTTCTAGGTGAAGCCAAAGCTTAATCCTGAGCATAAGCCTAACAAGGAGACGTTTTTGAGTGTCGTCGGGACTTTGGCACGGGACCAAGCCTATCTTGTGCAGAATTTTACGCTGATTCCGAATATGTTAACCTTTTTTGCGGAATAGCAATTTCTCGAAAGTTATGAACGATTTAAACCTCAAAACAGCTGAAAATCGGCTACTTTCGATAGTCATAAAAGACTTCGGAATAGGTTTTAGACAAAACTTGATAGTGCATCTTGTTCAAAAAAAAATTCTCTATAAAATAAGCTACTTAACTCAAAAATGCTGAAATTTTGAAAATTTTTGTAAAATTATGGATCTGCCAATTTATCAAATTCTTCCAACTTTTCAATGATTTTGGAAAAGATGGTACATTTTATAGAGAATTTTTTTTCTGAACAAGATTTACTATCTGGTTTTGCCTAAAACCTATTTTGAAGCCTTTTATGACCATTGAAAGTAGCCGATTTTGGGCTGTTTAGAGGTTTAAATCGTTCATAACTTTCGATAACTGGCTATTCCGCAAAAACGGTTAACATATTCGGAATCAGCGTAAAATTCTGCATAAGATAGGCTTAGTCCCGTGCCAAAGTCCCGACGACACTCAAAAACGTCTCCTTGTAAGCCTAAGCCGATTTGAAGCATTAGCCTCTCATCCTAAGCCTAAGCGAAGCCTAAACGAAGCCTCACCTTCCGTCAAGCCTGAGCCTGAGCCTATGCCTACTCTTAAGCCTAAGTGAAGCCTAAGCTAAGCCTGAGCAAAGCCTAATATAAGCCTCAGCCTCTGCCTACGCACCAAGCCCACGGCCCTCCTGGACCACCGCCAACACGTCGGCCCAGATCTTTGACCACGGCAGGTTCGTCGCGGGGATCTAAAGTACGGAAAAGCTACCGTACTCCTGGAATTCACATACCACCCAGACGCCGGTCAGCGAGTGGCCAATCTCATGGATTTTGGCCTCGGGGAAGGTGTCCGTCACGGCGCGGCAGACATTCTCGATGCGCTGCTTCGTGCGCTCTTCCAGTTGATCGGCCGTCAGCTCGCCGACGTCGCCGCCACGCAGGACCAGGGTCAACTTGTAGCCGCCGCTGTACCTAAAGGGCCGAGTTGTCGACGTTTTTTCTGGGAATTCCATTCAGGGTATGGAAAAATGCTGGTCAACGTCGGCAAACCGTTCTAGAGCACGGACTCAGACCCACTTCGACTTCAAGTGCTGGCTCGTCCCAATAGCAACCATGCGTCCCTTCGTCAATATCGAAATCTTGGAGCACAAGGCTTCGCACTCATCCATCGAGTGCGACGTCAACAGCTGGGCGGTACGGCCACCAGCTCCACGGTGACGGGCCAAGTCGAGGTACGACCAGATCTCGCGGCGGGCCTGCAGAAGCTCCATTCAAAATTGTGGCAAATTTCCCACCCTCGGGTCCAATCCAGCTGTCGGCTCATCCAAAATTCGAATCGTATTCTGGGCGAGGAGGGCGATGCCGATGCTGATCTTCCGCTTCTGGCCGCCGCTGTAGTGGCGAAGACGGCGATTCGCATCTTTTGCCATCCCGACGGCGACGAGCATCTGGAGTTTGGGGCCATTTAGCAAAGATCCTGTTGGAACAACCTCCGAAGCAATCCGTTTCGGATCCGAGTACCCATGGCAAGCCGCCATAATCTCCAAAGTTTCCCGGCCTGTCAGATCGAGGAGTACGGCATCGAACTGTGGACAGTAGCCGATCGGCTAGATTTGCCTGTTGAAAAGCTGTGGACCGTTGCCTACCCTCCATCCCGTCCCCTCTTCACCGTAGATGCTGATCTGCCCGTCCGAGGGGAAGAGGCGGCCCGTCAGGATGTCGATCGTCGTCGTCTTGCCGGCACCGTTGGTTCCTGAATTTGGTGACAGGCAGGTGAAAGGGCTCGTTAAGTCGTAATCCCACCTAGCAACCCGAAACACTGGCCCGTCTCGATGCCAAAGCTAAGCTCCTTCACGGCCGGTTCGGGCTTGCAGCCGTAGGTTTTGACGAGGTTGGAGACCTGGAAGCGGAAGCGTGTGCTTTCGATTTGGATCGGACCGAGCCCCGGGACACGCGACGCGCTCGTTCCCCACTCACCAAAAGCGGCCAATCCTCCCTCAGGTTCGCGTCCACGTAGTTCCGCTCACTGCTGACGTCCTCATCACTGTCCGGCACCGAGACCCAGCTCGAGCGCGAGAAGCACATCTGCTGGGCAGCGTCGAAGATCTTCCGGCGGATCGGGGCCGAGACGAGACAGATAAAGACGAACGTCGATAAGGCGCCCGAGGCGAGCATCGCAATGATTTGGCTCCTACAAAAATCTATTTCAGCAAGTTCAAAGATGAGAACAAGATATTGGCCCTGTCCTTCTTCAAGTTGACGCCACTCACCACGGGGTCGCCACCGGTCCCAACGTCGCGTCAACACCGGTCATCAGGCCGATCGGCGGGAAGAAGAAGGACAAGAACCACTAGCGGAAGCGTATACGGTAAATTTCATGGGAGCCATACCTTAGACACGCTCAGTCCCGTTTCGCCAGGGTTGAAGAGCAAGGAGGCCGCCATTACGATCAGGATGGCGATGACCGGGGCGATGATCTGTGGGGGTTGGTGTAGATTTAAGCTTTAAAAAACAACGCGACAGACAACGCTAGACGCAACGCGACAGACAGCGCGAACGCAACGCGGACGCAACTCGAACGCCACAAACCTGCCAACAAGCCAACATCAACGCCGCCTTCGTCTCCGAGTTGAACATGAACGAGACGCAGTAGACGAATGGGATGCACGCCCAGAAGTAGAGCAGCCAGTAGGCGAGCACGCTGAAAAAACGTCTCCTTATACCGATAGGAACCCACTATGGTATCTGTCCCCAGCGGTACACACCGCCGTAGCCAAAGATCAGCGCCGCGATCGGGAAGAGAAGTAGGTAAACGCACAAGTCATACAGCAACGACGCGCCCCACAACACGACGGGGTTCAGCCGCCCGAGTAGTTGCTGAAGACGGGGATTTGGGGGGTTGGAAAAGATGACTTGCCTGGTGCCGGAAATGGGAGACGCGCTCCTCGACGAGGAAAGCAGCGCACGCCGAGGTGCACGTCGCCAGGGCGGTCAGTTGGCAGAGGATGATCATCATTGGGCCGAACTGAAGCAGGGAAATTGTATGGGCGCGGCAGGATCCATACATAATCATACCCAAACCATTCCCGTCCCCTTAACTCGTTCTCACCGCGCTGGACAGCTCCTCCAGAAACGCATCGACCCCGTCCTTCCGTTTGTAGACGCGGATCCCGGCTTCCAGGCTCGTCTTCTTCTTGCCGTCACTGAAAGTGGATATTCCGGATAGTCAATGCGTAAAACTCGGCTTAAGCCGGCAAATTCAACACGTACAACGCATCGTGCAACCGAAACTGGTCAACCAGCTTGACGACGATGGGCGCCCCGTGGTGGCTCAGCCGGTTGTAGTAGGCTGTCGTGTTCCCACCGTCTAGCCGTATGCCCATTCCAAGGGGCGGGGCGTCGAGGGAAGCCTGAATTTCCGGAATTCTATTCCAAAATCCTTGAACACCTTCAGAACGGCTGTATCAAAACTGTCGCGCGCGGCGACGGAGATGAACTCGGTTTCCATGGCCTTAAATTTTTCGTTGTAGAAGCTCGAGCCGGGGGAGCCGCCGCGGGCGGTGTCTTGGAGGATGACCCGGGCCGGGTATAGCATGTCGGAGAAGTCGTAGGGGATGTAGACGTCCTAGAAGGTCAGGTTGTTGAGAGGTAGCTAATCCAAGCTTACGGTCATTTCACGCGGCACCGTTGCCTCCTTCACGTTTCTCAAGCAGAGAAGCAGGCATAGGGTGGGGAGGACGAGCTGCAGGTGTCCAAGGAGTTCACAATCAAGAAGACAACAAGACCTGCGCCAAAAGCAGCCCCCAATTGCGGTAGTTGTGCAGGAAGCGCTTCCGGAGCATCGCCAGGAATTGGGCCCAATGTAGCGCGGATCCGTCGAGTTTTCGGGCTTTTACCTAAGGTTCCAAAATATGTCGAACATCTACTGCTCATACCCAGCTCTCCGTCATGGCGGCCACACCGGAAGATCTGTCGGTCGAGTTGCCATCAGTCACCTGGAGTACCGCAAGAAATTTTCAAGACGTTCAGCCAGGCGGTTACCTTCAAAAACACTTGCTCCAGCGTGTTCATCGACAGGCCAAAGTCGAGGAGGGCTACCGGGAGGTTGGGATCGGGTTGTTTTTGCATCATGTTTTCCAGGCTAAAACCAGAGCTAAGGATGAGAGAGAGTGAGAGAGAGAGAGGGAGAGAGAGAGAGTGAGTGAGAGAGAGAGAGAGAGAGAGAGAGAGATTTCCTACTGGTTCATCAACACCGGGAACTTTGTCTTGTGCTCCACGGGGATCGTCACGTCAATTTGACGACCGCGAGCCACTCCAACCGGATAGTCAGCGATATCACCACCGCAAATTTTGTGGCACACCTCAGCGATATTTTGGCCAAACTTCTCGAGCTGGAATGTTGAAGTCAGTAGATGTACAGGGTGGCCAGAAAAAAAAGTGCCTGGTTTGCACTGAAATATCTCGCTAGGGGAAACGAATCAGACCCTGGTTACCTTGCCAGAATGCTTAAATATGCTGGGTATGAAGAATAAACACAAGTTGTTTTTTACGATTTTTGACGACCCACTACTCGTTAAGAATTTTTGAACATTTTTGAAAAAATAGAAAACTTTGTAACGATAAAGTATGCAACTTTTGAAGAGCTATAGTAAATTGTAGGGTATCAAAATAAAGCTCTGGCAATGCGCTATCGATTCAGTGGCAAAGAATATCGATCCGTTTAACTAGTCGTCAATAGGAGCGTTCGGAAAATCGGGACTTTTGTAGAAGGGGCGATTCCCCGTTGACCATGAAAAGCACCTTGCTGCTCAAATCTATTGCACTTGTTACATGCAACTCTGTTTGCCAAAGATAACCATGTTGTAGTTTTAACTAAAGGAGCTAGAACTTACAGATTCCGTCGAATAGGCAAAATGCCAAAAAATTTTTTGATCGCGATTTTAAAAATTTTGATGCCAAAATTTAATAGTTATATATCTATTGCTAATCGCAAAATATCAGAAAGATCGGATGGTAAAGAAATTTCATCTGGAATTATTTCTCCAAAAAGTCCGGATTTTCCGAACGCTCCTGTTGACGGCTAGTTAAACCGATCAAAATTCTTTACCACGCGTTTGATAGCGCATTCCGAGTGCTTCATTTTGATACCCTACATGTCCCCCTAACTCATCAAAAGTTCCATGATTTTCCTCTTCGAAGTTTTCTATTTTTTCAAAATTGTTCAAAATTTTTTAACGAGTAGTGGGTCGTCAAAAATCGTAAAAAACAACTTGTGTTTATTCTTTATACCCAGCATATTTAAGCATTCTGGCAAGGTAACCATGGTCTGATTCGTTTCCCCTAGCGAGATATTTCAGTGCAAACCAGGCACTTTTTTTTCTGGCCACCCTGTATAACAAAAAGAGCGAGAGTCCCACCGCCTGGTAATCCACTCGAGCCGTCGTATCCTGAATCACGCCGTCCACCACCGGACTTCCGACGACCGTCAGAATGTAGCCGGTGCCGTACTTCTTCTTCAGGTATTCCGGGGAGCCGTTGAGGATGTTGCGGCCGCTCTGGATGATCGTCACCCAGTCGCCGACCTTCTCCGCCTCGTCCATGAAGTGGGTCGTCAGGAGAATGGTGCTGGAGAAGCGTAAAAGTTTCGATTTTCACGACCTAGGCAAGCCGGACAACTTGAAAAGTTGATACCGATCTTTCTTGACTCGTTGCAACAATTTCTCCACGGCAATCCTCGCTCCAGGATCCATCCCTGCTGTCGGCTCATCCAGAAGTATCACCTAAAAAAAATAAACTTTTTGTAAATTCCGGTAAGCTACGTTCGGATCCCCAATGACGGCCATCGCCACGCACAGCTTCCGTTTTGTACCACCGGACAGGTTTTGGGCGAGCTGGAATAACGTAACGTGACGGATTGAATTTTCGGGTGCTGGTCTCTTAACGGGGGAGGAAATATTTCCACACCACCTCATCCTTAGCGTCGTAAAAGTCGAGGTCGTGCATCAGCCTCTCGGCCTCTTCCTCCCAGTCTCCCGATGAGCCCTTGAGGTGGTGGAAGAACCAGAGGTGCTCGCGGGCGGACAGCTTCGCGAAGAGCGGGTTTGTCTGGGGGCACAGGCCAATGGGGCCCTCGACGTGGACGGTACCTTGAAAGAATCGAAATCGATTGTTTCGTTCAAAAGGCAAAATTTTGCCACTGGCGGGAGCCGAACCCGGACCTTACGCGTGATAAGCGACAACTTAGCCACCCGGCCAAACAGATTTCGGTAACTTTTTGATTTTCTCAATCTTTATTTTCGATTTTTCAACCCACCAAACGTTGGCTTCGTCTTGCCGCAAATGACGTTGAACGCTGTGCTCTTGCCGGCGCCGTTGTGCCCAAGAAGTACAGTAACCTGACTCATTCAAAGTTACTACTTCTTCAAAATGTCGTACCTGTCCTCTCGTCGCTCGCAAATTCATGTCAATGAGCCCGTAGCCGCCGGTGAGCCCGTATTTCTGAAAACGGGTCGTGTAGGTCCATATTTAGGAACGATGCCGCGACACAATCCGCAGCTGCGTATCCGCGTCTACGTTGCGTATCCGCGTATCTACCTACATGGCTTCCCAGTCCCTTTAAAACGTTTGATACTCACCTTTGTTAGCGCCTCCACCTCAATATCGGCCACTTTCGAGGACCGAACTTGGTCAACTTCATCGACAAGGCCCTTCCTCACCTCCGGCTTGACCTGCTCGCCCTCGAGGTGGTAGTGGCCCTACGTTTTTTTATGGAATTTTGACGGTAAGTCTACCCTCATCTCTTTCATCCATTCCTTGAACCACTTGGTGCCCTCGGCTTTTCGGCTCTGGTCAACCGTCCACGCGTACAAGTGCATCCAAACACAATCAATCTAAAAATACGAAGCCTAACGTTGACTTGCCAGGCCCTTTAAAGTCAGAAGCCAACCTACAATGAGCATTATCAGCGCGCTGGCCAGGTTGAAGTTGGAGCTGCCGCGCTCGAACAGCTCGCCAAAGCCGAGGTGTTTGCCTGGGGGAAGAACGAAGTTTTTTGCATACGTTCACCAACCTCGTTGATCATATCCAACCATGACGTTGACGGCGGCAAGTAGGGCGTGGTTGAGGTTGAGGGAGTAGATGTACGTCTGGAACGGTCTGTCGAGCTCGACGTCGGTGAAGCTGGGGATGATGAAGGAGACGGCCCAGAGGAGCATCGTTCCTGAAAGGCAGCTTCAAAAACAAGCTAAGACAAGACGACGGGCCCAAAGCTAAACCTAAGCCTAGTCTGAGCCTCAGCGAAGCCCAAGTCTAAATCGAGGCCTCAGCCTATGCCTATGGTAAGGCCTAAACCTAAGCCGAAGCCTAAGCCTAACCCACCTCTAAAAACACCCGACGACTTCTTCAACATGGACGAACACATCAGCGCAAAAGACAGCACCGCCCAGGAGTAGACAAAGATGGTGAGGATGACCAGGATTGCGGGCACCATCTGCAAGAAATACAACCGGGTGCGCGTATATCATCTACTTCTTACCTTCAGATGAAGAATAATCGGGAAGCACAAGACGACGTAGATCGGCAACGCCTTCAGCCATCCCATCAAGCAGTGAGCCGAGTAGAATTGGGTCACGCTCAGCCCCATAATTTCCATGTATTCCTGAGAGAAAAAAAGGTGTATTGACGTTATGAACATGGTTTTAAAGGGCGCGGCAAGTGGCGGGAAAACCAGTTTTTTCCCTTTGATTTTCTACGGCCCAACAAAAAAATCTAAATCATTTTTATAGCATTTTTCATAGTTTTAAATAGAATAATAATACAAAAAAAATAATAATTAACCTTCTAGTAATCAAAAACTACTAAAACCCTTATAAAACACATGAGATATCCTCAAAAAGTAGGTATAAGTGGAAAAACAAAAAGTGGTTGTGCTGCTAAACAAACCTGCTAACCTCCCCTCCCCGCTAACAGTTGAGAACCCGCTGTCTATCGTCGAGCCCATGGTCAACAAAGTCATAGACTTGCCTTCTACGCCCTTTTAAAGGTACACGGAAGCCAGCACCCACCTTCAAGCCGGCTTCTCCCTCTGATGCGATGACCCGGGCCAGGTTGACGACGTTGGGGAAGATCAACAGCGCCATGATGATGGGGTAGGCGGACAGTGACTGCAAATGGAAAATTCTGTTCTCACCAGCGTATGCGTTGCGTTTCCGATTACTTGCCCTTTCCCTGAAAGCCTAAAAACCCACGTCTCGGATCGCATCCACAGTATAAGCGGCCGTCGGGAACTCGTGTACAGTAAGCGGCAAATGACGTTTGGTTCGATTTGTCTCCGACACCGACTCAATTGCCTAATACCAAAATTTGAGAATCCGAGTATCTCTCACCTCTAGAAAAGCCTGATCAACGGCATACTGTAGCCCGAGGGCGCCGGTCAGCTGATACTTGGGCGGGGGAGCCTTGTCGAGCTGGAAAAGGATTCAAAAATCAGATCGAGCCTACCGTGGGCTCCCATTTCTCTTTGCGAGACCACTTCGCATCCGTGGGTTTCGGAAACCAGATCGTGTAGTCGATATGGCCATTTTTCGGGTCGAGCTTTTTGAATTCGACGCCACTGAAAAAGTATGGGAGCTGGAAAGGGGCTACACTACTTACACTCTGCACGTGGTCTCGGCTACGGTTTCGTTGCTGGCCAGAGCTTTTTCGAGTGTCTGAAAGAAAAAGACTGCGAGAGAGAGGGAGAGAGAGTGGTAGCGAGAAAGTGAGAGAATGATAGGTAGAGCGCGAGAAAGTAAGAGAGAGAGAGACAGAGAGAGAGAGAGAGAGAGAGAGAGAGAGAGAGAGAGAGAGAGAGAAAGAGAGAGAAGAGCGAAGAATATAAAGAAGAAGCAATCTCGATTATCCCATACTTTTAAATCCACTGCATACGTTGCCGTTTTATTCTTCCCAAGTCGAGTGAGCAGCGCTGTCATCACCTGGCTCATCGTCGCGTTATCGACCCCTTTTTGGCCACTAAATTTCCAGGCCGCTTGATGAAAGCGTCGCGGCAGCGTTGCGTGCGCCAGAAACTCTAGCCCAACGCGCCGGAAACGCAGCCCCACCATTTCTATCCCATTAAAAAAATTACGTATAGATGACGTCGTCACAAGTCAGATTCATCCCGTCGAGTTGCCAGGACTTCCCAGGACTGGCCGGATAATCAACAGGCGCCAGCTCAAAATCGATGTCCTTTAAAGGGACAGACAAGCCACACCTTATCCTCCGCGGACAGATACGTGAAGACGAGGGGCGCGGCGAGGATTAGCGGGATCACGATCTCGAACACCGTCCACAGCTGTGGCATTTGGAGCGTAACGTAGCGATCGGTCGAAGCGTACCTTGTTCCTCCACATCAACCGCAGGTCTTTGCGGAATAGCAGCCAGAATTGAGAGCCGGCCATCGGGGCGGTGGTTAGGCAGCAAGTGAAGGGTTGCCATTTATAGTTTCTAATTCTACGTGTCTATGCAAATTTTGTGGAAGGCTATTACAGATGCAACTTGTAAAATTTAGCGCAATACAAATATTCAATCTTTAGCTAAAAAGAGATTCTTTAAAAAAAAGGGTTTTTGGGTTTGAAAAAAGAGCGAGATTCTCTGATGCAGCAAAAAGCGTCAAATTCCCTAACCTCCGAAACATGAGAAAATTCGAAGGATCAACCAAAAATTGCTGGCACCTAGGAAAACCGGCCGAATTTTGGCACTTTAATTGGTTTTTTCATTTCGGCACGTTGAAATTTTTCTGCTCTAGTCTTAATCAAAAATAAAGTCGAATATAACTGTCATAATCATGCTATTTTCAAGCATGTGGTTACCTCGTGATACGACGTGGTGACGAAGAACATCGAAAAGCGGCAAAATACCAAATATTGGAAGTGAATGGCGTTTGAAACTGCGCTTTGAGCCTGTACCCGGCAATTTTTGGTTGATCCTTCGAATTTTCTCATGTTTCGGAGGTTAGGGAATTTGACGCTTTTTGCTGCATCAGAGAATCTCGCTCTTTTTTCAAACCCAAAAACCCTTTTTTTTTAAAGAATCTCTTTTTAGCTAAAGAGAATTTCGCCTTTTTTTGACTGAACTCTGTTCTTACAATAATACACTTTCGTGCAGAACAGCTTTTTTAATTGACCCCAGGAACGGGGATATTTTTTTATTATTCCCGCGTAAGGCAGATGTCGTTATCATTATCAGCCTGACCTCTAACGAGCCCGACGCTGGGGCGCACTAATGACCGACATTCAACCGCACTCCACCTCGACTAGTCTTTATGCAAAAGACTAAAAGGGTCTGACAGCTACGACGACATGCAATGCAAATACACCTGCTACTTAATACTTAACGGCTACATATGACAAATCGGAAATCATCAAAATTGCGCTAACGCATCCTTTTTGTAGGCTGCATCTCTTTCCACTCGGGGAGTAGTAGTTGATTCGAAACTTTGACATAGGAAATGATCGATTGAATCATAAGAATATAGAGGGGTTCGCTAATAATTGCCGCACCTCCTTGCCAGGTCCCTTATGATTTTTTTTAATTGTCCCCTTTTAGCCTCCTGCCCCTTTAAATAGTGGTTTTAATACAATTTCTGACTAAATATATTCTTCGGATATTTTTGCCTGTGGTGCTGATTCTGCGCAAAAATCTTTTCGAATGTGCCTCCAAATGCTCGGGCGCATTATGGGCGCGCTAATGGTCAACCGAAAAGATTGATCATCGGTGCTATAATCGTCCTATCCAACCAAATAAGTTTGATAAAAATAATGTAACAAGTGGGGTCTGTTAATTGGCGGGGGGGAGATAGGGGTCTATTAGTGGGGAGGGCAAGGAGAGGCCCAGACAGAAAGGGCGCGCGCCCCGTATTGCGACCTCAGATTTTCACGCAATCCGACCGTATCTCAACGTAGAACATTTATTTTACGATAATCTGTTCAGTTAATATTAAAACAATATATAGTGCATCACTATGAGAAATTTCAGCGCAAACGGACCTCGACAAGACACCTTTTGACCCCAATTTAAATTTTGAACTTCAAATTTAAATTAAAATTTTTGAAGGCCTATTTTGAAAAAAACGCTTCTTCCTGTCCGAGATTAGCATTAAGCCAATACCTGTGCAAATTTTCAGCCAAAACCGTCCATGGGAAGGCACTTTTCGACGACTACAAAGGTTTTGCGGACATACAAACATCGTGACAAACGCAGACCCCCCCCCCTCTGAGTACAAAATAAAATCGCTCTTAAAATTCGAAAATTAACTTTTTTGAAAATTTAAAAAGCTGATGTTATGCAAAAAATCCGGCCGGTTCCGGTGGTATATTTAGTTTTACGATCCGATGCATGGTTTCCGCGGAAATCGGGTAAAGGACCCAAAAAGAGCCGCGTGGGGGGGTACCTCAACCCAAAAAGGGTTAGCGGGCTCCTCCCGCTCACCCCGAATCGAAAACATGCTTAGAAAACGGCTCATAAATAGGAAAAAAGCGGCAGGTTTTTCTTGCAAATAAAAATACAGTCGATTTTAATTTAAGAAAAATTAGGATAAAAATCCGAAGAGAATTGATTCGGAGCCTTTTTTCATAGAATAACGTTTGCATTCTAAATTAAGGTAATTTGCATGTGTTTTAACGCATTGAAAGTAGAAAATTTTATTAAATCCAATGTAAAATAAACCCAATAACAACAGTAATAAATACAGAAAAATTCCGGACAGTTGAATTACAAAAATCGCCCTTGCAGCACCAGCCTTGGCCCTTCAAGTTGCGGCCGAAGAAGTCGCCCTGGATTCGGAACTCGCCGGCGATCCAAAACGTCATATTTTAGCGTCGACTACGCTGTTATACTACTTACGGTACACATTAGCATATTACCACAATCCCAGGCCGCAATATTTTCCATGCTGTTCTAGAAGATCGCTATATCGAATCCGCCAAAATTTCGAATGAGACTTATTTAAAAAGATCCAATAAATCATTTTGGAATACAAATTAAAAAAGCTAAATAAATATAAGCAGGTTTTAAAATTTCGGCATTTTTACTTGGGAAAGGCAAACTGTCTTATTAAGGCAAATTAAGCTTTTTTTGAAGCCAGAAGTATAATGAAGTACTTAAAAACCTACCGCCAATATGCTCTTTGCACAAAAATCGGTCATACATTCAATCTTGTGCTCCTTAAATAATAACAATAAGGTATTTTCGAGCCTTCTCGAGACTTACATCCCCACTATGCGATTTCGTCTTGGTATACAGCACCTCCTGGTAGCATTTCACCGCGTAACCGATTGATAAGAATGTGCAGAAGATCAGTGGAGATTTATACATTTTTGTGCGCCCGGGAAAGGAGAGGAAAATCGAAGGTTTTTGGAGGGGGGAGGGGGTGGGGGTGGCACGGCTTATCACTTGCTGGGCTTGGCGCGAAGGGTGCACTTCAATTTTTACGCCTGTTCTCGATGGGGCTTCATTTTATTTGGAAAGTGATGGCGGGAACGAATTTGGGCAGTCATTTAAAGCGCACGTTCAGGGAGGGGCCGTGTGCTTGTCCCAACGTGTACACCCTATGGACGTTGGGACTGCGCGCGCTGCCTGCCCTTGCCGTGGGAGGCCATTTCGCTCCTTTCCGGGGTGGGGCGCCCATCGGTCACTCCCCAGGTTGCACCTGTGGCTGACTGGTATGCGACCGCGCCTCCCGAACGGGGGGACCCGGGTTCAACCCCCGGCCGCGGCAAAATCTTTGCTTTCTTGTCCAAAAACGTCCCTGACGGTTATTCCATCCCAACGTGAACCTCGATCTACCATTTTTTTCGTAGTTCTCGCCGGGGGAACTCCTCTAATTTCGCATTACGCGTACATTTGTACTTGTACTCTACTGTATACTTTGTTGCTTACTAAAAGCCGGTTACCCTCGCCTTCACATTCCTCAAATTTAAGTTACAATGCCTTGCAAATAATGTGTTTTCCTAAGAGGGCAATACTTTACTTTAGCCCCCACGAAAAATATACTAAGAATTTTAAGTTGAGCCTTAAATAATGTAAAATAAAAAAGTTATGGCGAAAAACTTCCGGCTAGGGGGGGGGGGGGGGGGATAAAGTAAAGTAGTGTAGCCCCTACATGCAGCAATATCTCTTCACCTGCTGGGTGGCAGACTTCGACCCCGGTTCTTGATTGCCGTAAATTGCACGTTTATGGGCTCTTAGGCATAAATACGGCATAAAGTACAAAATCGACTTTTTCAGGATGAGTCGATGAGAAGAAAGACGTCAACGACGTACCTACAGAAATCTTCCTTGCAAAGAAAAATTGAGGAAAACCAAACTAACTAAAACGGGACAGAGCGGTAGAGAGAGAGAGAGAGAGAGAGAGAGATAGAGGGAGAGAGAGAAAGAGAAAGGATTACATCCAACCACACATACAAACGCGTGACTAATGACCAATTTTTCAGCAAGTTTTGCTTTTGTCTCTCTTAGGGATTTGCGAACAGCTGACGTCAAACAGTAACTGCTGAAATCCAAAGAAGACCACTGGCGAAAAATCGGGTACAATTCAAATAGGCGGGAAGGGGGGGTAGTTAGCTGAAATGTGGGTAGTTTAACGTTTTTAGCGGTCCGTTAGGGCTAAATATTGCTTTCTCTGTATCTCAAAGATTTCATTATTCTTAAAAACCTAGCTCTTCGGCTGACTTTACAAAAAACAATAGTTTGAACATTTTGAAGGTATCTTCAAGCGTAAACTATTTTTTTCTTGTCATCCAAGCCACTTTTACCACGTTTTTTTAACAAAAGTTGGTAGAAACGGTAAGACCCAGGAAGTTCTTCCCTAAACCCCTAAATCTTCCTCCCCCACCTATTTGAATTGCACCAAAAATCGGTTCCCGGTAAAAATCTCTTCCCCCCAGTTCACAGAGCAGAACACATTTGAAATGACGTTATTTTATGCGCCCGAAAACATACACATAAACTTTTGTTTTAAACGGGCTCCAAAATCTGGTCCACGGCCCTCAGCGTTGATTCCTGGCAAAAAGGGCGCCTTACAGGGCATTGCGACATCGGCACGCACTTAAAAAGTGGTTTTCGCCCCAAGCACGTCTCGGTTTTTCGTAAAAATTTTACGCTGTTTCGCGACGAAATAACTTTTCTGGTACTTCTCGGCAGTAACCCTTTCGCTTTTTGACCAGTAGGTTCAATCCCGCATACGCGATTTTTGACTTCCGAGCCCCTTCAAAGATTAGTGCCAAGGCACCAGAGCTTGAGATGCAATTTATTCAAACAAGCATAGCACGATTGTGAAAACGCTGAAAAGGAGGCCCTGTGCCGAAACACCATTGCAAAAATCCGGAGAGCAACAATGTAGCGTAGCGTCCGTCACCCGCCCGTCATGTGACATCGTTAGTAGCTGTGATTTGGAATCCTAAAAATCGTAACGTACGGACGCATAATTCTAGCGATCACCTTAAAATTAAAAACGCATTTTAAACCCTGGTTTCAAGACACTTACCACACAATAAGCCTCCTTTCCGATGCAACCCCACTCGACACCGCCCTAGAATCATCGGTAAGTCTCCAGCCGAGTCTCCAGCCGGTCCCCAACTGTTGTGTCTCGGCTACCCTTTATCGTACAGGATTGCAAAATATACAAAAATATTCCGCTTGGTCTCGCGTGTATTTTGCCATATTTTACAGCTTTACAGGGTTAAGGGTAGGCGAGATATATCAGGCTGCGCCCGGCTGGGACCGGGCATCTCGAGCGCATACAAATTTTCTTAAAAAATTCTTGCGTTTTCAGACCTCGTAGACCAATTTTCCGCAAAAACTCAGTGACGGACAGTCGACCAGCTTTTTCTAAAAGGGCAGGATTTCGGAAAAAAATTGGAATTACCACTGCTGTATGCGTTTCTTGTAGCTCTGAGGTTTGATCGCTCCAGCATTTGATGGAAAAGGTAGCGTGGGGTAGGAGGACAAGAAATAGGGCGAGTTTTAGCATTCTTATTTAGATAGAGATAGAACTTTAGAACTAGCAGTTACCAACAATGGTCTTGGAATTGCCGTCAAAAGTAGCTACTAGCGCGCCCAGTTCTTTGTTATGACTATCGGAGCGTTGCGGAGTGACAAAATTTGTTGGGGTTTTTTTGGACTAATTTTGCTGTCTGCTTATAATATAACTAATATCGAAGATTATAAACATAAGTTGTATATCGTAACGTTACCAAGAAAATCCGCAAAAAATTTTTAAAAGGTGGTTTTTCCTCCTACCAAATACAAATGTAAAATTTGTTTTCTAGGCCTGATTTTTTGTAGTTTTTGTCTAGTATTGCAAGCTTTATACAATATTTATTAGACAAAATTCAGTAAAACAAAAACCAGGCTGATCAAGGCGATTTTTACAGCATCAAACGAAACCGCGGAATTACAGAGCTCCCGATCGCAGCAGTACATCGTTCCGGTAGCTCGCTTTCCGGTGGCGTCTATTGGGCCCGTATAGTCTTTCTGCTTCCCGTTTTTCTGCGAATAAATAAATAAATAGTAACGCTGTAAATTCCATTACCGTACACACTCCAGGTGCCGGGCATCCCCATTCGGTTCCGGTCTAAAATTTCGATTTCAGCCCAAAAAGGTTACTAACTTACCGGGTATACAAATTTTGCACAGAAGTCTCCGGCGCAGGAGAGTTTGGCTTGCTAAAATATGAATAATTTATCGTCTTTAAATGTACTTTCGGGGCTGTGTATGGCTTTCTATGTATCTCAAAGATTTCATTATTCTTAAAAATCTAGCTTTTCGGCTGATTTTACAAAACAAAACAGTAATTTGAATATTTTGACGGTACCCTCAAGCGTAAGCTATTTTTTCTTGTCATCCAAGCCGCTTTTGCCACGTTTTTTTAACGAAACTTGGTATAAACGGTAAGACCCAGGAAGATAAGTGAGGCTAAAATTCCTGGTCAGATTTCAAAAAAAAACCCCAAATTGAGCTTTTCATAAAACAACTTAATATTTTTTTACGATATCTGGCACCTTACAATACACTTATCATGGAGTTTAAGTCTCCTTTACTACGCTTCTTTTGCCAAAACTTACATTCCCAGTGTGAACATTTGTTTTTGAATATGAAGTATCAGCCCAGCATTGCCTTGTCGCCGCTACGGCCGGCAGTAAAATATAGAAAAACATTAAACAAGAAATTCCCATATTTCGATGCTTCGACAAAGTGAATAACTCGCACAATGGCACCCAAAAATGGCCCACCCTGATGCGCCACCGGCTGAATAAACAACACTGGGATGCGCTGTCGGGATGAGTAATGGCTCGGAAAAGTAGATTTTATCAGCTTAGCATTATCACGGTAAATAAAGACGATAGAAAAGGTGTCACAAGAGATATCTGGACGATAGCGCGAAGAGAATCATACCAAAAACGACTCCAGAATTGGCGGAATTACACAATTTCTTATCACAACAACCAGCGCCCAAAACCCGCTTCGCGGGCCTTGGGCGCTGGTATCACAACAATACAAAGTGCCTCTCACTGCTTGTTTATAGTAGTTGTAGCCGTACCAGTCTTCGGTTTTGCCATTTTTCTGCAAAAATAACGACTTACCAGGTTAAAATTTAGAGTTTTTCGGCTTTTTTCGATAAGAGATTTTTCTATAAAACCTTCCATACAACAATAAAACACAAAAAGCAACAACTTACCGTACACGCATTAACGGCCGGGCATCCCAACTCAGTTCCGGTCTAAAATAAAGTTGCATAAATAGCATAACAATTGTAAAACATTGAATCTTGAAATGGAAAATTTGAAGTTTTGCTATTAGCTAGGCTTGGAACAATCGGTTATGCCTTTTTGCCATGAAAAATAAGAAAAAGTTATGCTTACCAAATACTCAAACCTTACGCAATATTTCCCCGGACAGATCATCTCGATTTCCTAGAAAAATTTAGCAAATTTTAGCAAAAGAAATTTCATGGAATTTCATTTCAATTAAAAATTCCATTTGCAAAAAAATCCTTATATGACCACTATGACCAATATCGTGAAGGCGTAACCGTTCTATCGGACCAGCAGGTAATCGTTGCATTAAGTTAGCAATTAACAAGTAAACTAGAAAAATAGATTTCTCCATCTCTCACAATGTCTGTCAAAGTCCCCGGACCTTTGATCGTTGTTATCCATGCTCTATCACCCATGCTCTTCCCCCAAAAATGACACCGTTTTCCGGCTATGCAAACACGCTCTAAGGGCACAACAATAAAAGCAAGCCGTAAGTCAGCTGGAATAGAATGCAGCTTTTTTTGCAAGAGAAAATGGGCTATTTTATTAGATTGGAGGCTCCTAATATCGAAAAAAAAAACTTTCTAGAAACGGATGAAGCGGGCAGAGATCTTCAGGCGAGCTTTCCGGAAAATTCTTGTTTTTTTTTCGCTGAAAACAACGCCTATGACAATCCATTAATCGTAAAATCACCTTGTAAACACCCTGTTTTACAAAGATGATTCGTTAATAATTTATTTACACGTAATTATATAAACTTTCCATTAAAACCCGATAAATATCGAAATCCGCCCGAACGCCTTGATGATGCGGCCTGCCGGGGATTTCTCGCTGCCCTCCGCGTAGAACTGCGGCATCGGATCTTCCGTACTCGTGATTACAGACTAAAAGCTCGCATTAAATTTTATATCTATCAGAAAATAGCCTCGATTTTGCAAATTATTGTTTTTTAAAAGTTTCTCGACCCACCGGGCACATTCCACATTTCTTGTAAACCATATAATGAACAATATCCGCCAACTCGTCAAGAGTTTTACCAACTGGGTTGATTTCATCCAAACTAAAATATAATACGCTTTTTCTACTAAAAAAAACGTTTAAAACCTGTCCCGGATCTCCATCTCGATAGTATGAAGCTCCTCGGGGTACCAATTATACCAAGCTCGATTGCTGCTCGCAGGTTCCGGCGCTAATTTGTGGCTTTGGTCCAGTTTTTCAAAAACTCACCCATATTCCCGCTTCTTCTGTGCAAAATCAGGGTCTGGTTGTTGATCAGTTCCGCGTAGGTGTACTCCGAATATCGCTTCATCCTTGGTGGCACGCTGTAGGAGAGCAGGAAGTAGTCGTTGTAGTTTGTACCGTCTTCCCTAAAAAAAATTGGTTTTGTTCCTTTGTAACGTTTTTAACCTACCACTTGTGCGAATCGATTTTCTGATAGATCTGATCAAGCCCTTGCCCCTCTTGAAAACGGGCCACGGTTTCGTTGACGGCAAAGTAGGAAAATTCGAGTTTCGATGCAAAACGGCGCCACTAAATGACGTATTTTTATAATTGGTGCTGTTCTATTTCGCGGGGGGAACTGTGCGGGAGGGGGAATTTTCTTCGGTTTGTTATAACTCTTTTATATGATGCTATTTTGAGTTGTAATTAAAACCCTTATTATATTTTTTGACGCTCTATCGAATGGCATGAAAGGAATTTTTTTTAAATATCGAAAATGTCGAAAACTAGCTTTCGACTCCACGATCCCATGTGGAAACACCGAATAAACCTTGTTTTTGCTATAACTATTTTATAAAACAATATTTTTAGATCAATTAAAACTTTTAGTATATTTTTTGATGCTCTATCGATTGATGGGTTCAAAATATCGAAAAACTGGCGAAAATGCCGAAAACTAACATTTCGGCACCAGTTTCAATAGTTTTTTTGTTTTTGCTATAACTTTTTTATATTACAATATTTTTAGCTAAAACAAAAACTCTTAGTATATTTTTTGATGCTCTATCGAATGGCGTTGCAAAAATACCAAGAAAATCGCGAAAAGATAGAAGTTTTGGCGAAGCATATTTCCCCCCGCACAGTTTCCCCCGCGAAATAGAACAGAACCTTATAATTTTTTATGTACTTTTGTATGAATTCACATTTCCAACGGCTAGCTGGCTAAATACCTGTTTTTCTAACGCTTTCAACGACTGGATCTGCTTTTGCTCGTCCTTCAGAAAATTCCCAACAACCCGCCCGTCTCCATTCGATTTTACGGTATGATAGAGAATCGCCATCGAGCTCTAGAAGGCACTATCAAACCTGAAAGCGCGAATTCTTACCAATTCCATCCTCGAGCGCCATACGATTTGAAAAATCTTCTCAAAGTCTTCATATTTATACGCTTTAGCCTGGAGTTGATCCGCGAAAAATTGGGCCATCACCAGCTCGGCGGATTTGGTGAATTCCTAAACAGAATTTGTATTTTAAAGCTACAATTTTTTTAATTAGTCTACCAGCGGGGGAGCAGCCGCTTCGCGACTCATGATGTTTTCATGATGTTTTGAGTAAAATCAAACCATAATTTAACTAGGAAAACTATCTAAAAACTTTGAAAAATGTTTCAAAAAAGCCGAAATTTGCTCAAAAACGACCATTTTTGGCCGAAAAAATCATATTTTTGGTATTTTTTGATAAAAATTTGTAAAGTTTAGAAATAGTGAAAAACAGTTTAGATACACCTCCACTATTTATATTTAAAAATCTCCCCTCACCCCGATAATGTGCAAGGATTGAAATTTGATATATTTTGTTTTATCACAAATAATCCACCTCTCCACATTGGCTCATTGCTGGCTCTTCAAATTTTCTTATCAATTTCGCCTTGTTGATATCCGAAGGCTCCTCCAGATATTCGCTGACCACCTTCTGCGCGGCCGCTATTTGCGTAACCAGCTTCTAAACAAAAATCTCCTAATTCTTCTAGATAGCCTACCAAGTGTAATTGATTCTGGAGCGACTCCTTTAGGTCATTTTCTCTTTCCAAAAGTGCTGCGCTGTCTTTTAGGAACTTGGCATAGGTGGTTTTGCTGTGTTTGAGGTGTTCCTCGAGGCGTTTCTTGGTTTCTTCACTGAAAATGGAATTATCTAACTTTAAAAAATCGGTTCGGTTTAGTTTTGAAGAATCTGCTTTGTTATAAAGCGTTTGAACCGCTTACCTTATTCTCATGCTCATATTTCCGCTAATTCCAAACATCACTTCCAGCGGAGCTATCCCGTTTTCAGCTGGCCATTGCGCTGCTTGAATCAGCGGCTCCATAAAGCTTTTGATGAACTGCACCGGGTTGGCCGACGGCGTTTTGTTGATAACATAGCGGCCGATGAGAGCAACGCCCTGAAAATGCGCCCTATATAAAGCCTGAATTGTGTTTAAATTACCGCCTGAAACGTCTGAAGCTCCGATGTTACAACACCAAGTAATAGGCAGAGAATCGGAAGGAGCAAGAGCCTCATTTTCAAGGTCAGCCGGTCGAGCCCAGGCCGTTGAGAAGGGATGGAAAAGGGTGGAGAGACGTTGTGTTTATCAAAAAGAGCCCGGTTTCTTTCCGGGAACCAGCCGATTCCCAGAACTGGCAAGCCAAGATACTCTACGTAGACGGTGCAGAAAAAAAAAGATAGGATGATTGTCTCGGACGAAAAATGCCAGCCAGCTGCTGATTTCCTGAAATTCGACCCGCGCTCGTTACCATCCTCAGACCACGCATGATTCAAGACAACACTTCATTTCGACAAAAACAAGGCCGAGATCTAGGATATTAATCGAACACCGGGATGCCCTAAAAAGGACCAGAAAAAACAATAACACATACGCGTACATTGGGATTGAATCGGGGGGTTGAGACCAGGGGGTTAATTATTGTCAATGACCGGAAACAAGGAAGGGATCATTAAAATTGAGGACAGAGTCGCGGGAAGCACGTACAGCCAAGTGAGGAGAAAAATTTTGGAAACGTGAGCGCGGCGTGTCGGGCCGTGAAATCGTTGACATTTTCTTGGTTTGCGGCGGGCTTGAGGTCTGGGATCGGGCGATGGAAGCGCTGCGTTTTCGTCGCATTTCTTCGACGACGTCGGAGTCGGAAGCCTGAAATTAGAAAATTAAGGTTTCGAATTATATATCAGCGGAGTCAAACTTTTCCATCCTTGTTTAATAAATAGCTCCCACACAAAAAGGTTTAATAAGCATTGACGAACGTTAAAAAAATAGATTTTCAACCAAAAAAACGCCGGGTTTTGCCCAGCATCAAGTTTTTCGACATTTCAAAGTTTACTAGATAACCTTCCAACTTGAAATGTAGCTAAATTATGCCAAAGGCGTCATTAAAAATTAACGACACCGAAACCACGATCATTTCAAAGTGAAAATTAGATTTGAAAGACCAGAAAGATGTAAGTTTCATAGAAAATCTTACGAGGACTCTAAAGGGCAACCACCTGAACTTGTAGCTGCTCGACTAGGCCAGGATCGACACCGGTGACCTGCCAGATGACCTCCCGCTCCAACTGTCCGTCGTGCAAAAATCCGAGGCCAAGCGTCGGCTCCTCACGCGTGCGTAGGATTTCTAAACAACATAATTATCGTCAGAAACCATAAAATTACCATGTAAGGCCACCCAGTAGCGCCGCGTCTCGATGATGCCACTGTGCGTTGAAGCGGCTTCTGGGACTGCTTTAGCGAGCATCCTAGCGGAACTTTCAGGGAGTTCGGCTAAATGACTTACTCGTAAACCGGCAGGGCGACCTTGTCGAAGAACTCGAGCTGCAGTTTCGGGACCAGCGCTCGTTCACGGTCCATCATTTCGATTGGAGGCTGGCCCATCTGCTTTTCCAAATCGCCCTGTGAGAAGAACTCGGTGAAGACGGATTCCTAAAATTAGTTTATTAAAAACAAAAATGTAAAAAAACTAACCGCCATATGCTTGCTGGAGTGAAACGGCTTGCTCTGGTCGGACAAATCGCAGGCGCTCATCAGCAAACTGAGCAGCAGGCGGTGGTGCTTCTCGTTGTTTTTATTATAACCGACTGCAAAATAAACATTAACCAAAAAAGATCGCCAAACCTCGCAACATCTCCCTGATTTTATCAGTCTTTTTGAAGAGCATCGCGATGTCGGTGGATAAAATAATGTCGTGGATGGCGGAGAGGACCTAAAAACAAAAATTTTAATTACGAAAAATGTACCGTATTAAACTGCTCGATGGGCAGATTGTCCAAAATATTACACTCGTCGCGGTACAATAGGGAGGCTGTTTGGGTGTAGTGGTAGTGCTCGAGGACGCTTCCCTCACGGCTGTACAATTTGGCGAGCGGGGTTTGCTAAAAAACGATATTAACGTTTGTAGAAATGGTATAGGCTGATAATGCCGATTCACAGAATGCCGATTTACAGAATACCGATTTACAGAATGCCGATTTTACAAAATGCCGATTTACAGAATGCCGATTTTACAGAATGCCGATTTACAAAATGCCGATTTACAGAATGCCGATTTACAGAATGCCGATTTACAGAATGCCGATTTACAGAATGCCGATTTACAGAATGCCGATTTACAGAATGCCGATTTTGCATAATTTGGGTTCTACATCCAAAAATACAAACCAGATCCTCAGAAAAAACATTATCCGACTTGGACATGGCGAAACCGCCAGACCTGAGGCCTAGCTTTACTATTTTCTTTTTTTCAGAGAAACCCTAGTTCCACGTTACCAAGGGGCCGCCCATTGGTTACTAAATTAAATTCTTCCATCAAACAGTTTTCCTTTCCTCTCGACGCATTGTCAACCAAGAAATAATAATGAATCGTCGAGTTTTCTCGCTGCGGCTGAGCACGTTGGAAGTGTCGGCGACCAGCGAAAATGGCATGCGTTGAAACTTGTCGCGAGGCCTGCGTTTTCCTCGTAATCCTTGATCCCTACGCGGAAAAAATTCGTAAAAATTCGCCATGGCCCAGTCGGATAATGTTTTTATGGGGGATCCGGTTTGTATTTTTGGATGTAGAACCCAAATTATGCAAAATCGGCATTCTGTAAATCGGCATTCTGTAAATCGGCATTTTGTAAATCGGCATTCTGTAAATCGGCATTTTGTAAAATCGGCATTCTGTAAATCGGCATTTTGTAAAATCGGCATTCTGTAAATCGGCATTCTGTAAATCGGCATTATGTAGGTAAATCGTAGAAATATACCAATTTCAGCTGGAAATGGTTGTTAGTGCCCGGATGGCCAATGTCGTGCCCAAGACAGGCGATGAAGAAAGCCAATTGCTCAAGTCCGCCGAGCGCATTCTTGACGGTGTCCGTGCGGAGGAGTAGATACGCGAAATGCGTGACTAAAAAGGTAAAATTGACGTTAAGTTAAAAACCAGAAAAAGCATGGCTCCAATTGTGATAGGGCAAGTCTTGATAGCCGCTGCTGATCTGCAGCAAAAAGTGGGCCAGCCGGTCGCGCCGGATGCGATACTTGCGGATGAAGCCGAGCTCCTAAAACCGTAAAAACCTGAAAGAAGGTAACAACTATACCTCAAACATCGACTGCGTCGCCCGCACGTACATTTCCGAAGAGCCGATAATCCTCGGGGTAAAGCTGAACTCGTTGAACTGGGGGTGGTAGCGCCCGGTCGAGCGAATCGGCGCCATCGTCAGCTCCCGGTAGAGCGCCTCGGCCCACTAAACTAATGATAAATAAACAATACAAAGTAACTGACACTTGGCAGCAGCTCATCCTCGGCTTCTTGTGCTTGCGCGCCGCGATCCATGATCAATGCCCGCTCGCCGCTAGCCTGAATAAAAATAATGATGCCCAAATACATACAAAATCAAGAGATTCAGAATCAGCATGTTTGAAGACATTTTCAAAGAAGACGGGTGAAAATGTTCAAAAAATTTAAAGAATGACGCCATTTTTTGGGGCAAATTAGATAGCGTAATCGGTTACTACGATAGATTGCGCGTAATGGTGTATTTTAGAAAACCGGACTAGGAACATCGGTCGCTTCGCCGAAAAACCGGATTTTTAAAATCTAAACTTTCTAATATAACGTTTATCATCGTTTAGGCGTGTTTTATAACTAGTTTGAATTGCTGTACGGTTTTCCTCTGAAATTACACAGATTTTGAAGGCCAAAATGAAATTCTAACCATTAAAATAGAATAAAAAGAAATGAAAAATGATAAAAAGACAATTCCAGCTGTTTCATTCGTTGTTTTGGCTGTTTTTTTAGTTGATAAAACCTTCTTGTTTTTATTTACGCCGTTTATAATGTAGAAAAAGTAAAAGTAATCATAGAAAAGAGTAGCTGGAACAAGATTGCGAACGATTTATTCCCACAATTTGTCCACGCAGCCCTGAGAAAAAGCCTGGGCGATGTGTAATTGGCGCCAAAATCCAATCGCACACGCGCGCCCCCCTTTTTGGCCTAACACAAATTGCAACTTTTCCGGCAGTTTTGTTGCATCCAGGCGGCGCTCTGCTGGGATTGGCATAGGTTGCGAAGGGCCCACGCGCCGCAGTAGACGTTGGTGTCTTTGCAAGCTAAAAATAGGTAGATATCTTATAGGTATCGAACGTGAAGTAGTAAATTCCGTTAAAAACACCGAAACCCGCGCCCCCCCCCCCGCCCCCCCCGGGGACCCCCCGGGGGGGGGGGGGGGGGGGGGGGCCCCCCCCCCCCCCCCGCCCCGCCCCCCCCGGGGGGGGGGGCGCCCCCCCCCCCCCCCCCCCCCCCCCCTGGGGGGGGGGGGCACCCCCCGGGGGGGGGAAGAAAAAACCCCCCGCCCCCCCCCCCCCCCCGCGCCACCCTCTTTCCTTTTAAACGAATTTTCCTCTCCCGAGGTCTTTAATGGACTCACTATTAGCTTTGCAATACATTTTCTGCAAAATTTCCGTGTCTCGCTGCGTCATTTGGTCACGTTGGCCGAGGACTCGCGTGTTTTGCGCCTGGTTGACCTAAAATTTTGAAATTTAGCGGCTTTTTGAGCTAATTTATATAGTTTACATTACAATTTATGTGCTCGTGGGATTTTTCAGTGTTTTTTGGCCGTTAAATGGTTTATATAGCTTTTATCAATTATATTTTTCCTTTTTTTCACATATTTCTAGTCTGTATTAACTTACCTTCGGGATCATTGTGGGCTTATTCGTATCCATTGCACCCGTATAAGCGTTATAATGCATGATGCTACCATAGTCATACTGGACTCCATAGCTGAAAAAGTATAAACTATTGGTTTTAGGGGCAAAATACCTTGTAAACAGTTTAGCATCGGCTACGGCAAACATATCGTAGTGCTGCGGGTTAATGTTTGACCAATCGACCGTAATCCACTGATCGCGGTCAAATCGCAGGTGTTGGTGGTTTACGCCGAGGGCGTGCATTGATTCGTGGATTGCGACGCCGACGTTCTAAATGTAATTTTTATTGGTTAAAAATGATGAAAATGATGAAAATTATAAGCATTAGCTATTAATACTTGCCTGGCCGCATCCAAAACTCAAATAAATAGGATTTCCATTATCAACTTTCCCGATGTAGGAAAGACCACAGCTAAAAATACATATAAATTATTGTATTTTCACTTACAAAGAAGGGCTGTCCACCTTCATATAGTGAAAGTGCGGTCCAGAGGGTACATTTTGCGAATATTGGAATCGGATACAAGGTACGTTTCGTGAAATTGTATCCAGCGCCATTCGCACGTCATTTTTGTCCCATTCTTCTGAAAAAAACATGGGTTTGAATTGTGATGTCGTGGAGGTAAATTACCTAGCGATTCATGGAACGTATATAAGATCGGCCGGGATGTGTCCCATTTCTTCACAAATTGTTCCTCAAAGAAGAGACCAGATCTTTTGCTAAAAATTTGGATTTACAAAAGTATTTCAGCGTGAAACTCACTTTCTAAAAGCTCGGGCAGCTTGGACATTTTGAGTTCCGCCTTTTCCTAATTCATTTAGCATGTATTCCGCTTGGGCGGTTGTTAATAAGATGTCTTTATCGAAAACGCCATCATCAGCCGGGGCCACCTAAAAATAGTTAGTTCTTCATAGTAATATTAATTTAATAAACTTTGTAAAACACTATGAGAATCGCCACAAAACTTACGACTCCTTGAAGCTTGGCCTTTTCTAGCAAAGCCATCTTGACTTGTTTTGTCCTCAAAAGCCGGAGGTCCAAGTCGTCAGTAGTATCTTTTCGATACACTCTTTGTTCAAAGTTAAGCATCTATTAACAAAATTATAAATAGTTAGCCCTTTGGATACCTTTTCTCTGACGAGACTTCTTTTGTTCTGATAGTCCGATGTCTGCTCAAGGCAGTTCATGCGCTTGCAGACTCCCTAAAATAAGGTCTGAAGTATCATCAAACTAAATTTTTCTACTTTTAATTAGACTAAATAACGAAACTGATAATAAAATATCAAAATGGATAATAAGTAATTGTTTAAGGGTATAAAAATCCTGTATACCTGGATATTGGTGGTGGCTTGCATGGAGATTTGTCCGATTTGCTGAATGCTCTGCTGGATCAGCCCGGCAAGATTTACAGGGGCTCCGCTCAGCGGATCCCGAATATTTAATCTATAAAAAAAATCAATTACTAATATCCTTTATATTGACGTATCAAGCGCTTTAGGTTTTTATCTCGAAATATTCCGCTTTCGAGTTTTTTTTTATTACCTAGGTATCATCGGCATCAACTTCCGTACATTCCGCCCGATGTGGCCCAATAGACCCTGGAGATCACCGAATTGCGGTAGTCCGCCTCGTCTAAAGATCTATGATTACGAAACCGTACTAACGACATACGCGCATTTCGGGTGTTGTGGGTACTGGGAGCAGAATCTCCTCGCATGCTCTTGCCATCTTTGGTGGCCTGGGTCCCCTTGGTTGAGGAGGTGGCTTAGGTCGCCGAGAAGCCCTGAATTTGGCTTTGAAGCTAGTGTTGTCGAAATCGAATTTTTATAACGAGCTGTAATGTAGCGAAAATTGGAAAGCTAAAGGTATTTACGCTAAAATAAGCTGCAAAACGTGCAGAGCCAAAAACCGCAGAATTGCTTGCGAAGCCGACTTTTGCTGCGAAAAAGCTAATTTTCTTTCTTTCAGGGCGTCTCTAACTCACTCTCTATCTGTCTCTTTCTCTATACAGGGTGTCCCAAAAAAAACGAACCATCTGGCATTTCGCCGTGTTACATCCAATCGGTCCCATATTTGGACCAGAGGTATATCAGACCCTAAATAACAACAATCCTGACTTATAGCCCCGTAGCTACAGTCGTTCTCGAGTTATGCCAAAAACAAACTTTATTTTCCATTTTTCACAGGGTTTTCGTGGAATTAGACCACCTAGACATTAAGTCAAAATCATCCGGTAGGCCTTCTTTACCTTAAGAAATTTTTTCCAGAGTAAAATTAATTAAATAAGCTTTGATTTAAGCGATTTTTACAACGCAAAATTATCCAAGTTCTTAAGCGAAATTAGGGATTCGCAGCCGGAAGTCGATGCAAATCGATGTAAAGTCCAAAAAGATAGCCGAAAAAACTGTTCAGATTTCTCGGAAAAACAGTATTTTCGTTATAACTCGAGAACGACTGTAGCTACGGGGCTAAAATTCAGGATTGTTGTTATTTAGGGTCTGATACACCTCTAGCCCAAATTTGGGCCCGATTGAATGTAACACGGCGAAATGCCAGATGGTTCGTTTTTTTGGGACACCCTGTATGTCTCTCACTCTCTCGCTGTCTCTACCTCTCTCTCTCTCTCTCTCAATTTTTCTCACTCTATCAATCGCTCTCTCTCTCTCTCTCTCTCTCTCTCTCTCTCTCTCTGACTCTCGCCCAGGCTTTCGCATGCTCTGATCTAACAACGGTGCCAAAATTTTCCGAAAACCAAAAAAGCAAAGCAAAAGCCACACCTCCGCCACCATGAGCACCACCGGGTCCTCCCGGCGTGTGATGCTGATTGTGCCCATTTGGCGCTTTCCCATTTCCACCCATCCCCAATGAGCCAAGCAAGCCGCCTGAAAATTGAACGGACCCTGATGTGTTGCGCCAATTGGAAGGCCGCCAAAATTTCCCCCGAAATTTGGGGGGCCGTTTTGGGGTGGAGGCGGGATCCAGCCGCCACTTTGGCCGAGGAAATTTTCTGAAATAGTTTAGGTTTTTGGGTCCCGAAATTCACATTGTGTCGTCCGAATAGTCGACTCTTTTAAAAAGAATAAAAGAAATAAATAAATAACGGTAATATTCCGGTCTTTTTAAAAAATTTTCCGGTACTTACCTAGCATTCCATTATTCGCCTGATTCGTTCCTCGACCCCGGTTTGGGCCCTGGTTACCGCCAAGACCTAAAATATCGTGATTTTTTCCGTGTTTTTAGATACTGTAAATATCTATGGTTTCAAATAACTAAAAGTTTCTAAGATCTTCATATTAATTCATACCTAGACTTCCTAAAAGCCCTCCCAAACCATCTCCGCCCGCGCCGGGGTCTCCAGGTTGGTGACCATGACGTCCTCCTGGACCGCCTAAAATACAGGAATTCCTAAGCTAAATAAATTATACATTATTTAATTATAAATTAGCATAATTACTGTACCTCCTGGACCCCCACGATTCCATCCACCAGGTCCACCTTGCCCTCCGGGACCTCGAAAACCACCACCATCACCGAATTCGGGTGGGCCACCGCCTAAAGTTTACGCGAATAGTACGAGATGATACGCTGCTATATCATGCGATAAGGTCACTTAATTATTACAGATACATTTTGTAAATTTTAATAATAGGAACAATCGAGAAAACTGTATACCTTACCCCAGCCTCCGCGATCCCATCCCCTCCAGGGCCATGATGTCCGTGTCGACCACCGGGTCCTGGCCCGAATTCTGGACCGCCTCCTGAATTTAAATCCGAAATTTTAATTTCAATACTCAAACCTCGGCCTCTGCCTTCACCCCACCCACCACGACCTCCTTCTCCCCAAGGAGAGCCGCCACCCGGGCCTGAAATGAGCTTATGCTCGTTACAACGTAGTTTTCAGTCCTTTTCCAACTGTTATCTGTAGCGTAAAATTACGATAGAGGATTAGCCATGGAAAATGCGCTATTAGCTCGATGTTCCGGCCAAAGACCGACCCTAATTGGGCCGAGAAACCAAGAAAATCTATTTTTTTCGTTTTTCATAGTAAATTGCGGCTTTAATTCTTGACTCACCATTCCACTGCCCCATCGCGCAGCCAAAAACGGCTAAAATGAACAGCATCCCAAAAATTATTGCGATTCTTGAGGTAGAGGTGGTTTCTGAAGGATTTTTAGCAATTTGCGAACTCATTGTCGGATTTTTTCGAATGGTGTGAGTTTCAGCGCAGTTTTAGGTATATTTAAAGAAAGAGGGGCGATGAGTCAACCGTTCAAAAAAAATCCGAAAAGCTATGGCTGGATGCAGATATATTTGCGGGCTTACGCAGCCCGATTAGGAACGTGCGTCGATGGGGCGGTTCTAGGGTGGGAGACGGAAAAAGACGGAGACCCAACTAGCCGAATTGTCCAAATATCTGTCTTACTCTACAGCTATCTCTCACTCTCTCTCTCTCTCTCTCTCTCTCTCGCTCTCTCTTCCTCTTCCTCTCTGTCTTTTTGCTGATGAATCGACACTGAGCAAGAGAGGGATAGGCCTGGAAAAAGATTTGGCGAAATCGGGCTGATCACCGCCTGGATTTGTCGACGGGGAGGCGGATTTGGGACGTTTGTTCCCTTCTTTTGCCGATCAAATGATTAATCGGAGACGTAACAGTCTAGGTGGCAAAAATCCAAAAAAATTTTCCACGGTCACTGATGTTTTCAAGGGATTGTGAAGTCAAAAAAGGCTGCGCTATATCATTTCTATCCATCTCTCTCCCTCACTCACTCTCTATTTCGCTCTCTCTCTCTCTCTCTCTCTCTCTCTCTCTCGCTGCCTCTCTCGCTGTCTCTTTTCCTGTCTCCTTCTGGCTGTCGATTTCCACGAGATTGCTTTAATGAAACGATGAAGGAATTCTATAGAATTTTCCAATTTGTAATGCAATTTTTATTCTCGGCTTTTTCGTATTTCCTCCGGTAATTTTTCATGCTTTTCCAGTTGAATACATTTATTCTCAGGCATCTCTCGTATCCCTCCTAGCACAAGTTGCAGCTCTTCCTGCAGTTCTGCTGCATCCAGCCGCTGTTCCCGGACGTCGTGCACAACGAGCTCAGCGCCCACGCGCCGCAGTAGATGTTCGTGTCGACACAGCCTAAAAATTGCCATCATGCACACTTTAGGCTTTGTGGAGGCCTCCATAAATTCAATATAGCCGATGTATTTTTCGTGACTTACTGGCAGCTTTGCAGTACATTTTTCTCAGGATCTCGACATCCCTCTGGGTCATCGCGTCACGCTGGCCCATCACTCGGATGTTTTGGGCCGGGTTTACCTAGAAATTAATGCCATTTAAGGGCTATTTTTAGATGGAAAACGAGTTACGGTAATGGGAACACGATATTTTTGAAGATACACGCTCGTAGCTTACCAGCGGGTTCAAAGTCGGTTTGTTGTAATCGATGGCAGCCGTGTATGCGTTGTAGTGCATGACGCTGGCGTAGTCGTAGGCGACGCCGTACCTACAAAATGCCGTACAATTTTTGCTAATTACGACAAAGGTTTAGCTTCGTGCGCAATTTGAAAGGGCGAACTTTTCTCGAAAACCTACGAAGTGAAAGTTTTAGCATCAGATACAGCCAAAGCGTCGTACATCTGGGGATTGACGTTGGACCAATCGACCTAAAAATGTGTTTTATCTCTCTCTCTCTCTCTCTCTCTCTTCGCTCTCTCTCTAAATCTATCTCTCTCTTTCTTTCTCGCTCTCTCTCTCGCGCTCCCCTCTCTGTCTCCCTGTCTCTCGATCTCTCTGTCTCTCTGTCTGTCTCGCCCTGTCTTTCTCTTTCGCTCTATCGCTCTCTCTCCCCTCTCTCTCTCTCTCGCTTACCTTAATCCACTTATCACGATCCATTCGAATATGCTGATGATCAACCCCAAGTGAGTGCATCGTCTCGTGAATCGTGACGCCGACATTCTAAAGCCTGACCTACCCACCGTATCCGTATCACTTACCCCATTGCAGGTGAAGCTCAGGTAGATCGGGTTACCACCAGTTACCTTTCCAATGCGTGAAAGGCCGCAGCTAAAGGTATTTTTAAGCTTACGAAGTGACAAATTGAATTCACAGTACAAGAAAACCCACAATCCAGGCATATCCGTCTTCATGTAATACAAGAAGTATCCGTTCGTCACTGGCCTTTGGATATATTGGAAGCGAAGGCAGGGCACATTTGTGGAAATTGTTTGTAAAGCTTGTCGGACAGTGTTTTTATCAATTTCCTCTAGAAGTGAGAATTCGGCCTTTCACGAAAATATTTCCAAACCTAGCGATTCGTGGAAGGTATACTGGATCGGTTGATTGATATCCCATTTCCGGACGAATTGCTCTTCAAAGAATAGAGCGGCGCGGGCTCTATAATTCGGGGAATAATCGCTCTTTAAAAATTCGCTGGTTTTTGGGAATTTTTAGAATTGAAGGAGTCTAACCTTCTCGACAAAACTGGGTCGGCCGGTTTTTCGGCTGCGACTGCATCCGGATCATCAGCTTCTACCTAAAGTTAGGACGATGTCGTGCTCGTTTCTCTTTCGCGTTCTCTCTCTCTCTCCCTCTCTCTCTCTCTCTCTCTAACTCTAATTTACATGATAATCATCGCTATCCTCCTCAGCCAATGAAGAATCATAGTCTGGATCGAGGGTCGTGGCTTCAGGACTCTCAGTAGCCTCAAAACCCGGTGGCAGCGGCTCCTCCTCCTCTTCACCTCCCTTGTCGAGCTCGTTGAGCAGGAACTCGGACTACGAAAGTTAGATTTGTAGGCTATCGAAATACTACACCTGTTCTGTAGTGAGCAGGAGATCGGAGTCAAAGATGCCGTCGTCGGCAGGCTCGACCTGAAAATTTAGGTGGTTTAGGGAGTGGCTAAAAAATCCGACGTCTAGTAAACTGAAGCTATAAACTACAGAAACCTACATCCGCTGCGAGCTCGGCTTTTTCCAAAAGAGCCTTCTTTAGCTGCCTGGTTCTTTGCAGCTCCAGCTCCAACGCATCATCGTCATCGTCGTCCTTGTCCTCAGTTTTTCCCACTTGCTTCCGGAATTTTTTCATCTAAAGTAGGCATAGGATTAGCTATAGTTTTCAAAGATTAAAAAAATTTTAGAACTTTCAGCAATTGAATTTTCCCGAATCCGGCCGTCTCAGCTCAACGTTGTTCACAAATTCCTCAGGTTCCCGAAAACGTACCTGGCCCTTCAGTCGATCCCTGTTGGCCTTGTGCTTCTCCCAGGCCTTGCAGTTGATTTTGCCGCAGAGTTGCTGAAAAATGACATTTCGGAAACGGCCCTGAACCGGTAAGTTCTGTCCCGCACTTTGGGAAAACATGATTGATTGGGGCTCGGAGCGGGAAGTGGAATCCGGATAGAAACATAAAAAACATTGATATGTAAATAGAATTAAAGTTTTGGTTAGGCTTCAACACGTAGTTTGTGTTCCTAAATACCCTTCATAGCGTACCGTACAGCATACTACAGTACGTACAACGTATACAAGCGTACCTTAACCTTCTGCCGCTGCTCCGCCTTCATCCTTCCCCAATGCCGGGCGTCTTCCGGAATTTTGTCCGCCAGAGCTTTCGGGCTGTTCGCTAGCGGATCCTTGCGTTTTTGAAGTCTGAAACGGACAAAAAAAATAGCAGAATCGGCTCTCAAAAAATCTCTGCTAGTTTGCCTGCGCTTCAAAAACCTTCCCGAAGCCTAATAGAGGATTAGAAGTTGATCAACCTGTTCATGGTTTTTCTATATGGAAAATAGAAAGTAACTAATCTTACTGGTATGTTTACTTGTCATAATTTTCAAGGGAAATTTTTTAAGCGCTGTTTAAAAAGCTGTTGTTAGGCCCATAAGCCCTTCAAAACGGAAATACGATATTTAAATATTCAGAAGCCGCTCGAGTTAAGCCTACTTCGGAATCCGCTTCAACTTCCTCCGCTGCATCCTCGCCCGCTGCTGCTTCTTGTGGAACTGCTGTCTTTGAAGCATCACTCGCTTCTGCGTCACCTGCATCATCGCGCCAACAGCGCCAAATGGAGGCGTTTTTTCACCACTAAATTCGCGAATCAACGTCTATAATTTCGACGTATTGATTATTAAAAGCTATGTTTCGTTAATTTAAAAGCTATAAAAAGTTTTACCTGCATTTAGGGTGTCCCGGGAAGAATTGGCAAAATTTCACAGCGTGATTTTTCCAGGCCTGCGCTTGGGGATGGCCTCCAGCAGCTCGGAATTTGCGCAGATCACGGAGCAGCACTCAATTTTAGTAAGTTAAAATTAGAGATAAATAACTTACAAACCAACGCCGGGTTCGCGCCATTCCCTTGGTTTGCTGAAACATAAATAAATCATTTATAAGCCTATTCAGAAGCTCCCAATGCCTCAAAATTAGATAATCTTAGTTAGGTAACAAATTTTAAATTAGAAGGTAACCGATCAAAAAATATATTATTGGTTAATCTAAAACTTAACAAGCTGTGTTAGTCATACCCGGCTTTTTCACGCCGCCCTTCGCTGCTGGGCGTCCTTGAGAATTTTTATTCAATAGAAAGTATGCTTATCTTTTCCAGAGAATTAAAGACAAAGCTTTTTGAAAATTTTAATCAAAGATATGCTTGCTTTTTTAACTTACTTGGCGGAGGCTTGGGCTGGGCGGCGACTGCAGCGAGTGTCGCCACAAGGATGAGGAGGTAGAGCCGCATGGCTCGGCTTCCTAAACAATTTTTTTTATATTTTATAATATGTTTAAAATATTATTAAAATTATTTACACACTTTATAAAACCCTAAAAATTCGAGTCCTATCGAAAAAATGGAATAAGGCGCCAGAAATCGACATTGATATCAAACTGCGAGCCCCAAAGTGCAAATCCCATCATTTTTGAGGCGAAACTAGGCACGTTATTCTTATCATATAAATGTTAATGGTATGTTTTAAGAGCTATAGAATAGTTTTTCAAGCTTTTATTATTGTCAATAACTGTCTTATAGGGTTAAAACCGTCAAATGGATTTAGACTGAGAGACGAGGTGCTTTGACTCTCTTAAAAGGTTTGCCCAGAAACGTAGCTTGGGTCTTAAGGGGTTAAACGGTGTAAAAAGTATAGATAAAAGCTCCAATTTAAAAAAATTGGCTGCTGTTATCGATCCCCAGGCCACCGACAAAATAAGTGATCGAAAGAGTTTCCATCCGGGGGCAAATGTCAAAATAAGTTCCCTTCCCCTTTCCCACATCCGCGATCACCTTTTTCCTGCCAGTTCGCCAATTTAGGGCCGGGTGGCTATCACGGGCGAATTTCTCTCATTCAATATCCTCCACCAATCTCAAAGAAGATATCCCAATATTTTCAGTGGCCGGCGCGTTGACGTAGGCACGCTAAAAGTGTTCTGACTCGGCTTTTGAGGATCCAGGACAATGGCCTGAGTCACGATTTGCATGCGATAAAACGTGAAAGGTTACGCAGCTTGATTTGAGCCATTGACTGGCCGTTAATTTGTTGAACAACTTTCATTTCCAGAAAACAAGATCTGAAAATAATTTGTTAAATAGTTCAAAAAAATCGCATTTTTTTAAGAAATTTTGGAAAGCGTTTTTCATGAGGCGTATTACGTGTGGAAATCCCGGAAGCTCATTTTCTAGCATATTTTGAGTATTCCATTACCAAAACTCAAAAAATTCGTACAAATCAGATGTGAATTCTAATATTTATTGAAACGAGACAGATCCCCTAGCTCCGAGAGGCTTCTTTTTCCGAAAAGTGTAAGCAATCGTCGGACGTGATGGTGGTGAATAGTGGGAAGCGCTGAAAAAAAGTTGTTAAAGTATTACGCCTTTTTTATGAATCCAAATAGTCGTTATTAAAAATCCAGACTCACGTTTTTTCCGGTTCCTCAACAGCACTAATGCCACTAGAGGATGGCGGCGTGATATTTGGCGTCATTTGTTCGTTTCTGTACTTGCGTTGGTAGTAGAGATGGATGAGGTATCTAATAAGGCTATTTAGATCCCCTTTAATCTTTAGATACCTTGGCGATGGTACTACGCCTTTTCCTATCGACCAAAGCAGGAGGACAAATTCGATCAGGCTAAAAATGGCGAATTTAGCGTCTAAAATCGATATGATACCTCAAAAACGAAAGGCCAATCCAAAAACCGCACTGGCCAGCGGTATCGGACATAAAATTTATGGTCTGAAAAGAGGATATTACTTTAATCGCATTATTGGTGAGTTACCGGATACGAAAAGCTCTCAATTGTCACTTTTTCGTTTAAACTTTCGTAGTAAATATTAACAAGCATCGCAGAATCTATCGTCTCGTCACATTGGTCTCCATTGCAAAGCGATTGGGCTAAAATTGGATCGATTAAGCCATTAAATTCTTTTCAAGTCTATTCATAACGGCGTTTGCAAACCAATTACAGTACCCGACTGTATCCTCCATTTAGCGCTAGATACCGTAGTCTCAAAAGACCGCTCCAAGCATCGCATCGGGCAGATACAACCGTCTGTCGACCATCCCCAAGTAGTCATACAGTCTCCTAAAAAATTTACTGACGGTACTTCTGTCAATTGATTTGTAGCGCGTTTTAGCTTCCGTATCTTCCGGATACCTTTAAAACTTACTCATGATCGGGTCCGTAATGTTACAGTATGATGCTCCATATGGCTTTGGAAAACGCACATCCCCGCATCGGCAATGGGATAGAATGGAACGTTGCTGGCATGAACGTAGGCAACCCTGAAATTCTAAAGGTGTCAGGATAGCTGGATAAACGGTACCTTAAAGGTATAAGCTAAAAAGATATAAAGATATAACTAATGGAATGGAACGCCTCATAGCTGTATTTCCTATAGATTTTGACGCACCCGCGACACGCAACGCGTAGTGGTCTATGCCATAATGGCTTGTCACCTCTCACATCGGTCAAGCGATGCGTCGAGCGCTACCAAATTCTAAATCACGTCTGGATGGCCAAGAAATTACGCTACACACAACGTCCGTGTCGGTTGATCGCTGAGAAGCTGTGGAGGTAAATTACTCATCGGAAGGGTGGGTTCGTGCGTAATGTGTCGCGAGATCAGCAAATATCCATAGCAATGCCTTGCCTGCGCCTTTAAATAAACGTTACGACCGCAATTTTTGATTGATCGAAGAGCACAGTCGTCTTTAATTTCACCTCCGGCTCCCTATTGTAGATTTTTAGCCCAAAAATGAAACGACCACGTTTTCGCGGAAGTTTTTTTGCCCGGAAAATGTACACTGCGCCCCGGGCGGCCTTGGGCTCCGTTCAAAACAGGGCACTTGGATTGCCGAAAGGATACGGCGAATGGTGCAGGGGCCGCGTTTTTCCGCCCCTTCCCCCCTTTTCCGGAACCGTTTTTTCGCGGTCACCAGGAAGTGGGTATAAAAAGGGTCCGCGTGGCCGGTGGGTGGTCCATTGGTTCTCGAAACAATGTCGCTGATCGTCAAGCTCGTCGCCCTGGCCCTGGTCTGCCAGATTGCGCTCGCCATCAGGTGCGACGACAACAACGTGGGTTTTATGGAAGGACATTGTGGTTTTGAGGAAGTGATTTTGTACGTTAAAATGGATACGCGAAGATACGTTAAGATACGTTTTGTCAGACTAATTTTTTAGCAAAAAAGAGCCGTACCAGCTAGGCAACTGAACGATTTAGAAGCAAGATAAAAAATTTTTAGAAACTTTACAAGCAAAATTACAAAACTGTATTAAATTTACAAACTTCCAAAGCCAGCGAAAAATGTATTTTCACTTTTTCATAAGTAAAAGTAAGATTTATAGCATAAAAACCGGCCTCCGAACCCACAAAACCCCGAATTTTAGGGAGGAAAGGTCGACTGCGGCGCCGGATGCAACTTCTGCCAATCCGTCGTCAGCCCGTGGGTTTTATATTGACAAAATTTTCTCGTTTTGCCTCGAATAAGGAGACGTTTTTAGTGGCAATCGAGTAGTTCACGCCTGGAACAAACTTATATTGCGCAGAATTTTTTTGTCGATTCCGAATATGGTTTCAAAATTTATGAAACAACCAGATTATGAAGGCTCCGAGGGTTTATCTGTGCCATAAAGGCAAGAATTTCTCGAAATACGGCCATTTTTGGCCTCATTCGCACTGAAAAGCCTTCTAGTTTTTCTAGAACTGGTCGTTTTGCAGATTTTGAAAACAGATTCAGACTCTGCGTAAAATTCTGCACGCGACAGGCTTGGTCCCGTATGGAAATACCCGTTTCTCACTAAAAAACGTCCGATTCCTAGTCGAAAATTGCGTACATTTAAGCCTGAGCCTACGCAAAATGAGCTCTACTCCTTCAAATTTTCTTGCTAGCTACGAACAAAATTAACAGTGCTTGCAAAACATGACAACTAACAGTACATGACTCCAAATTCTAACCCCCAAATTTTCTAGCGTCGGCCCGGAATTCCACGCGGGATGCGGCTGCGGTGACAAGTCCCTCCTGAAGGCCCAGAAGAAGTTCAAGTTCTCCGATTGCACGGTGGGTTGCTGACCCTGGTTCTGGAGCTCAGGAATTTTAGGCCGAAGGAGAGACGTCCAACGATCAGAACCAGAAGCGCTGCTGCACCAAGAAGGATCGTTGCGACCTCGGAATCAGCTTGTAAAAAACGGACCGGATGCAATAAAAAATAAAAAAGGAAGTATACTGGATATACAGTTATTCAACTGCACAGGACAACAATAACTAACACACAACCACAAAAGCAAACGGGCTGAAGTTCCTGAGGCATTAAAGACTGCTAAAACTCCTGAACGCACACTGTCACCCCGAGGGTGCGCTCCCTCCCCAAGAACGCGCAGAGAGAGAGGCGTCATTAGTGGCACCCCGTATTTGGCAAAGGCCCTCTGAGATTTGGGGCGCCTCTGACTCCCTTCTCCACTCGGCCCTGTGGTATAGAGGCTAGCGCGTCGGACTGTGGAACGAACCATCGCGGGTTCGACCCCCGCGGCGCGTCATCTAGCAGAGGCCCTTGCGGACAGGGACCGTTCCGGTTAATTGACGCCGATTTCTGAGTCAAAACAGAGCAACGGGCGAATTTGAACACCATAATAAAGTTTGGCTATTTTTTGCTCGTTATATGTGTGTTTGAGTTTTTTTTTTAGTTTTTGTTTCGTCATCCCAAAAATCGCACCCTCATAAATCCCCAGCAGCTGCTCCGTGCTTTCCTCTTTTCGCGGGGCTCACGGTCGCCCCGGTGAAGTGATATAAAGGGAAAATCGGCCGCTGCCTTTGACTCATCTTACGAAAAATGAAGCTACTACCATCGATCCTTTTAATTCTTTCAATCGTGCACTTTACGTGGGCTATTAACTGCCGGGACACTACTGAAGGGGTAGCTTAAATTATACAAAAGGTTTTTAAAAAATACTTTAGAACGCTGTGCTCGATTGCTCGGATTGCATGTTTTGCCAAACGCTAAGCGCGTAAGTTATATTTTAATTTGGGGTTATATTTGTTTGACAATAAAACAAGGATAATGCAAAAAATTTCTTAATTGTGGATTTAAAAGCTCTGGCTGTTCTGCTCCCTATTTTGTGCCCATTCCAATTTCTGTCGGACTGCCATTCAATTCCGCGGCGATCCGGATTTCAATCTCTGCGTCACGCTCTATCTAGCCGTTCATCTGCACGTCGTTTTGTGCGTTAGCAGCTCGGCTTTCCGTGTGTTTTTGCCTGGTTTTCAATTTCAGGATGTCTATCTGTCTGTTTGTGTCTGTTGTGTCTGTCTCTCTCTAGCTGTTTGTGTGTTTGTATGTCTTCATGTCGGTCGTTCTATTCGATCTTCTATCTGTCTGTCTGTCTGTCGCTCTGTCTCTCTCTCTCTCTCTCTCTCTCTCTCGCTGTTTGTGTGTATGTATGTCTTGATGTCGGTTGTACGTCAGTCGGTCTATTCGATCTTCTGTCTTTTTTGTCTATCTGTCTGTCTCTCCCTCTCTCTCTCTCGCGCTGTTTGTGTGTCTGTATGTCTTGATGTCGCTTGTATGTCAGTCGGTCTATTCGGTCTTCTGTGTGTCTGTGTGTCTGTCTGTGTGTCCGCTATGTATTAGCCGCGGAATTAGATTACCTGGCGTAATCGAAACATCGGCATGATCGAACCTTGGGGTTATCGCCATAAAAAAATATACCGTCAATGCGTCAGGTTTTGATCTGGGCCAAGTCCATTTATAGTGACGGCAAAACGCACACCGGATGTGGCTGCGGCGTTCAGTCCCTTCTAGACAAGCAGACGAAGTTCAAGTTCGACTCGTGTGACGTGGGAAACAATTCAAAAATCAAAAAACACACGTTGTAGGAGGAAGGTCAGACCACCAACGACAAGGGACAAATCCGCAGATGTTGCACCGATGAGATTTGCCACCTATTGCCCAGTAAAATCACTACCCAGGCGCCGGTTCCGGCAAAAAGACCCAGTGATCGTCTACATTTTCCGACCAGTCGCCCCACGCTTGATGTGGTTATCCCACCAACAAAGAGAACTGCTCAGGATTTGCCTTAATTCGGAGAAGGGCTAGAATAGCAATAAAGTGCTTGAGATTACACGAATTTGCGAGATACACCACGTTGTCGGCCTTCCATTTCATGTCGAGGTTGTGCGGTCACAGACTTCAAATTGGCTCAAAATTGGTGGAAAAAATCAAATAAAATACGGGGAACACGATGCGATAAAAATTAGCTGCCATAGGGCACTTTAGTTCATAAACTTTTCAGTTTAAATTTTTTTACCTTACAAATACACCTAAAACAAAAATCTAGCCTTAAAGGGGCTCCGAACTGCCAAATCAAAGCCCTTTTGGAAGGCCTCTTTGATTTCTGGCAAAATGCCAGCGGGCGCTGCGGGACAAGAGCCCACAGTCTTTCGATTTTTGCGCGAAGTGGTTTTTGCTCGGTTTCTTTGTGAAAACACTATAATTCGCGCATTCTGAGCTCATTTTTGAAATCCTCACTCAATTTTACCTAGTGTTGGTGTTTTAAAAGGCCGTCCGCCAGCCACTCGAACAGCCCCCAATATGGCTTGGCACAGTTTTTTTCGACCCTGTTTTTTTCACGGCATCGGAAAGAGGATAGTCGAATTAGTAGGGCTGCATAGTTTTGAAAGTTTAAAAAGTTAATTTTTAATGTTTAAATGGGCCTCAAAGTAGACGAACCCGAAAAACTATCTCGAAAGCTACTGCACCGAATTTGCTGAAACCTTGTGACAATACCTAATTTGGCATGGGGATCATTTCTCTATTACATCGCAAAGCGTGAAAATGACGGGAACATGGTTAGATCGAATAGTAAAAACAGTTTTTTAAGACTTTCGAATTTTTAGTATTCCGAGCGCAACCTGAAACTAGCATAGAAAGATGCGCGAGACTTTTCTGCATCGATTGGTGTATCATTTAGCTTGCGCGAGGAATACTAACATTGAGAAAAATCGCGATTTGTAGGCGAAAAACGCAGAAAAAATGTCCCATAAAAATACAAAGTTGTTAATTTTGTTAATCTGAGGTATCAAAACGCATCTAGAAGCCGAGCTGAAGCGATTGCAAAAAAGAGCAAAACGAAATTCTCTTTCTTTCGATGTCGCGGAATCGAACCCGGACCCTACGCCTGGGAGCCCTGTGGCGCAATGAGTAGGGCGTCGGCGTGCCAATCCAGAGCCGCCGCAAGTTCAATCCCAGCCCCCTCTCAGAAGCCTAATTTCGTTTTGCTCTTTTTTGCAATCGCTTCAGCTCGGCTTCTAGATGCGTTTTGATACCTCAGATTAACAAAATTAACAACTTTGTATTTTTATGGGACATTTTTTCTGCGTTTTTCGCCAACAAATCGCGATTTTTCTCAATGTTAGTATTCCTCGCGCAAGCTAAATGATACACCAATCGATGCAGAAAAGTCTCGCGCATCTTTCTATGCTAGTTTCAGGTTGCGCTCGGAATACTAAAAATTCGAAAGTCTTAAAAAACTGTTTTTACTATTCGATTTAACCATGTTCCCGTCATTTTCACGCTTTGCGATGTATTAGAGAAATGATCCCCATGCCAAATTAGGTATTGTCACAAGGTTTCAGCAAATTCGGTGCAGTAGCTTTCGAGATAGTTTTTCGGGTTCGTCTACTTTGAGGCCCATTTAAACATTAAAAATTAACTTTTTAAACTTTCAAAACTATGCAGCCCTACTAATTCGACTATCCTCTTTCCGATGCCGTCAAAAAAACAGGGTCGAAAAAACTGTGCCAAGCCTATTTCGGTCCACCCGCAAACGGCCTTTTAATCGGTTGGCGGTCACGATTTCGAAAATCACCATTTCGAAAATCACCATTTCGAAAATCACCATTTCGAAAATCACCATTTCGAAAAATCACCATTTCGAAAAACACCATTTCGAAAGTCACCATTTCGAAAAGACACGATTTCGAAAAGACACCATTTCGAAAATCACCATTTCGAAAAGTCACGATTTCGAAAATCACCATTTCGAAAATCAACATTTCGAAAATTACCATTTGGGAAACACAGGATTTAGCAATAGCCCATTTCCCAGTCGCAGAAAAAAATGATTTTCGTTGGCTGGTTTGAGGTTCGGGGGTCTATTTTTCCACTGGATATATGATCAATTTCATTATAGACACCACTAAAACACGTTCTATTACATCACTAGTCATATCCGAGAAAAACCGTGGTTTTTCGACACTGCAATTTTTATGCCTGTTTGAAGACCGGGTCTTTTCGAACTGGGATTTTTTCGAAATGGTGTTTTTCGAAATGGTGTTTTTCGAAATCGTGACTTTTCGAAATGGTGATTTTCGAAATGGTGTCTTTTCGAAATGGTGTATTTTCGAAATGGTGACTTTCGAAATGGTGATTTTCGAAATGGTGATTTTCGAAATGGTGATTTTCGAAATGGTGATTTTCGAAATGGTGATTTTCGAAATCGTGACAGGGAATCGTTTTAATCATCAAATTTGGCCCAGAAACAGCCGAGAACGTGATTTCGAGGTGACAACAGGCAATTTCAAATTTTGCGAGCTTCCCGGCCCCTGGGCGTAGAGAGGCTTCCGACGTACACGGCTCCGATTTTCGGGCCGTCACTCAATTTTTGGCATTTCGTAGCCCCTTTAAAAAAGCTGATACCGACCTCCATGGTATAACTACCATCGTAGAGGTATTCCGTTTCCGAATCGTCCTGGCATTTTGTCTCCCCGGCATTCAGACGTTCGTTGCGATTCTGAACAAAATCATACATTAAAAGTCTAGATACCTAATTCCGAGGAAAAACGTGATCTCAAAAGTAATCGTGGGTCTCGAAACGAAAAACGGTTTAATTCTTTAAACACTCACAGCCCTCATGCTCAACGCAATCGCACTCCCCGGCTGGATACTGTAGCCAAAGGTGTCCGGAAATGGATAGGCGTCCTGAAAGTAATTTATTAACCAGGTTTCTAAAGAAATTAACCAAGTTTAATCAAGGTACAAAGCAACCTTTTTCAAAAATTTAGCCCTACTTGATCATGAATCGCTATCCGGCACCCAATCGACGTCGTCGCCTCAATATATTCCGAAATATTCGTATAGAGCAGCATTTTCAAGCCTAAATATATACTTTGGTTTTACAGCGTCATTTGGCGTGTACCGTAGTTCGGGCCCGACCTCGTCACCTTCGAGGCTTCCCCGTGAAAGTTGAAAACGTAGCAAAGCCCGTAGCTGGGGTGGAAAACACTGGTGAAATTCCTAAAAGACGACAACTTTCCTAAAAAAAATGTTTTTTTTTCCAGCACGCTATTATAACTACGACTCACTCCTGTGTACACGTGGCTGCATTATACGCACAATTCTTGACCAAACTGGCGAAGGAAATGGCTTTCTAAGGCTCGGCTTTTCGATCTGAAACTTGGATGGCTTGTACCTCTTCAAAATGTCCGCCCTCTCTGCTCATCGCCATATAATAGGAGATCAGCCACTCCAGCCGAGACTGCTGCTCCATTGCATCGTCCTCGCCCTAGTCAGAGTGTACGTTGTCGACTACCGTACTTACCGATAGCCCGTAAAGTATCCTGGCCTGTTCGGCTAGCCTTGGATTATCGATTGTACCCGTTGAAACGTAGTAAGAGGACATCTAAATATGGATAAATCGAAAATATACATTGTTTTCAAATAATATCTTAATATAATTACTATTTCTCATAACTTAATAACAAAAATATTTTTAAGAGCAACGCATATTATTATATACAATTTGCTTAATCTGCGGATCGTCCATCGTCGCGGAATTTAACATTGGATTTATCGAGCATATCGTAACGGCCGGGAAAATGAGATTGCCGAAATTTAACTAAAAATATGGATTTTACAGCAACACAACAAATATACGTTTAACGGCAGTATAACTTACAGTAATACTTGTCTGCTTGGCAAACGAAGTATAACGTTGCGCCAAAACTTGCAAATTCCAGCACAGAAAGGCGAAGCAGCTCGAAAATTAATATTTTGGAGTGCGATTTCAGCTTAATATGATGCTTACAATAAGTATCAAAGCCCAAGCTAGTTTTCTTGGCAGAGAATTCTCCGATTTCACGACCTGATGAATGCCGTGGATCGAACAAGTCGCTGCATACTCTTTGAATTGTTTCTGAAAACCGACGAATACGCTTTTCTAAACGTTATTACTTGGATATTACGTAGTTTTTCGAGGATTTCCAGCCTAGATAGCATAGTTAATACCAGTATACTAACCAGATATTCAGGATCCGCAGGAACGGGGGCCTAGCCACTAGGTAAATCTAATTGGTATGCTTGCGTGCTGGATGATTTACTGCACTATGATTCCACTAGTAGATATTTCGTTTGTTATATAGTAGATAAAAGGTTTGAAAAGCTGGTAATCGAATGTGCACCATCATATAAACAAAAATAATTATTATTTCCAATGAACGAAAGATGGTAGCCGGCTTTACTTGTTTAGCCTATCCCTGCCTAATAAAATGTAGCGTATTTTCACGGTTTTTAGCTGTTATACAGTATGATGCTTAAAAAAGTCTAGTGATACACAAAAATTAGGCCATTTGTTAGTCTTTTGTGATTATTTTTTGATGGATTTTTGACTAAAAAGTCAGGAATTTCCAATATCATTGGCTTTTTGTTATATTTAAAAAACATGGCTAAATGTTCTCAGATCGTCTTTCGCTCATGGTTGGGCGGCTAGGCGAAGATTCTGGAGCTGGTTTTTTTTTTGCTTTAATTCCAGTAATTCGTTGCACTTGCTTATATTTTTACTTATTGCTCCAAAGTGCGTGTACCTACTACAAATCCTCATTGTGGTACACGTACGCCCTAAGCTCCAATTTATCAAAAAAGTTTCATTTTTTATTTATTGCCATTTCAACGCCATCTCCCGCCCACATGTTCGGCAGACTACTTTTCCCAAGGCAGATCATCACCGCGTGACCTTTACCCACCCAGGATGTGTCTCCATGTAGGGATCACAATTTCCTTTTTGCCATCGTGGACATCCGGCTGCAACCCTCACCAACCCTAGGCTTTTTGGTGTGTGTTGTCCGCGTTTTGTGTTCGTCCACCTCGGCGGCCCCTTACGGTCATACATGCAGAGGGGCGCGCTATAGCCGACCACCCCGGATTGCCGGCGCCACGTAAAAATGTTGCTCTCGTTTGGCCACGCACTTTGGCAGCCGGCCGGTTTTTGCTTCCGCCTTGAAAAACTAGACAATAGATGTCGAAATTCAATACTTTTGCTTTTAAAATATTTTCAATTATGTATAAGGTCATATTACACTTTTTTACGCGTAATTTTGGATCGGGCAAGATTAGTAGCCTTTTTATTTTTATAAAATTCAAAATTTAGCGAATAACCTTTTGCTGCCATTACTGAAAAATGTTGAAAAGAGGTTGAAGTCCTCGTGTTAAAAGGCGTGCTTTTATTCATTTAAATTAGCTATCTTTTTTTATTGCAAGTTGCTATCTTTTGATATGCTAACTTTGTTATTTTTGCTTTGATCTTCGAATAACTCTGCTTTGAAAACCTGTTAAGTCATTTATAACTTTTTAGTGCAGGATTATAAGCTTACTTTTGAATTCGTTGGGATTAAAACCGTTCATTTTTATTTAATTTTAAATTCCAGCGATCGACATGCGCGCTTGGGCAATTCTCCTACTCTTCTTCTGTGCATATGTTTTCGCTGATGAACCTCTCGATGTGAAGCCCCCGGAAGGGCAGATAAAAGTAAGTTTATCTTCATCTAAATCAATTTTGAATTTCCAGGAAAACGCCGATGATGCTCCCCAACAAATGGCGGCACCAACGTTTGAAAGCAGCTCCAACAATCCGGAGAAAGTATCGCTTATCCATTTTGCCAAAAATTTTTTTAGGCCGATCTTTCGTTCTACCACGGATTTTTCGCCTCATTTTCTGTGATTATCGTCAGCGAGTTGGGGGACAAGGTACCGCTATCAGGTTATAATTTATTTCGTATTTTAGACATGGTTTATCGCTGTGATTATGTCTATGAAACATTCCCGACTCGCCGTCTTCAGTGGTGCCATCGCGGCCCTCGCTTTGATGACCGTGCTTTCTGGTAACCTTGTTTTCCAATAATTTTAATCATTTTTAGCGTGTATGGGATGGGTGACCGTGTTGATACCCCGGTGGATCACCTACTACATTTCTACGGCGCTTTTCGCTCTCTTCGGATTAAAGGTTGGGTGGAATTTCCAGTCCCAAATCCTAATCCGTTTAGATGCTCCACGAAGGCTATTACATGAATGCGTCGGAAACCCAAGAAGTTTTTGAAGAATCACAAGCCGAGGTAAGCCAATCTCTTGAAAAAATCTGATCATTTAGGTCCAAAAGCGCGAGCTCGCCAGGGATACAGGCAAAATTGACAATTTGGAAGGCGGTGCAGCGCAGGATAAGAAGTATGAGACAATTAAAAAGCATT